CGATTGAGTACTAGGAATTCTAAATACGAGCTAGATTTCGCGGAGCGTGCGCGCAGCCTCTCGGCGTGGAAAGCAAAATCGGACTGATGAATGGAGAAAATCGATGATCCACGATTGAGCGCCGATGACGCCCGAAACACGAAGATGAGCGAGCGAAGTATGTATTGCAGTGGTTCCCAAACTTATTTAGTCTACTGCCCACTTTGAGAATAAATTATTTTTTAGCGTCCCCCATTTTTGTAGTCAAGAATCGAGTCAGTCGATGTCTAAGAGTCATCCTCGTAGATGACGCCTCCCAAGCCTCTACACAACGTCCTGATTTTTTTTCTGGGTCTCTTACCGCCCCCCTTTAAGCCTGCAGCGCCCACAAGGGGGCGTTATCGCCCACTTTGGGAAAGACTGATGTATTGATCATCAGTCAGTGCACATCAGTGCGAGCCCGATGTCCGTGCGGCGGTATTAGTATTTAAATGAAAGAAGTGCTAAAAGATAGAAATTTTGTTTAGATACTGAAATCAATCGAGTTTAAAAACAAAATCTTGTCTTATCTCCTATCGAAAGTGAAGGAACAAGAGTTTGCCAGTGTGTTATTTCTAGGTGTTCAGTTTGCGGTATTAAGTAAGTTAAGTTTTATTTTAATAATTACTATCGTAAAGACGTAAAAGTTATTAAGGTAGAGAGCTAGAGATGTAAGGAATAACGAACCTGTATGAAAGAGCATTATTGTCATCTGTTTACAGTACTTTTGAATGATAAGTAGTTACAAGCTTGTCACACACATAAAAGCATGGTTTAATTTAAAAAAAAATAATGTAGGTTCTGTAAAAAAAATATTTTGCGGAAGGAAGCAAATTCGTGTAAAAGGTTTTTTATTAATTAAAGAGTACTTAATTAATTAGTTTTTAGAACAAAAAATAAACTCGTAACGTGATAAGGTGTAAGTAACTAATTTAGTCATTACATTTTTAGGGTAGATTTGGATTAAGCTCCGTCCAGTAGTCGTCGTTGAACTCACAGCTGATTGTGGCTGATAGTTGACTGACTCATGGGCGAGCGCGGGTAGTGGGGCGCGGGACGGGGGGCGCAGCGCTTGCCCGGGTCACCGGGTGAGCGCCGCGCGCCGTTTTCGTTGGGGGACTATTCTGCACTGTAGTGGTCGATTATGGAAATCGTAGATATTTAAAAAATAATTTAAAAAAATTTTGAAGTCAGTTTTTTTGCTGATTCGTGATCAGAATAAGCTACTTAATCAACTCCCTAAATATGGCGGGTATTGAAATCAACACCCTGTATAACAATTTCGTTAATCTTTATTGTGCTTTATTATTTAGGGGAAATGAGGCATGTCTTCTGTAATTGGGGTCCAGTGAGAAGATTTATAAACTAGTTTCTGCCCGTGGCTTCGGTTGTGTGGGTTTCAGTCTGCTGTAAAGTTCGTAAAGACTGACGCGCTCAAAAAAATAGTCATAAAATCATAAAAGGAGTTTTCAGATACTTATCCTGATTATGTCGCCTAGCTTTATCTATAGGTATTTGCAATTGGCTGGGTATAAAAAGTAAAAACATTACTGTTTACATGTGGAAAAATACTAAAAAGACTATAAAAAGTAGAAATAAATAGAAATATCTTTTATTGATATAAATATTTTAAAATGCCTTGGCTCCTAAACCAGTAAAAAGTTTAAATCAAGAGGGATGCTCTGACTCTTGCACTCGTGTGCAAAATTGAATCTTCTATCTCTTTTACGATTATATTACCTGAGTGAAATACTTAACGCCCGTATTCACAAACATTAATATGAGGTCTCACAGTGCGCGTGGACGCACAGGGTGACTCTAACCAATCACAGAGCTCTATTCAACGCTGTGCGTTCGATTTGCTGCTTCATTTAAGCAAGCATCGTTTGTAAATACGGGCGTAAGTTAAATTGTGTTAATAATAGGTACGGAACAACAAACATAAAAGCCATTCTTCTTTAACAGTTAGCATTATTTGCTTACATAATACCAAATCATCACGTTAAGGTCAAAACTGTTCCATTGATACCAGCAATTCACACGAAATGAGGCAAAAACCAAGGTGAAACTACTTCTAGTGGGTAGCTACTTCAAATTGATGTAAGTGCACCAATTGTGTTTTTTTAGTAGATGTTGGGTGAAAATACCGGATGGTTACGGAACAGGATTATTCCCACCTCTCGTTCCCACCGCTGCAACTCCTGTGTAGCCAGGATCTACAGCTTGACCGCCAATAAAAACTCAACCAGTGAAGTCAAGTTTGTCATTGGGTGCTTACGGCAGATCAACATACTTACTTACACTACCTTCACTCTTCCTGCGGATGTCCTAAGGGAGAAATATGTGAGAGTCAAGCCCCCCTAACCCGTCTGGCCTATGTGTGGAAAGTGTAGGATTAGTCCTCCATTTGCCTATGGTAAAATTGGAGAGAGATTATTCTGGTCCTTCTTGGAAAGGCTTAGGTTAGGTTAGGTTAGGACTGGAACTGAACTACCATTGGATGATTAAGAATTTGATGACAAACTCTGTTATGAAAAACTAGAGATGAAATATAATATAGGTATATAAACTACAGAAGTGTTCTGCTAAATTCCTTCATCTCCCTCACTTCTTTTTCAACAAGGCGTCTACTGCTGGACAAAGGCTTTCCCCAAGGGAATAGCCGCTTTGGCAATTTTGCCAGGTCGTCAGTCCGCTGAGTTGGCCTGAATCAAGTCTTCTGGTGCGTGGTTATTATCACTCAAGGACGATTCTGGCCCAACGGCTGTCAGTTTTTGCGACTTAAGTTTTTCAGTTTAGTGGGCTACTTCTTTTTCTTGTCGTGTCGACAACAAACCTACACAGTGTCAGCCCAAAACTCCGCCACAAGAGTGGCGCTGTCAGTAGCCTTCATTAAAATTTTCCTGCGTGCAGTTATTTGGGCAAGCAGGGTTACTTATGTCGATTATTATAGTTTTGTTACAGATTACCTTACTTCTGATTGTTCATCCTGCATCCAGATTGGTGTTTTTACGTTGTAAACTTTTATAACAACTGTATTGTTAAATTCACGGCAGTGGTTACTTTGTTGCTATCATTTAAAGTTGTTCAATTATCATTAACAATTTCCTTTTCAATGTAGGTTATTTTATCAAGATGTATTTTATTTATAATCAAAAGGAAATACCTGCTTTACTTACTTATTTAATTTATAACTGAATTACTTCATGGCCACAGGGCCTTAAAATACAGATTCTTAAGAACGTACTCAAAACTCTATTCATTTTAGTTAATGTCTGTCTGTGATCTAAATTAAGGGATTTCCCACCTCTCGTTCCCACCGCTGCAACTCCTGTGTAGCCAGGATCTACAGCTTGACCGCCAATAAAAACCCAACCAGTGAAGGTCAAGTTTGTCTCGGGGGAAGTTAAACTGTCATAGAACCCGAAACTTAGTTCTTTTTCCATATCGACCTACTAAAGTTTCGGCTAAACCAACGCGTGCAGCCTGCGGGCGCGATGGCGATCCTACCAATTTCTATTGACAATCGCCATCGCCATCGCGGAAGCAGGTAGGTATAGTTCCAAAATACTGAACTGTCCTATGCATGACATTGACAGTGGGGCGCCACCGTCAATACCGGATTGCTGGTTCCGATTTTTGCCATGTTGGAACGATAGCGCCCCCCTGTCATTGAGTTTGATGGGACAGTTCAGCGTGGGTCATCTATACAGGGTGTTAGATAAATGGGTATATGAGCCGACACTAGCCCATGTTAACATGGTCATATAAATGGTATGGTGAAGTCAGAAAATTGATATCTACATTTTAATTATTTTATTTTTCATACAAATCGGATTTTATAAAATTAATTTTGTATGAAAATTAATAAAATTAAAATGATGATATCAAATTTCTGACTTCACCATACCATTTATATGACCATGTTAACATGGGCTAGTGTCGGCTCATATACCCATTTACCTAACACCCTGTATAGGTATTTTTGATTCTTTGAAAATCCTAAAATTAGTCAAAATGTAAAAGTAAAGTTGCGTAACATTACCTACAATTGAAATGGAAAAGAAAATAAATAAACACCGTGAGAACATTTCACAACATTTGTTAACTATATCAATACATAATGGCATTATCAATTATTGTAATATTAAACAATTGACCGATCTCTTTACCCCTAGTGGTGATGATTAAATATCCATTTAACTTGATTGCTTTTAATGTACTGTTACATACCAAACACGACGTATCCATTCAGATAATTCTTGCATCGATAGTATTTTGTATTATCTAAGCCCATATTAACGTTACGAAGGTGGAGGTGGTTGCAGGCCGCTACCAAACGGCCAATCTGGAAATCATCTGTTCTAACAGTAGACGCCTTTGGATATTTTGATTACACTAACCCACCACGACTGCTTTTATCTTTGATTATTATGAGGGCTCTAACTAACAGCAGTTTATACGGGACTATTCCCACCTCTCTTTCCCACCGCTGCAACTCCTGTGTAGCCAGGATCTACAGCTTGACCGCCAATAAAAACCCAACCAGTGAAGGTCAAGTTTCGAACAGCAGTTTGCTGTCAACAATTTAATGTAACTGCAGACGACGTTAGGAGTAGGCAGCTAGTTGTGGAGGACTCGAGGTGCTGTCGATGCGTTAGCTACCACCGGCTGTAGTTACATCTCTAAAATATAGATGACCCACGCTGAACTGTCCCACCAAACTCAATGACAGGGGGGCGCTACCTTCGTTCAACTATATGGTTTCCAACATGGCAAAAATCGGAAGCAGCGATCCGGTATTGACGGTGGCGCCCCACTGTCAATGTCATGGATAGGACAGTTCAGTATTTTGGAACTATAAATGCTGGAAAAATAATGATTCTTCTTCTGCGACCTTTTTCTTAGGATCCTTGTCATAAGTGTCAAATTTGAAACATCAAATTTTGCATTTTATTTGTTTACAAATATTTGATACAAAAATGTCGACAGACGAAGCATCATGTTCCGATTGCAAGATTGAAATCATCGACAGGAAGTGGACGCAGCTGCTGCTAAATTGGGTGAGGCTTAGAATCACATCATCGGGTCATTGAGTCTCCACTGCAGGAGTACGACCCTCTCTAATTTACCAGAGACAGATGGAAGTAGCAAGAAGATTGGCAGGAAGGCGCTGGATGCAGGCCGCTACCACCGGGAAACGTGGAAATCATTGGGGGAGACCTGTGTTCAGCAGTGGACGTCCTGAGGAAGGCGTCGGATGCAGGCTGCTATCAAGGCAATATAGAAATCATTGGGGGAGGCCTATGTTTAGCAGTGGACGTCCTGTGGCTGAAACGATGATGATGATTAAATGGAGGATGTGGCCTACACTCCCCTCACTGGCCAGATGGATTTAGGGATACCTGATGTTGGCATATTAGTCTCTCAGTCGCTTCTTACGATATCCGGGAAGGGTGGGGGTTCTATTCTACTCCGCCAGAATCACGGCTAAAGCAAGATTAATTTAGTGACTGAGTATCGTTCGCTACTTCTTCTCAGCACCAGCCCATAATATGTTGTTCCAAAGTATTAGTAGAGCAAGCTATATTTGGGAATAGCGCCCCGCCCACAACTTCATACGCGTGGACCCCGTTTTACCCCCTTAGGTGTTAAATTTTAGAAAATCCCGTCTTAGTGAGTACCTACGTTCTAAAAGGAACCCCTATGCAGAATTTGAGCCTCCTAGAATTTGTAGTTTCTGAGATTTCGTGATGAGTGAGTGAGTCAATCAGTCAGTGACCTTTCGCTTTTATAGATATACCTATGTAGATGTAGTGGAAAAGGCAAGTGCTGAATAAATAATTTGATTTTGAATATTCTTTCCAGATAAACAGATGTGTCTCCCCAAAGACCAAAGTCCGTCAGCTGGACACCAAGTGCCTGGTGGAGGTGATCAACAAGTACAAACATGATATCTGTGAGGATGAGCTTGACAGGGCTTTACTATGCACTGACGATCTTGAGCCGTTCATCAAGTACAAGTACCCGATCTTGAGACTGAGGTGAGGAAGTTTGACGCTATGAACGCGAAACTTGATCGATTCTAAAGCGGGTTCGAATCCTGCCAGGGGCAATAACATTTATTTGAAAACACGGGATCATGGACGTTTGTTTCCAGAACTAAACATTGTGGTCTCTTCATCATTATCATCATCAGGACATAATATTAGTCCCTACTGCAAATGAATGCAAGAGGCAAATGAAGGTTTTGGCTTACACTTTCTACCAGCCAGATGGTGATGATGGTAATGGACATACCTACTAATATTTATTATTAGTAGAAGCTATTTTGCAACAGAAAATAATGTCTAGTTTGATGTACATTACAATGTACCTATCTACTTTAATAACTCTTATGTAGTTGCTAAGTGCAAACTCTGTTTTGTCTAGTGTTTATAATAATAAAATTGAGATAATAGTATATCTTATTTTTGTGATACATTATTTAATAATCAAAACAATAACTAAAAAATTTGCTGCTACTACGCATAATTTCAAATTGGCAAAATGTCGCAAAAAAAACCGTCAAAAACTAAAAAAAACTAGTCACGTACTTAGATAAAATTTACAATAACTAAATTATGGCATGACAACGCAATTTCGTGATTAAAGACAAAGAAAACACGTGGCCGGCAGCGTGTGACCTTTTGACACGGTTATCGGTCGTGTCAGGGCGTTCGCTTTTAACATACATCAGCGGGATTAGAAAAGAAAAGAAACAAAACTGTTCCTGTGAATTAATAGTTACGGGACTATTCTCACCTTTTGTTCCCACCGCTGCAAATCCTGTGTAGCCAGGATCTACAGCTTGACCGCCATAACCCAACCAATGAAGGTCAAGTTTGTCCCGGGGGAAAGTCAACTGTCATTGGATCTGCAACGCAATTAATCAGAATCAACGAAAGTAATTTTAAGAAGTTGACGAAATTTTCTTCAATAATTTTAATAATAGATGTCCGCTGCTGAACATAGGCCTCTTCCAATGATTTCCACATCGCCCGGTTGGTAGCGGCCTGCATCCAGCGCCTTTCCACAACCATTATAAAATCAAAATAAATAAAAAAATCTGATGTTTTTCAATATCTATTATTATCATTTCCATTACTGGTTCATTTATCGTTATTAGGTCATTTAATTTCTACTGCATAAGAACTATCTAATTTACCAGAGGCAAATCGATGAGTGCCCTACAGTGCCCTTTAGTAGAGTTACTACTACAGTAGGGATTCTGATGATGAATCGGTTTTTAGCAAAATCAATGAGTAACTATTTATTTTAATTCTTTTTTCTTGTTCGCCGTAAATAATTCCTTTTCATAATAACTAAGTATAGTTTTTTATAACCCCGGACACTGGTGGTTGACCCCCGACTTTAAGATAACATAGTCTTTGGCAAAATCTTATATAAATAATTTCTTATATTATTATTTTCAGATGACTGGAAGTCTAGTTTGTATTTAGTATTTTCGCGATAATCATTGATTGTTTATGTTTCTGCATAATAATATGATTAAATAGTTAAAATTACTTGCCTTGATTAAATTGTCATATTCATCTGCCTCTGGTATAATAAAAGATGTTTCTTCAGCAGAATATAATTAATTTAGTTTCATATGATTATTACGAATTTTGTAATGTGTGCAGTACTTACAAAACTACTATCTTATCCTAGACTACTAGACTAAGAGCTGGTGAACGCCAGACCTACTTCATTTTATAAAAGCTGAAAGTTTGTCAGCGTATGCTCCCAATATAGGATAGAATGTTAGTGAATCATGAAGTTTGGGTCATGGTGGCTTTGGGAGCTACCCTAATTTTTTTTCTGTATATTCAATAGACTGTAATTCTACTAACGTTATACCATACGCTGACAAACTTTCAGCTTTTATAAAATGACGTAGGTCTGGCGTTCACTAGCTCTTAGTCTATACTCTCTTGTTGTCTCAGTTACTTGACAAGGAACCTGGTGTACTTATCCGGCTATTTTTTTCTATAAGATACCTGTCAGAAGACAAGGACATACCCAAGAAGCTGTACATCATGACGTCAATCCTGCTGTTCCACTGCTGCGCCAGCTCCCAAACCGGTGCTGTGGACAGCGACATCTGTTGCCGACTGAGCAAGACTGAACAGGAGTGGATATTGCAGTTCTGCGAGAATTTGAGCGAGATGGACCCTACTATTAATAATGTGGACTGTGCTATAAGAGGTGAAATAGTTTTAAAGATATAATCTAATTATTCGACCCCAACTAATATTATAAATGCGAAAGTAACTCTGTCTGTCTGTCTGTCTGTCTGTTACGCTTTCCCGCTTAAACCTCGCAACCGATTTTGATGAAATTTGGCATAGAGATAGTTTGAGTCCCGGGAAAGAACATAGGATAGTTTTTATCCCGGTTTTTGAAACAGGGACGCGCGCGATAAAGTTTTTCTGTGACAGACAAAATTCCACGCGGGCGAAGCCGCGGGCGGAAAGCTAGTTTCTTATAAAGTGCACTGCTGGACAAAGGCCTCCCCCAAGGACTTCCACAACGACCTGTCCTGCGCCGCCCGCATCCAGGCAACTCCCGCGACCTTCACCAGATCGTAAGTCCATCTTGTGGGGGGCCTGCCCACACTACTAATAGGTAGCTAGGTACTAGAGGTAGCTAATCGCTCATAGGATAGGCCCCCTTAATAGGCTAGTTGCCTAGAAAAATTTTTTTAGTCCGTAATGTTTAATATCAAAAAATATTGGACACATATATTTTTATTTGTCAATCTAACAAATAATTACATAGTTATGGTGCGTTGAAGTTGCGCACGACGTCACAACGTGCGGCATTTTTAAGCAAGCGTTGACGTCACAGGCCTCTTCTTATGAACTTTGGGGCGCTTTATCTCTTTAAATTTTCATTAGTTTGAAAAAGTGAAAAATACGTGTAGAGTATTTTTTGATAAGTTAACAGACGGACTAATTAAAAAAACTCTTGCTTTTTGACCCAGGCAACATCCCCATTGATATTTATTGTCCGTGGTGCATATCTTTTCTTAAAAGTATTAATATACCTTTGTTTGTCACCTGTCATCCGCTTTGCAATGGAGGGAAGTCGAACTTTAATTTCGAACTCCTCCTATATTCTTCTGATTAATTTCGTTGCGGGTCTAATGACAGTTTAACTTTCCCCCGTTTAAATTTCAAATTACGTTTGCCTTAACGCCGTTAAATATGGTCGGTTTGGTCATCCACTCTTGGAAGACTGCGGCACAGTTGCTTGATTGTGGACAATGTGACATTCGCTTTCGATTCTTCTTCGATATCGTTTCGCTATCTCTAATTAATAGAGTCGGAACTTAATGCTACTGTATCTAATCGCAAAGTAGCATCATAGTAACCAATTACATAAACAACCGTTGTTATTACTTGTTTATTAAATTATTTTCATAAACACAGTCACGGTTCTTGCCCCAATGTTGCATTGCTTTTCCAATCACAAGATAAATAAAAGCTCGCCTTTTTGTACAGAACATTGTTGTGTGTGCAATAGAGTCTTTAAATAAATAAATAAATAAATAAATAAAGATAAATTATTATTAATTACAAAAAATCGTAAAGACTGTCATGTAACCATGTTTGGCAAAAGTATAAAAAACTTCTCAGTGCGATAACCTCTGGGAATAATTTAAATTATTGTGCAAGAAACACTACTTGATTAGGTATTTGAATTTGGCAATAATAATTAGCTTTGTAATTTGTGTTGTCTATCGACCGATTATCGTTTAGAATGAACATGTGACGTGGGACGAAAAACGTGACCAAGAGTGATAAATAGGAATCATTCAAATTAGACGTTTAGAGCCGAAAGGTAGACGTCCGTTTGCACCGCACACGGAAAATTTTATGAATGACACTGCATTGGGACTAAAATTAAGATTTTACGCACACTGCAGTCCTGCTCAAAATTTCTAATTTCATATTATTATAATGGTTGGTCAATTTGGATACTTTTTCGGCTTTAGTAAGGCCCGAAGGATTGGTTTAAGGGACTTCAGAGGCTGAGCCCTCTGTTTTGATAAAAGGCTCTAAATAAGAATGTTGCAGCACTTGCAGCATTACTTTTTGAGATTCTTATGGTTACAAGAAAAATTTAAATTTCCCACAATAAAATTAGGAATTATCATTTGAAAGACAAGTTAAGCCGTCTCTCGATTGAGCCCTAGCAGAGTATCTTAACATGACCTTACGACATCCATTTTAAAATTTCTTGTATTTTTACAGGAGCATACGATATGATCGTCAATTCCAAGCAGATCATATCAGCAGCCAACTCTTCAAGAACTGACAAAACCTTGTCCAGATCAGAGTCCGCCTCAAAAGCTGGCTTAGACTCGAATCAAGAAATTCCTATAAAATCTCCAACCCCAACATTGAAGTTTAAGTCTTCTGTGACCGTTATGCCTTCAGTCACTGATACTTCAGACACATCCACAGACTATTCTGAATTTAAAGCACCAGCTTTCAAAGAAGAATTGGCAGAAGATGTAACCATATACAGCGTCAAAGAAATATCGCAGAAGGAGGAGGCTGCGGATACTGATGAAATGGTCGAAGTGTGTAGCGATGGGATGCGTTAGTTTCTTTTATTTTTATTCTGTTGATGTAATAGATCGTTTCATCCTCGAAGATGTGCCCCACCATTCTTCCGCTAATGTTTGAGTGTCATCTTGACTTAAGGTCCTATGTTCCCCTAAATGGGGCAGAGGGCGTCCACAACAGTCCTCCATCGCGTTCGGTCTTGAGCTTCGCGTTTGATCTCGCTCCAAGCCTTGCCGATCTTCTTCGCCTCGTCTGCCACAGTGCGCCGCCAAGTTTGCTTGGGGAGTGTTATTGGTACACGCTTAATTATTCATGCACACGCACACTACAATAATGACGCTCGGATTGCTCGGACCAAACTCCTCGCAACCCACGCTTCCCTCGACCAAAAATTGGTGGGGCGCGTCTTCGTGGATGAAACGATTCGGCAGATACGCCCATGTAAGGTATCTAAGACTTTCAGCAAAACAGAGCACATGCGTTACATTTACCTAATAGCTGTAGAGTAACATTAGAATTTTCGTTTTACGAGTAGAAAGTAGGAGTAGAAAAAACAATTCGGTATGTAAAATAATTAAGAGATTATTGAAGATGAAATTGTCCATGGATTTATTCCCTTCAACACTCGTGGAATAGGATACGGCGTTTTATTTTTCTGAATAATCTGATTATGTCACTTAACCTAATGCTAACGATATAGCGCCTTACATATTTCTCTTTCTCTCTTTTACATTTACTGCAGTGATAATTATATCAATTATTTTTTTTTACTTTACATACCGAATTGTCCGGGCTTCCAAGTGAGGAACTACGTGCTAGTGTTACGAGGTTCCTGGGAGGGTCGCACGGTCCAGGGAATCCAGGAAGCTCTGGAGAAACATATGCCTTCGCTCCAGGAGGTTTTTCAGAGCAAACTCCCTGATAGTAAGTAAAACGATTTAATTGCTACGGTAATAATTATATTACCCCTTTTATAAAGTTCTATTCTCACTCTGGGAGTCTGGGTTGCGTCCTTCAGTTCCGTCTGCAACATCTAATGACTATTTTTTTGTATAGGACTTATAACAGGTCTTTATGAATAGATAGATGTTGAAAATTGTAATTAGCTCAATATTTTAAACCTACGTTTTTTTACTTTTGTCATGTTTCTAATCAGAGGTTTTTATAAAAGTCTTAAAGCCACGTGGGTATTAATTTCTATATTAAAATCTTAATTTTAACCATAGATTGTCATTAAAATTGTTCAATTATTGTCTTTATGCTACATGCAAAGGTAATGCACGCATTGCACCCCGCTACTTCTTCTTTGGGAAATTAATCTTGTACCGTAACATTCAAGACAAATTAAAGGTGTTTCGTCGACAATATAGGTACAATTATAAATACCTACGAACCCTACCTTACACGTGTCATTATGTCCAAACCTACCAAATATTGTAAGTTTTTGACCATGAGTATAGGTTATAAGTCAGAGACTGATAAAAGGTAAACGCACCTTTGTTATCAAAATTCAGAACAAAACAATCATTTATTTTGCAGACCCAATTTTAAATTGGTACAAGTATAGTACAGTAATATTAGTGATAATTGGATGATAGGTAAATTTAAATGCATGTTATCTACATTATTTACTTTACATAAGTAATTTAATTTTGTGTATGTAGATAAATACAAAGTTGTTGGTTAAGTCCATCTGCATTTAAACCAATTTCAATTTTCACCGGTTCTTGATAAAGTTCAGCAGAAAGTAAAGAAAGAAAAGCTGACTGAAACTAAATATAGCAAATCCTTGGACCTTAGGGACACCTTTGTCCAGCAGTGGTCGTCATTTAGTTCCCACTGCATGAGCGCCCTCTCTAGTTTTCCAGAGACAGGTGGAGAATCTGCCTTACATCACATTCATCATCATCATCATCTCAGCCATAAGACGTCCACTGCTGAACATAGGCCTCCCCCAATGCTTTCCACGTTGATCGATTGGTAGCAGCCTGCGTCCAACGCTTCCCTGCTACCTTTACGATGTCGTCGGTCCACCTTGTAGGTGGACGTCCCACGCTGCGTTTTCCGGTACACGGCCTCCATTCCAGAACCTTGCTACCCCATCGGAAGTCAGTTCTGGCTTCTCAGTCCGTCAGTACTTCACATTGGCTTACCCCAATTTCTTTACTGGTATTTTTGTCTCCAGAACGCGACTCCCCTCCTATTAACTGTCAACCTGGCTGTGCCTGCAGTCGATGCAGTGCCTCAGGCCCGTGCTGTGGAGACCCTGGCAGTTCCATGGAACAGTGCAAGAGTTCCAAAGAAGAGAAGCTGGATGGACCACCACCAGACGTCGCAATCAAGGAAAAGAACGTACTAGAGTTAGTTCTTTTTCAGCTCCTAATCATCATTAATTTATTTATGTTAAATATGCCTCAATTCAACATTGCCGTCTGATTTTGTGTTATAAACTATGAACCATTTGGTTTCTTACCTTATGAAATGATGTGAGCAAAATCTTCAGTTTATGATTTTGATACTTAGAAACATCTAGGTAAGTACATTAGATCAAAAACAACAACAATAAGCTTTGATGTTATGAAACTAATCGTATTATTGTTATGGTCAAAATAGTATCCGTTCGGTTCAGCCGAATGACGTCCACTGCTGGACAAAGGCCTCCCCCAGGGATTTCCACAAAGACCGGTCCTGAGATGCCCGCATCCAGGCACCTTCGGCGACCTTCACCAGATCGTCGGCCCACCTAGTGGGAGGCCTACACTACGTCTTCCGGCTCATGGTCGCCACTCGAGAAATTTTCTGCCACTGCCACTAGATTTTAGCGATTCTGCGGGCTGGGTCAGTCACTTTGGTTCTCCTGCGGATCTTCTCATTTAAATAACACAATCAGTCCGACTTTTTTTATTTACAAAGTCCAGAATTTTGGGAAGTAGGAATGATAATCTGATTATAATTTTTATTTCCAGTCCTCCCTTCCGTTTCAACTGGAAACGGTACCTGGGCATTGTGTCTGTCGTGATGCTTTGTATAATGCTCGTGGTGCTCATCTCGTGGCCCTTCAGGTCCAAAAAGAAAGGTGAAAACACATACGTTAGGAAATTCGTTGATGAAGTTGGGTGAGTGAAAAGTATTTATTAAAATTTCTTAGCGATTAGAGTGGCCTCTCAAACTTTGGAAGAGCAGTCGCCCGGCAAGCGAAAGGTCGCGGGTTCGATTCCCGCATTAGGCAGTTCGATTTTTTCAAGTTGTTTATTTAAAATTTTGTGAAATGTATTGTCTACAATCTTTTGAAGTAAGTCCAAGGACTGCTTGTAATAATAGCTCATCTTTTCAAAATATGACGATTATAGTTTTAGCCCTTAACCCAGTCCACTGACTGGGTATGGGACTGGCACGGGAGGAGTAACTTTGACATATATTTTGACGTGACAGAGAATACAAATCTAAAGCATAATCTGAAGTGTCAGTGATGATTCACGTCTCAAAAACACCCTCCCGTGTCGCTCCCATGTTTCAGGTACTGACTGAGTTAAATGCTAGATCTTCAATACTTATTTGAGTTCTCGTTCCAGCATGCTAAGCCCAAGTACAGCGTGGCAATGCGAAAAGAATTACTGTCAAAAAGTCTACCAACCGTCATCTTCCAACATCTACTTCCAATCTTTGAGTAGATGCATTCTCCTCTGCATGGGGCCTCAGTTGTGGCCACATCCTATAGGATACACATACTTCAGCAAGAAGTTAGTAGCTCTAGCTACAAACAAACTAGAGTACAAATTCCAATCTGTACCATCTGAAACTGTGCACCAATATTTGGCGGAAGCATTCAAACTATTCATTGGAGATCTAGTAAGATTGGAGAGGATAGATGTAAAAAATAGGAACCACACAGAAGACCTAGTTATCAAGAAAATGAACATCCAAATTGACGTGGAAACAGATCCTGATCCCAGACTTAGACTGAACACCGAAGAGTCTTATACAGTCAAAATTGAGACGATGACGAATCAAGTCCTGATAACCATTGCCTCGCCATCTTTCTGTGGGGTCAGACATGGCCTAGAAACATTGGGCCAAATGATTCTTCTAGATCAAAGCACAGGATATCTGATAACGTTGACAAATGCCTTAGTAAAAGACGCACCTAGCTACAAATATAGAGGTCTGATGGTTGACACAGCAAGGAACTTCATACCATTACCAGATTTGATGAGAACAATAGATGCTATGGCGATGTGCAAACTGAATACGTTTCATTGGAGAATCACTGATGTGACTAGCTTCCCTTTACACATACCGGAGTTCCCTCAGTTATTTGAGTACGGGGCATATGACAGATCCTTGGTGTACACCTCAGATGATATAAAGGCTTTAGTGCACAGAGCTGGTGTTAGAGGCATAAGGGTGTTGATAGAAGTAGCTGCACCAGGCCCAGTCGGTAGAGCCTGGTCTTGGCTACCAGATGCAAGCTGTCCAAAGAAGAACGACAACTTCACTTGTGACAACATCCTTTGCTTGCGTCTTAAAGTAAAAGACACAGTATTTGATATCCTCCAAGCCATTTACTCTCGAATAATTGAGTTGACTAAAGTTGACGATGTTTTTCATCTGAGCAATGGTATATTTTCTTTGTCAAATTGTTACTATCTTATTGAAGATAGAGAAGGATTTCTGGATAAGGCGTTAGAGAGATTGAAGTTGGCGAATAAAGGTTTTTTGCCGAAGCTACCAATAGTCTGGTTCACCACACACTTGATGAGGGATCTGGAATCCAGGACGTGGGATAAATTGGGGGTGCAGATGAACGAATGGGTGCAAAATCCAGGAGATCAGTTCTTGAGCAGATTTAGGGTTGTGCATTCAAGCAGATGGGACTTGTCATGTGAAATTAAGAAGCAACGCTGTACGAAATACAGGCGAGTGTAGCAGCTGGGCTAGTTACAAGTACTCTTTTTCGTCGATAGGTCGTATTTATTTATGTCTCTTGTTTCAACCTCTAAAATAGTTGGTTCTTAGATAATTTTATAGGAATATTTATAATGATTGTGACGTTATCTCGATAGGACTTGGCAAGAAATGTACGCTTGGAAGTCTTGGCGTAACATCGAAGTGTTCACCATTGAAGGTGGAGAAGCGGTTCTGTGGACTGATATAGTTGATTCTGGTAACAAACTTAGAAAAAATATGTAAACTGTATACTGTATCAGTTGAAATAGAATCAACCTTCTCGCAAGTAAATATTTATTTATTTATTATTCATTATTGAGCAATTACATATTTGATTTTGATTATAAATGCGAAAGTAACTCTGTCTGTCTGTCTGTCTGTCTGTCTGTCTGTCTGTTACGCTTTCCCGCTTAAACCTCGCAACCGATTTTGATGAAATTTGGCATAGAGATAGTTTGAGTCCCGGGAATAGAACATAGGATAGTTTTTATCCCGGTTTTTGAAACAGGGACGCGCGCGATAAAGTTTTTCTGTGACAGACAAAATTCCACGCGGGCGAAGCCGCGGGCGGAAAGCTAGTGACTCCATAATTGGCAATTTGAAGAAGTGAGCCTTGCTAATAGTACTGTATGTTCTGGTTCATTATTTTTGAAATTTTACTTCAGGTAACCTGGACTACCACATTTGGCCGCGAGCGGTCGCCGTGGCGGAACGTCTGTGGTCAGACATCGCTGCCAACGCGAGTGCCAATGGCTACACTTATGTCAGACTTGATGCACAAAGGTGATGCAGGACATCATTTAGATTACACTTAAGCACAGAATAAGTAATAGTACAGGTACAGAAGGATTACTCCGCAAGACGATTTAAATAAATGCGAGTCTTGCTACGACGCGATACAGTGGAATTCAGCTCGCACAGCACTACGTACCTACAATTTTATTCACCTACAAGTTTTGTCTCTTTCTATCGCGTGCCTCTGAACTCTTCTTACGCTGTTAGGGTTGCTGTCTAGTAGTGTCTAGTAAAAAAATAATTTATCTACTTATTTGTAATGAGGTACGTATGTAGGTAAGTACGCATTCATTATGGAAAACCTTGGGAGAGGCCTTTGTCCAGCAGTGGACGTCATTAATTGGCTGAAACGAACGAACGCATTCTGAGCAGTATTCATGGTAAGTTAGGTTCCTATACTGTCCTAAGAATTATTGATTACCTACATGGCCAACATACCTTTCAACATCTTTGGGAAGCGAAAAAAAAGATAAATCCGGTAGATTTCTTTTCGAATTTAAACACCCGAACACCGCACAATAATATTTCTTTCTCTTTATGTCCATTTTTAAATAATACTTCGATCATAGAATTAGGTACTACAACGCACGCCAGCGTCCTGACCGGCGCGCGCGTGACACTCGACTGATATAATGCCAGTTGCATGATAAATGCGGTCAGTTATTCCTCAATATGGTTACTCAAGTACCAATTGCTCTAAGTAGCACTTGAATCCACGACTCTTCACTTGTTGGCTGACTTTTTTAACCACTGAGCTACGGAGACTGGTAAACCACTGTAAATCGTTGCAGGGTTACTAAAAAGTTAGCATCTGGTTGAACTCTGGTTTAAATTGACATTTAGTAAGGAAATGTCATTTTAAACCAGAGAGTAAATAGCTGTGTGGTGACGGCAGAGTAGAATACATTTGTCACCAACCCCTACTCTTCCCGCGGGTGTCGTAAGAGGCGACTTAGGGACTACACATCAAACAGAGAATGGGCAGCAGCGCTCTCTGAAAAACATCAATCTTTTATACTGCGATCTCCAACCCGCCTGCCAAGCGTGGGCATTATGGCAAAACCCTCCACTATAGTGGAGGAGGCTCATAGTCCAGCAGTGGACTGTAAAGGGCTGTTGATGATTGATGATGATGAAACCAGAGAGTTCGTCTCGGGTTTATTTTTTTTGTAATAAAGCCCAATGTGATTTTCTACCACCAAAAGTAAGTTCTTCTACCTCGTCTTATCCCGTTAAGCGATGTTGGCAGCTTTCCCAACCATCCTCCCACAGAAAGTACTAGAATTATTTATTTTAAAGCGCCTGAAAAACTACAAGACATTAATCTTTCAGATGGCGAATGTTGCTCCGAGGCGTGAAAGTGCAGCCGGTGTGGCCATTATACTGCAGTTTCAACCCTAGTGCTTGTATCCATAAACTAAAGTATTAGTTGCATAAATAAATAGTAATTGTTTTCCCTATTTCATTTTATTGTCGGAAAAAGAGAACTGAGTGTGAGTTTACATCAAACGCGCTCACTATTGAGCGCATAAAATGACGGATTGTACAGCGCCCCTAGCGGAAACGTTTTAGAACCAAAATTTTCATACATTTTTCTAACGCGCTCACTAGTGAGGAGGACGTTGTAAACTCGCAATCAGCCCACTGGTTGGTATTTGGCGTCAACTCCAACCCGTCTAGCTAATATGAGGAGTGTAGTCAAGTCCCTCTATTGCCAGAGAGAAGATGTGATGATGAATCATTCTCTAGAGGAGACTACCTTTTGTACCCTTTGCACCACCGGCCTGCACCACTGGTGGTGCAAAGGGTATTTTTAAATCCCTCTTGCACCACCAACAAATAGTGCTGTGCTACCATCGACTGTAAAACTAGTAGTAGACTGTAAAATACTTAATAATTTAATTGTTATAAATAAATTAAAACCTACCTAAAAGTTTTAATTTGTGTGTGTGTAAGTGCCTATAAACATTTCACTTTAGACCCACGATACCCCGGGCCTACATCCTACATACAACGAATAAAGTACCAGGGCAACATAACCATAAAGGAGATATTTTATGATACATGTTTATTTCTCGGGTCAACCAAGAAGAATTTGATATAGCTCCTTTATTATGATTATGTTGCCCTGGTACTTTAGGAATTATTCGTTGTATGTAGGTATGAATGGTTGTTATTATTTTTTATGTTATGTTGTCAAATCTGTCCAGTAGTTTCGGAGCCTATTCAGTACAAACAAACTATCAAATCTTTCCTCTTTATAATATTAATATTATATGATTATAGATAATCGTTTTACAGTTAATGGTAGGGCGGCACTATTGGTGGTGCAAAAGGGATTAAAAAATACCCTTTGCACCACCAGTGGTGCAGGCCGGTGGTGCAAAGGGTACAAAAGGAAGCTTACTAAACTTTATTTGACGTTAAATAAAACAATTTAATAACATAAAACAAAGTTTATTAAAAGATTTCTAAATTATTCTACTTTTTCGTAAAGAACACCTCTGTGATCAGCTCTTTCACATTGGTATAGGTACCGACACAGCACAGCGCGATGCCGAAAAGTAAGATGATGATGAACTTGATCAGCCGCCACTTCATGAAGCCCAACCCTGGCTCCTCCCAGTCGATGCTGAGTTCGATGAAGGCAGGGAAGATAAAGCCCATGTTGGAAAGGCAGAATGAGCCTAACTGTTGAAAGAAGATACATTATTACAACGTTCATAGACTACTTGTCTCCACTACAGGAGCAAGACTCTCTAATTATATATTTGTTTTAAAGATTATTAGTAATTTGTTATTTCACAAATTACTAATACTGCTAACACTCCCGTTAGCCCCTCGTACTAAGCTATACCTTAATTCTTTAGAAATTTCCCTAAATGTAAACAAATATGGCCAACTGACAATAAAACATTTTTAATCTGTGCCCTAGTGAGACGACAAAACCTCTCGTTAATCGCGGATTGAAATTATTGTAGTATAGCCTGACCAGGAACATAAAAACCCTCGCCATGTTGCGGAAAACTAATGGTACTAATTTCTTTTAATGGCAACAGTAACTGAAAACGTCATTGACANTGATAACGTTGACACAAACATCATTTACCACTATTTAGGTCGATTTAGGTATAAGAATAGGAAATAAGATACCGCGCAAGCACTCTTTAATTTAACGGCTGCTCAAGACGATTTGACAGTTGTTTGAGTAATGCTTATCGTTGAATGGCGTTTCAGTATGCGAAAATTCATTTGAGAGGCGTTTGAGTGCAACTTAATTTGAGAGGTGCTTAAAAATTGAGAACTGCTCAGATATTGTTTTGAGTATGCGAAATGTAAGTTTAGGAGCTGCTTAACTATTTGAGAAGCCGTCAAATATTTAAATGGCGTTTCAGTATTCGGCCGTAATTGAAATAAAATCGATTAAATTTACCGATTATTGTCTATGACTTACAGGTTACAACACTGATGTGTCAGAGACAACATGGAGATAACACATAATTTTAAACTTCAAGTCAATTTGACAAGTCTCACAAATTTTCATCTTTCACATAATTTTGCTAAAATAATTTGTTTAAAGATCCAAACTTGTATAATCGTGAGAATAAAGTTGGTTTCATGGGCTTGTGAAATAATGTGTATGATATTATGAACACGTAAGTGATTATGGTGTAATTGTGTGCAGAAGTGTTTGTTTACATTTAAGGAAATTTCTAAAGAATTAAGGTATAAATATGCTTGTATCACGAGTTAGCTCACCACAATAGTCGAGCGGCGGCGGGGACCGAACCCGCGTTCCCCGGATCTCGAGTCTGCCAGTCCGACCACTTCACCGTTCGGCTATTGTGGCTTCAATTTCTTATTTACCAGAGGCAAATGGAAGATTTTGAGGAGGTGCTATAAAACTTGACTATAGAGATTCTACTGTCAGTAGAGACCTCTGGAATAAGTGTCCGGTGTAAGAGGAAATCTAGCGTATTGTCAGTTTGTCAGTGTTTTAAGAGTGCAAGAGTGCTGAATTTATAAGCATGTCCTTATCACTTAGCGAACTGATTTGCACTTCAATGCATAGTAGAGAGACTCGCTATTTCTTTAAGGCCTACAGCAAGCTACAAGTTCTACGTACCACTCCCATGAACTTGGACACATTAGGGAAGGTGACAGCAATGAGCGTGATGCCCAGCACAAAGATCGCACGGTACACCCTCTCCCATAGCCAATACTTCTCAGCCGGGTGCCTCTTCTTCAAGTAGTACCACACGAGCTCGAAAGGGACCCAGAAGTTCAGTGCAAACGTCACGTAGATCATGAGCGCCATGAACACCTTCAGGATTATGGGGAAGCTGAAGAAGAAATTAAACAGTTTGTATAAATGTGCCTATCATAAAATCAGACGCCATTCGTTTGTTCGTTTCAGCCAAATGACGTCCACTGCTGGACAAAGGCCTCCCCCAAGAATTTTCATAACGACTGGTCCTGCGCTGCCCGCATCCATGTATGTACTTCTCGTGATCTTCACCAGGTTGTCAGTCCACCTAGTGGACCTTACCATAAGTGGGATTGGAATTGAAGTCGCCAGCCATTCGATGACGATTGCATCAGCTCTTACTCTGGACTTCTAAGGAGATATTTTGTAAGCTCATGGGTGGACTAGTATTAATATTTTACATGTAGGCTGAAATGAAAACTCACATTTCCATTGGAAAATTGACAGTGACAGGGGACTTGGAATTTTCACCAAAACCCCAATAGCCGAAGAAGCCAACGGTCATCACCATGGCTACCACAATGGACATTCCTGGAGAGAAAAGGAGTATACAGTTTGTCTTAATAATTCTTGGAAAGAGTACAAAAAATACATAGATACTCTGATACTCTGGGACTAGAGGCGCAGTGTAACTATTGGGCAACTAAAAGTCGGTGGCCTGCGCATAAGCTTAAAGTTACCTCCAGCCAGCACGATAGGGAATTTCCTTGGCTCCTGCATGCTGTTCTCGATGGCCAGGGTCACGCCCACACCCTCCATGCTGAAGACACAGACGCCCATGAACTCGAACAACCCTGGCACTGTGCCGAATATCTTGAAGTCCAACGGGCTCTTGGTGTGGAATCTTACACCATAGTAGATGGTTGCTATGGCCACGATCACTGCAAAAGAGAATTGTTTGTACACGGGACTATTCCCACCTCTCGTTCCCACCGCTGCAACTCCTGTGTAGCCAGGATCTACAGCTTGACCGCCAATAACCCAACCAGTGAAGGTCAAGTTTGTCCCCGGGGAAAGTTAAACTGTCATTGGACCCGCAACGGAATTAATCAGAAGAACATACGAGTTCGAAGTTAAAGTTCGACTTCCCTCTAGTGCAAAGCGGATTGTTTGTACAGAGAGAAAACAGTAACTAGTCTTATTTAGTGGAGACAGGTACTATTTTGCAGCAAATTCGTGTAAAAGCTTTGTGCTGTTCACGGACGAGTTAAACGATAGTTTTAAAAGCCTGTATTCCACCAAGGCGGAGCGGAGAATGGTCGGGCTATCTATTTTGTTCTTATATCAAAACCTGATAGGTTATTCAAAAGCACTTCTTCACTCTGCTTCGCTTTGATGCAAAACAGGCCTTAGGCCCAGAACACACGGTGAAACGCAATTGCAACGAAAATGCAACTTCTAGTTACTTTTGAGTTGCATCTAAGTTTCTGCCATAGCGTCCGTTGAGAGACCACACATGACGCGACCAGTTTGAAACTTTCAGTTTCAGTTTCATTCATCAGAATCATCAGAAAGTTGCAATTTCGTTGCAGTTGCGTTTCACCGTCTGTTCTGGGCCTTACTCTAACCTGAATCGTCATAAATAACAATACATACCGATGAATACATCAGCAACAATCGAGAAAGGCGCCAGATACTTCAGAGTGGTGATCATGCAGATGAGTATGCAAGGGATTAGCAAACAGATGATGTAGACCCGAATGCTGGGGTAGGAACCACTGCCTTCATTGGTGACGCTGTCGGTGTTCTCGACCAGCTGCTTGATGGTGCGAGAAATGACCACCTGGTAGACGCAGCACGAGCCGAACAGATCGATCGTGATCGTTGCGTCCACGCAGTATCTGAAATCATGGTTTTTCAACAGGTCAATGTCAATTCGTTTAAAAACTTCTCGTGCCTCTAGTTCGTACAACTTTCGTCTTCGAATCGTTTGCGTATGCGACAAAATTCAATACCCAGCCTTCGAATTCAACGGTAAAGAAAGAAAGAAAGAAATAGATTTTATTGATCACAGTAAGCACAAATTATAAACAATAACAACACAAACAGAATATAGAAAATAATGGGCCACTGTGTCAATAGGCTCTCCCGCTCAGTATTTATCATGACATGCTCGTAAGAGTATGTCAAGAAACTGGTCTTCCGCGATAACGTGACGATCTCGATTGTCAAAATCAGTTTCGTGCTGCCATTTCTCATGACATACTAAGTTCACTTTGTGTCACGTTCACAGGGGCGCTGTTTAAGTTTTCGTACTAATTCGTTTGATGGCAATTCGAATACGCAAACGATGCGAAGTCGAAAGTTTTTCGTGCTATAGATAGTTGTATCCTGCAGTATGTTCCTGTTCACAATTTTTCGACAGTTTACAATCTCTCGGTTCTAATCTAACGGTTTTTACGATCTTACGGTGACATATCCAACTAAAATTTACAGTCTGATGTGCATACACATATATGTATACACTGGTGTCTTATCTGGCCGTAATAAGAGCTACTTTGCAAGTCGTCGTTTCAGCCGAAAGACGTCCACTGCTGGACAAAGGCCTCCCCCAAGGATTTCCACAAAGACCGGTCCTGCGCCGCTTGCATCCAGGTACTTCCCGCGACCTTCACCAGATCGTTGGTTTGCAAGTAAAATGTACAATTTATAGAAGTACCGAAAGCACTTGGCGCATTTCTTCCATTTCGGCCAAGGCCCGACCTCGAGGGACGCTTGGGCCAAGTCTGGGAACGTCATCTTCGGGACCTGAACGCGACCATACATCCTCTGGGCGGATTTAGCGAGAATCTGTTGAAGATAGATACAAATTTCTACATCAACAATAGAGTGAGAGCTAGCTTTTTCTTTGGATTTAGCGAGAACCTTTTAAAGTATAGAGTGAGGATTATAATTATCTACGATTCTAGGTGATGCATTGTGAGAGCCAAAATGGCTGAAATAAATAAATTGCACCTATCCTATTACCAGAAAAATGTGAAACGGTGAGCATGAGTGATCTGTTTTAATGGTTTTATTTACAACTAGCTGACCCGGCGAACTTTGTTCCGCCTTAATGGCAATAAATAAGCAGACTTTTTTTTATTTCGAACCGGATAAAAAGTATCCTATGTCCTTCTCCTGGCTCTAAACTACCTCCCTGACAATTTTCAGCTAAATCGGTTCAGCCGTTCTTGAGTTATAAGTGGAGTAACTAACACGACTTTCTTTTATATATTTACAAATATGTATTTTGTGTTCAGTGAGCGCGCTTTAAGTGCCAAGTGAGTTGTCGTTATGTACAACTCGCTTTAAACCCGATGACATCTTGAAACCTGCTTACGGGAATAGGTCTCCACGGAATCCACGATAAAGCAATGGAACTAAACTAAAACACCCACGTTATATTGATAATTATGCCAATTTTGCTCTCGACATTGGCAGAAGTAAACCTCCCAGAGACATTTGGTTGCGATACTTGCCATTAAACAAAAAAAAAGAAGTATCAAACATACCAGCATGCAGTAGCTGACAGCAAATCCTAGAAACACGTTGAGGACCAATGCAGTCCAAAGCCCGCAGGTCTTGTACGACTCGTGGATGGCCACTATGCCCCCACCTAGGCAGCTCTTCACCAGGTGACCGATGGACTCTAACACACTGGAATAAGGTTGAAAATTAGCTTGACCAGTGGCCTAATTCACGTATTCTGACAGTCAAGATCTCGCTGACGTTCAGAAGTCCGAAGTCCAATTGAAAAACAGTTCTAAATCCGTATTCACAAGGGTCATTCCGATAGAACGATTACTCGATAGGATCGCAACTCAGCGATTTGTTGTTGTTGAAGTTTTGTTACGTGAATAAGGCTACTGGGCTGTGTGTGACAGAAGAAGATAGAACGAGCTCGCTTCAAAGTAACTAATCGGCTATATCACACTGGAATTAGGGTGAAGATTCGCTTAGCCAGGGCTGCACTGAAGTACTTCAAGTCTTCACGACAGAAGAAAATAGAATGTCGTGAATGGCCATTATGCCTTCAACCAGGCAGCTCTTCACCAGGTGGCCGATGGACTCTAACACACTGGAATAAAGTTGAAAATTAGCTTGACCAGGGCTGTGATAGAAGAAGATACATAGAACGAGCTCCCAAGTGACTGATGAGCTCTATCATACTGGAAAAAGGTTGAAATTAAATACGTGTTATGGATGTAAATACTTCTTAATCAGCTAGGCCTAGTATTCATCTAATAATAATAATAACAAAATCAGGCATGTAACTTGACTATTCGCGCCACAGTGACCAAAAAAGTGCATAAGCACAGAAATTTAAAACATTATAAATCGAAAACTATCAAAAACTGCGGAACATACATGGGGGTGATTTGGATAGCCCTAGTGATGCTCTCCCTCTGGGCTTCGGCTTGACACTACTTTTTGGGACATCCTGTATAAACGGACCTTTAAAGGAGGCTTTATTATTGAGATTTTGTACTTACTTGCATTTACGTCCCTCGCCTCTAGCGCCGATAAAGTCATAGGTCTTCGCAGCCTCCCATGTATTTTTGACTTCAAACTTGTCGATAACTTCCGTTGGCTAAAAGGATAGATTTTATTCACATAAGTCCCTTTGGCCCCATGCCCACCCACAAGGTGGACCGACGACCTCATAAAGGTAGCAGGAAGTCGCTGGATACAGGCCGCTGCCAACCGGCCATTGTGGTAATCATTGGAAAGGCCTATGTTCAGCAGTGGACGTCCTATGCCTGAAAATTATGATGACGACCCATCATTTCAGCCACATAACATCCACTGCTGAACATAGGCCTCCCCCAATGATTTCCAAATTGATCGGTTGGTGGCGGCCTGCATCCAGCTCCTTCTTGCTACATTTATGAGGTCGTCAGTCCATCCTATGATGCCACAGATTGTATGTTATCAAGTAATACATAATAATATGTTACCAATAATTACTGTAGTCATAGTGAATACGTGTATGACTTTCACATAAGTATTCTCATATTTTAGATAATGGCCTTCCATTATCTAAAATTAGGCCCTTAATTTCACGATTTTTTATTTAAGTAAATTACATATAATTTTTACTTACGCCGCCATGTCTTGGTCTATCGCGGATTGATAATCCCAAACTCTGTAAGCAAACGATTTTCATTCATTTCATAAAACTTAAACTAAAATAATTTCAAATTTCAAATAAAACATACAAAAGTGAAATAACCAGACTGAAACTTACCTCAACACTTCGTTGGTCGACCTGAAATATAACGAACGCAAGTGAGAAAAGAACAAAAGAAAATAATATAAAAAAGTCAAGTATTAGAATATTTAACTCATAAAAAGATTTTTAAACTAAATTTTTAAAAAGAGTGACTGTAACAGTATTACATTTTATTTCGTTTCTAAACACAATCCTCATTGAATTTTTACAGCTAATTTAAGTAGGTACTTTTATGGAAAAGTTGTTCCACAGCCACAGCCGAATTAGTTGAAAGTGTTACTACTCAATAGAAATATTAATTGCATATAAATGATATAGTGAAATAAGTACTTACTACAACATTACGTGATGATGCACTTGACACCCGAGAACTCTATGTAAAGAAAAAATAAATAGTATTTTATATTATGTTTGAAAGGCGTTTATAGTATTCAATGTAATTAATTACTGAAAAAACTGCGATGAATTAGTTAAACTGTTGTTGCAAGCTAAAAATTCCTACATAACAATTGATTTATAAATATTTTTTTAACGTGAGTAGTTAACTCTTTAAAAAAATTTTTTTTATTACTTACGTGAGTACTTCTTCGATCCTGAAAGTTGTAAATAAAAAAGGTTAAATTTAGAATACTTGGTAGATGGTAGAGGCTTACGCCCGTATTCACAAACGATGCTTGCTTAAGTGAAGCAGCAAATAGAACGCACAGCGTTGAATAGAGCTCTGTAATTGGTTCGTGTGTCACCCTGTGCGTCCACGCGCACTGTGAGACCTCATAGAAATGTTTGTGAATACGGGCGTTATTTAGTTTGATATCAATTGGAAAATTAGAATATCTTATTAATTACCTTTTAATGTTATTAATTAAATACTTACTGGAGTTCTTCTGGTAGATTCATGGCTAGGGACTCCAGAGGCCTATACATACAGATTTAATTAGTAAAAAAATACATATTTTTATGTTAACTAATTTTAATTTATTATGAGTATAAAGAGATTAAACTACTCACTTGAACAGGACTCCCTGCAGGCTGAAAATCAATAAAGATTAAATAATTTCTTGAAATGATCCTTCTGTTATGACTCCTAGATTATGCTGTGATTCAAAGTCAAAGTTAAAGCTTTTATTCAAAAGCACTTTGGTCCTTTCCAGGGCGATTATACACGTCCCAAATATAGCTTGTCCTACCACCACTTCGGGACAACATACATATTATGGGCTGGTGCTGTGAAATTGCGGAAGAAACTCAGTCACCTTTGGTTGGTTGTGATCTCAGTGTAATGAAGGATGGGTTACGGGACTATTCCCACCTCTCGTTCGCACCGCTGCAACTCCTGTGTAGCCAGGATCTACAGCTTGACCGCCAATAAAAACCCGACCATTGAAGGTTAAGTTTGTCCCGGGGGAAAGTTAAACTGTCATTGGACCCGCACCGAAATTAATCAGAAGAACATAGGAGTTTGAAGTTAGGTTCAACTCTCCCTCCATTGCAAAGCAGATGATAGGTGACAAAAGGTTTTGTAAACTTTAAGATAAGACCCCGGGTACATTGTACATTACGACAGAAATCTAATTTTTTTCTGATACCGTACTTATGCGTCAGCAGGATACTCACTGGAGTGCTGTTAGGTTGTATTGTATCCCGGCTGGGCTCGCGACTTGGGTTTTGACTTGGTCCTCTCTATTTCGAAGAAAAAAGCAACGTCAATAAATCTATTTTGACCAATTAGTAAAAAAGGAAGCGATTTGAAAATTTAATTAATTAGGTACTTCTATCTAGTTTTCGATTCGATAGAGTCTACATAGGTAAAGGTAGCAGGAAGGCCTCAGTGGGCCTACTCCGAATCAAATCAAATCAAATCAAATCAAATCAGTTTATTTGCGTGAAAAGTGGTCTACAAGTTCTTACAATATTAAAAAGTCCGCACAGTCCACCAGAAGCTGGNCGAATATTGCACTTAACCTTTTGATTAGACCATTGTGCGCTATTTGATCTTCCTATTCCAACCGCTCCAGATCCCCCCAGGTAGCAGCAGCCTATCTAGGTCTCTACAGGCCATCTGCAGCGACCCTGGTGATTGGAGAATTTGAGCCTGTTGATCTGCTACGCTTCTGCACTCCTTGTGCACGTGCTGTGGTTTTTCTTCTGCCTCCATGCATCTTCTGCACATCAGGCTGTCTGTACAGCTATACTGTGTAGGTGTTTGTTTAACATACCTGTTATTACACTTAGGACCTTGCGGATGTTGTCCCTGTTAAGTCTTATGAGTCTTTAACTTTTTCGATTTAATATCCACAACTGCATCCTTTGTTTGCCTACATCTTTCACAATCTTTCCATTCTGTGTGGTGTTATTTTTCTATTTTGGAGCGCAGCCAGGTCTTGATCTGTGCTTATGGTATCGGCATTATAATTGTTCCGGACCAAATACCGTCGTGTACGCTCCCCTTCTGGCCAGTTCATCTGCTGCGTCGTTGCCCAAGGAGTTACTGTGTCCTTTGATCCACTTCAGGAGTACAGGGTAACGCCGTTTGCATCTGCAATGACTTAGGAGCGCGTCATGGCATTCCAATATAAGTATTATAATGTATAGCCTGACCAGGAACATAAAAACCCTGGCATAGTGGCGCGTCAATTGCATTTGATAGTGCAACACTGAGTACAGTCGTACCTGTGTTAAATTAATAGGCTAACTTTATGTATCAGGATTCAGGATTACGGGCTTATTTGATATTTTCATAAATTAACGAAAAAATATTATTATAGGTAACCTGATTTAAATAAAGCTAGTAGAATTTATTTTATTATTCATCAATAATCAAATTCAGAACTTGAATATTCAACTGCAATGTCTGCTCATGAACGCTTCAAACTCGGTACTTCTTTCCCAATCCCATAAAATTCAACACTTAGAAAGTGACAAAAAATTTTAAAATAGGTAGTTGAAACAAACCACAGCTAATTTTCATAGTGGACTGTACTATACGATAAACATGTCAGTCAATTTGACAACCTTTGTCGGAATATATACAGGGTGTTAGGTAAATGGGTATATGAGCCGACACTAGCCCATGTTAACATGGTCATATAAATGGTATGGTGAAGTCAGAAAATCGATATCTTCATTTTAATAATTTTATTTTTCATACAAATCGGATTTAAAAAAAATATTTTGTATGAAAATTAAAAAAATTAAAATGATGATATCAAATTTCTGACTTCACCATACCATTTATATGCCCATGTTAACATGGGCTAGTGTCGGCTCATATACCCATTTACCTAACACCCTGTATATAAAAGAAAGTCGTGTTAGTTACTCCACTTATAACTCAAGAACGGCTGAACCGATTTAGCTGAAAATTGTCAGGGAGGTAGTTTAGAGCCAGGAGAAGGACATAGGATATCCCGTTCGAAATAAAAAAAAAGTCTGCTTATTTATTGCCATTAGGGCGGAACAAAGTTCGCCGGGTCAGCTAGTATTATTATAATTTTATTTTACACTTTTTAGTAGTAGACTAAGAGCTGGTGAACGCCAGATCTACGTCATTTTATAAATGCTGAAAGTTTGTCAGCGTATGCTGCCAATATAGGATAGAATGTTGGTGAATCATGAAGTTTGGGTCATCGTGGCTTTGGCAGCTATCTTAAAAACTGTCTGGCACGGAGTTGGAACTGTCAAAACTGTCTGGCTGATGTGGAAACTACTTTTAATTATTGCCCTAATATTTTATATTAAAATCATCTTTTATTTTATGGTATAAAGTAAGCCTAACTTTTACGGTAGCTTTTTCTGTATGTTTAATACTGTAATTCTACTTACGATATATATTTTTTTTCTTTCCTCTTATTATCTACGATCGGCCATCCATAGCCATAATTAGATGTGTTCTAGGAGCGGATTATTTGACTGGTATTCCATTGAATAGCAAAGTCCATCACTGGTAAAAGCTCTACTTTCTCTCGCTGAGCTCGAGGATGTGCCATCTCTTGAGGCGCTTTGTATCTTCGTCCATTAGCAAGTTCTTGGCCAGCGCGTTGCTATGTCTGTCGAGGCTCTGTCTGAACTTTTTGCTGTAGTTGCTCACTTCCTCCTTTACAGTCGGCATCTCAAGGTATTAGTGTATTTCTGCGTTTCTCACAAACCAGTGGGCGCTGGAGACTGTTCTCAACATACATCAGGTGTCTCAGGCAGGTCTGCTGTATATGGAGTATAGGACAGGTCCGAGCACTGATCCTTGCGGTACTGAGGCTCTGATTTCACACAGCTTGGAGAATTCTTCTTCATATTTTACTTGAAACCTTCTTTGTTCCAGGTAGGATTTTAGGATCATGTAGATTGACTTCGGTAGTAGGGTTTTTAGTTTGTATAGTAGACCCTTGCGCCAAACTTTGTCGAATGCCTGTTGTATGTCTAGGAATACAGCAGAGCAGTATTCTTTTTTCTCAAGTGATTGCCTGATTTTTTGGACCACTCTGTGCACTTGCTCAACAGTAGCATGTTTCTCCCGAAACCCAAACTGGTGATCCGGTATGATCCTATTCTCTTCCAATATATGGTAGATATCTTCCAGACTTCCTACTTACGATATACCATAAAATCAGATTTTTATGTATAATATTTGGGCAATGATTAGAAGTTGTTTCGACATCAGCCACACAGTTTTGACAGATCCAACTCCTTGCCAGACAGTTTTTTTAGGATAGCTGCCAAAGCCATGATGACCCAAACTTCATAATCCACCAACATTCTAAGCTATATTGGGAGCATACGCTGACAAACTTTCAGCTTTTATAAAATGACGGTCTGGTGTTCACTAGCTCTTCTATATACAGTGTGTCCGGGCTTGTAGTGATCAAACTTTAAGGGCGTAATCTATGGACAATTTTATCGATGAAAATACTTCAAATTTGGGGCTTGACCCATTTCTCGCAAAATCACGAGGATTTAAGTTTTTATTTTTTNCCTCTTATCCCATAAGAATTACATTTTTTTATAAGAATATCGTGTGACACAAAATCAAAGGCCTTGCTCATATCAAAGAACACGGTGGTTACAGGTATCCGAAAAACGCAATTCGAAGTTCGTATATTTCCATCCCTCTGACACAAAGAGAGGTGCCAACATGAGCAACAGTGACAAATAACCGAAACTACGTGTGTTTGGGAGTAGTCCTGCAGGCCGCTACCTACCAACTGATCAATGGAAATCATTGGAGGAGGCCTATGTTCAGCAGTGGACGTCCTATGGCTGAAATGATGATGATGGATGAAAGAGTACATGCTGTGGAAATCTTTGGGGGCGGCCTTTGCCTATCCGTGTCTTTTAGTTCAAACGAATAGTCTAACTAAATTTAACCCTTTATATGGCAGTGGGAATAGAGTTCCCACCATATTTTGAACCTTATGCCCTTGTCTGAAAGCCAAAAAAATGGTACATTTGGACTTGTTCAAATTCAAATTCGTTTATATCTATAACTTAGCCTAGTTCAGTTACAAGTTGTTGGAGCTTCATGTTTTAAGCAACAGATGTTGCTTGTGTTATGCCTATCAAAGGCTTAAATACTCAGTCAGTGTTTTCAACGCCCTTCTAGAATCGACCTATTCTGCTTCAATTCAAAGATTTTTTTATAGTAACTTACCGGAGTATTCACCATCCTCCAAGAACTATTCTAATGCTTGAAGAAATTCAACATCAATTTGTACAGCATGTAGAAAAACAGAAACATTTCACAAAAACGACACACAAATTCAGTATCAAAATTATTCTCTTTGTCAAACTGTCAGTACGAATAAAAAGAGTCGTGACAAGTTATTCTTCTAAAATTAATAAAATGTCATAATTTATCTTCTCTATGAGCAGGTAAACCTTCTTTTTAACTTTCTTTAGAAAGAAGAATGTAATATTTTTGTATTAACTTTTTTTTTCAGAATTGGTATCGGTATCGGTACCGAATTTACAAAAATTGAGCAAGTTTTTAGATAAACTGGATTTTATTTTGTAATTGTTTGTTGGGTAGTTACCCTATTGTTAGAAAATGTAACTTAAAATTAAATTATCTGTAAAATTAATTGTCAATATAAAACATTAAGGTGAGGGGAAATAATAAATGAAACAATTCATTTAAATATATGTACAAACATTAATCGTTTATTTGTTTAAGACAAAAATATCACCTTCGTTTACAATTCACGTAAGAAGGCACCCACATAATAATATAATACATGAATTCTAATACAGCGAAGTATGTATGATTATTAATAGTATAGCCTGACCAGGAACATAAAAACCCTGGCATAGTGGCGCGTCAATTGCATTTGATAGTGCAACACTGAGTACAGTCGTACCTGTGTTAAATTAATAGGCTAACTTTATGTATCAGGATTCAGGATTACGGGCTAATTTGATATTTTCATAAATTAACGAAAAAATATTATTATAGGTAACCTGATTTTAATAAATTAAATGAAACCATCAATCGAGTTAGATTTATTTTATTATTCATCAATAATCAAATTCAGAACTTGAATATTCAACTGCAATGTCTGCTCATGAACGCTTCAAACTCGGTACTTCTTTCCCAATTATATAAAAATGAAACCCGTTTCGCGTTGTCACGGCATCACGTGTGAACGGCTGAACCGATTTCGATAATTCTTTTTTTTTAATGTTTGTGGAAGTCCAAGGATGGTTCTTACGGAAAAAAATATTAAGAAAATCTCTACGCTAAGGCGGTACGAAGTTCGCCGGGTCAGCTAGTAGTCTATAATATCTCAATCTCAGAGCCTTGGTTCAATTACAATACAATTTAGCACCAAAGACAAATCCAACAAACCCAAACTCGATAAGTTTCCACCGTTTCGTTTAGGAATTCCTATGGCCACCTCCTGACTCCATCATCAAGACCCTGGATATCTTCTAGTACTAAAGTGCTCGAAAAGACAAATCCAACGAACCCAAATTCGATGCGATTCCGCCGTTTCATTTAGGAGTTCCTATGGCCACCTCCTGACTCCATCATCAGACCAGCTTAATGGTACCATAACATTGCATTTTCATCGTACTTACATAATTCTACCAAACAGTTCAATTGGTTGAGGAGAACTGGTCTTAAATGCAGTTGCAAGATTTGTCCCACACATACTAACAAGTGAAGTCAATATAAAACTTGTAAATAAATAAAAAAATAGCATATTTTATATCGTTTCGTTCTGGTTACAAAAACTGTTGTTTTGGGTTCTGGAAGTTCTGGAAGCCCGAACGTACTTGTCAGAACGCGTTTTTCAAGTGTTTTTCAGCGTGCCTGCTGTATCTTTTTGGTAAATAGTAGGTACTGGATTAACGATTAACGGACTTAGGATAATTTAACGGAAGTTAACGAGTCCGTTAACAATTTTTAAAGTTAACTTAAAAGTTAATCCGTTAATAGAAATGTTAACTTCGTTAATTAACGATTAACGGATTAACGAGTTAATGCCCAGCTATGTACGTCAATTAGTTTCCGAGATATTGAATTTTAAAGGTGCGGCGGCCGGCCCGCCATTTTATGCGCGTTACGTCATAAATAGTGATTGGCTCAAATTTGTATGGGTGGAATCTTGCAAGCTGAATTAAGACCCACTTCCGGACAACCGATTAAGCTGAAATTTCGCATACTCGTGTAATTTGGATGACCATGCAATATTATGATGACATGGAGCTGATCTGATGATGGAGCTGGAAGGTGGCCATAGGAACTCCATAATAAAACGACTTAACTCCATCGAGTTTGGGCTCGTTCATTTTGTATTGACGAGTACTTCAATTCTATATAGTAACCTGGGTCTAATGATGGAGCTGGAAGGTACTTCGCAATAAAATTTTTGGGTTTGGTTCAATTTTAATTTCTGTGATGGGTCTGGGTATTAATTTGTAATATAATGTATGTATTTACAAAAAAAAAGTATGTTTAGTTATATCCGTTGTCTAGTGAGCGGGCACTGTGAATTTACGTCACGCGGGGTCACGTGACCGTCGGCGGGACTCGATATTTAAGCGAACTTCGAATGCCTATAAAATCATAACTACTTGGTATTTTTGAATGAAATAAAAACAAATGTATTTGTATATGTAAAAGCTTAACTGTAACAAAGGTTTTCAAGTGATTTTGCATACCTAGTAACATTCTCAATTAATATTAAGGGCAAATTTTTCAATCATCGGTTACTTTTTAATTGAAGAATAAGTTTGGCACATTGACAGTTTTAGTATGAGAAATATTATTAAGTCAAAATAACAAGGTTATTCTTTATAATTATTATTACTGACGGGATTGCTACCATGTACCTTAATTTTGAGTTACCGATTTTGAGTTTAAAATAATATGGTTATTCTTCAGTTATAAGATATCTGACGATTGAAAAGTCGGCCCTAATATACAAAAATATTGTAGTTTTGATAAATAAAAGGTGATAAAAATAAAATTGGTAGTTTGCTTAATGATTAAAATATCGCAAATGTAAAATAATAAAAAAATGCATTGGATATGAGTATTACCTGATGCAGTCTGGATAGGCATGGGCATGGCTTCTAAAATGAAGAAAAAAAAGCAAATCAGAAACATGCAGATGTTAAATTAGGTAAAAATAAAAGAAATGGAAAAATTAAAAATAATGTGCTCCCGTGAAAAAAGTGAAGATAAAAAATTTGGAAAACAAAAAAAAACATTTTAAAAACACTTTGACTTTGTATAAGTATCAAACCAATTGGTACCAGTCACTCTTGGTTTCAAATGTTAGACGTTAACAGAATTACTGAAAAGATACCGAATTTTTGGTTCAAAAAACTGGTATCAAAACTGGTATCCATTGAAAAACTAACCGTAATCCACAATGACGGGTTCGCTCTCTCTGCTCCATTCCTTGCTGTTCTCGGCTTTAACCACAACCTCGTATTTTCCAGGGGTGACGTTTTCCAAGGCGTAAATGAACTCAATTTCGTGTTTGTTGATGTCCTCTGGCAGGGGTACGTTTAATGTGGTCACCACGGCCTCCTGTTGTCAAACAAAAATACTGCTTATTGTAATTGTTATGTTAAGTAATTGTTAAGTCAAGTCAAGTAATTGTTAATGGAGGATTGGGGAGAATCAGATGCACGTTTTTTAGTCAAATAAAATGGTGCATACTGATATTAATTAATTAAAAATAATCCATAAAAAAGAAGACAGCTGCTACAGCGTTTGCATTCATTCGCAAACGTTCGATTTGTAGACATTCGCCGTCGTTCGCCGAAAATTGTTCACATTCGTTTGCTTAAGTTCCCCGATCATTGTTATTGACCTATGTACCGTATTCCTCAGCGTCGTAGAAGTTCGCCGTCATTCGCCGAACTTTGTGCCGAACATTCGCAGATGTTCGCCGACTATTTTACGTACCGTGTCCCTCAGCTGCAGCTCCACCTTCCTCAGCGGCTGGTGCGAGTGCACGCGCCAGCTCAGCTTGTTGCCTTCCAACTCTACACCTTCGACCACTGGTCTCTGCACCAGCTTGATAATGAGGGCTATTGTTTTTATACCTAACAGTTGGCACCCCTGGCGATTGACAGGACCTTACTCTACAGTGGCGCCATCTTGATGAGTGCAAATGCGATAGTCCTCCTACTACTTTAGCGCTCACAAGTTGGCGCCACTGTCTTCGCTACTAGCAAGTGACAGGACTTTACTCTACAGTGGCGCCAACTGGTGAGCGCTAAAACGATAGCCCTCATTGATAAAGTATTGGGTATTGATGCTGCGGTTGTACTGCCTTAAGTCTCTATACTACGCTATACATATCGTGTTCCTCAGCTACTATTCAAGCTGTTTTAATCCCATTTGTTCGGGAACTTTCAGACGTTCGGCATTTTATTATTCATCGATTACGAGATTGCGGACGACGGCGTCCTACATAAGACCCTTCATCATCTGTCATTAGAGAGACTTGTATAGTCTGGTCTGCGAGCACGTAGAATTTTGTCCAATGACCCCAAGCTACCCATCCTTATCGCTCGCGCGTATGTTGCTGTCGCGCTCGCACTGCGGCCGCCCGTCGCACAGTCGCGACAGCAATATAATTACGCGCGAGCGATAAGGACTATAGCTTGGGGTCATTGGACAAAATTCTACGTGCTCACAGACCGGGCTTTAGTCTAATGCACTGTATGCCACAGCTGGTTTCGCGTTCCATGCGTCCCACATTTACTTCATCGTCTGTCATTAGATAGACCTTTTACTAGTACAGTCGCAGAATAAAAAGGTTCGTCACCTTAGTGTCGGTTTTCGCTTGCACTAAGTACTGTAAGAGTCAAACCTGCCAACATAACCGTGCAAGAAACAGTGCTGCTAACATTTAAATCAATATGACGTTTGCTAACAAATAAGGTTTTGCTTGTTTATTTTTCTATCCCATCAGTGCAATGCAATGATGACATTGACCAATTGACAATAGTTTTTTTTATTTAATAGAAATAATAATAGCAGGTTGAACCAACAAGAAGGTTTTAGTTTATCAATCATAATAATCTTCTTGACAAGATAAATCGTCAAACAACTTTGATCTGAATAATTTTGAACTTTACTGACGAACAGTTAAAGATTACTTTCTCTAACTCGAGATTATTCTGTAACATAGTTTCAAAAGGTAATATGTGCTCGCGATTCGTTGAAGGAATCAATTTGAAAACTGACGAACCTTTTCATTCCGTGACTGTACATACCATGTCCCTCAGCTTCATTTTGAGCTGCCACAGCGCTCGCATTCATTCGTTTCGTAGACTTTCGTCGCCGTTCGCTTACTGTAGAATATATGGTCTCAGCTGAAGTATGATTTGCCGCACTGCTCGCTTGATCACGAATCTTCGCAAGCGTTTGCCGATCACCAGTCTTTCGTGCAGTACGTTCCCATAAGATCCTTCGTCGTCTGTCTTTTGATAGTCCTGTAGTATCAAGATTACGTACCGTGTCCCTCAACTGTAGTTCCACCTTCCTCAGCGGCTGGTGCGAGTGCACGCGCCAGCTCAGCTTGTTGCCTTCCAACTCTACACCTTCGACCACTGGTCTCTGCACCAGCTTGATAATGAGGGCTATCGTTTTTATACCTAACAGTTGGCACCCCTGGCGATTGACAGGACCTTACTCTACAGTGGCGCCATCCTGATGAGTGCAAATGCGATAGTCCTCCTACCACTTTAGCGCTCACAAGTTGGCGCCACTGTCTTCGCTACTAGCAAGTGACAGGACCTTACTCTACAGTGGGCCAACTGGTGAGCGCTAAAACGATAGCCCTCATTGATAAAGTATTGGGTATTGATGCTGCGGTTGTACTGCCTCAAGTCTCTATACTGCGCTATACATATCGTGGTCCTCAGCTACTATTCAAGCTGTTTTAATCCCATTTGTTCGGGAACTTTCAGACGTTCGGCATTTTATTATTCATCAATTACCAAATCACTGACGACGGCGTCCTACATAAGACCCTTCGTCATCTGTCATTAGAGAGACTTCTATAGTCTGGTCTGCGAGCACGTAGAATTTTGTCCAATGACCCCAAGCTACCCATCTTTATCGCTCGCGCGTAATTATGTTGCTGTCGCGCTCGCACTGCGGCCGCCCGTCGCACAGTCGCGACAGCAAACGCGCGAGCGATAAGGATTATAGCTTGGGGTCATTGGACAAAATTCTACGTGCTCACAGACCGGGCTTTAGTCTAATGCACTGTATGCCACAGCTGGTTTCGCGTTCCATGCGTCCCACATTTACTTCATCGTCTGTCATTAGATAGACCTCTTACTAGTACATACCATGTCCCTCAGCTTCATTTTGAGCTGCCACAGCGCTCGCATTCATTCGTTTCGTAGACTTTCGTCGCCGTTCGCTTACTGTAGAAAAAATGGTCTCAGCTGAAGTATGATTTGCCGAACTGCTCGCTTGATCACGAATCTTCGCAAGCGTTCGCCGATCACCAGTCTCTCGTGCAGTATTTTCTACATAAGATCCTTCGTCGTCTGTCTTTGGATAGTCCTGTAGTATCAAGATTACGTACCGTGTCCCTCAGCTGTAGTTCCACCTTCCTCAGCGGCTGGTGCGAGTGCACGCGCCAGCTCAGCTTGTTGCCTTCCAACTCCACTCCTTCGACCACTGGTCTCTGCACCAGCTCGATGCTGCGGTTGTGCTTGCCGTGGCTGTTGGTGGCCTGGAAATGTATTATTACGTTAGAAAAATAAGGATAGACTAAATCTAAAGACCCAGAGGTCCCGGGTTTGATTCTCAGTGGAGGCAAAAGTTTCTGTTTGACTACCTGAGCACACTAACTTGATAATAATAATTGGCCGTGAGGTTTCTTTGTGTGTGTGTGTGTGTGTGTGTGTGTGTGTGTGTGTGTGTGTGTGTGTGTGTGTGGAATTCTCCATTGTTTTGTATTAAATTATTTAGTTGTCAAATAAATATTTTTTTATTTCTTTCTTTCTTTTTTTCAACTTTGCTTACCTCTAATGCATGGACTGTGCTTTCTTAGCTAGTTGTACCACAGAATAATAATAAGTACTACTGTACCTCTATTACGAAAAACTTTCGAGTTCGTTTCGTTTGCGTATTCAAAGTGTATGAAAAATTAAACAGCGCCCCCTAGTTCGGCTATAATATAGGGGGCGCTGTTTAATTTTTCATACAAAATTTTTCGATGGCACTTTGAATACGCAAACGAAACGAACTCGAAAGTTTTTCGTAATAGAGGTACTGGTTGTACTTAGTTACATCACAAATTAACGAGTGTTACTAACAGTTATTTTTAACTTGTTTCAGGTAAGTTCGCATGATTATTCGTCAGAAAAGGGGCGTTATTGAAGGTATTTATGTCCTCATAGTTAAAAAAAATGGACGTCTGGTTGTTCGCACTACCTCAGTGACAATTTTTTTCTCTGAACAAGTCTCCAAGTATGTATGTATGAGTATATACTTACCACACAAGTGAAGGTGCCGAAGTCGGAGTCCTGATGCGGAGTAACGGTGAGGTTGGAGTGAGGGCCGTCGGTGGATACCACGTACGGGGAGAACTGGTCGATCATGCTGCCGTCCTTGTACCAGGTGATTCTGGGGCTGGAATATCAAAGAAATGAATTATAGTTTTATGTTATTCTGGGTTATAAACAATAATACTGTAAAGTTTTGTCGAAATCCGTTTAGTAGTTTTTGCGTGAAAGAGTAACAAACATGTTGACATCCAGACATCCAGACATCCATACAAACTTTCACATTTATAATATTAGTAGGATTTTATTTTTATTATTATTTTTATTTTTCTTTAATCAGAAAACCACAGATCTTTATTAGTTATTATTATTTAGTTTATGTTATTTTATTAAAACTAAAAAGCTTGAATAAGTTTAGTTTCTATTTCATAAAGCTGCAGTTATGTTTAATCCAAACCTTTTTCTTTGCGGTCCAGTGTATAAGTATTCGTTGCAAGAAAAGGTCTTGGTCTAGCTAAAGCCTATCTCTTTTATGAGATTTGGTTTAGTAAGGTTTGAAGAGGTATTAAATTCTTGTTTGGAGTTTTTTCACAAAAATACAATGGAATTTAATACTTACGCAGGTTCTGCGTGAGCAACGCACTGCAAAATGGCTTCCACTTCCAAAGCTGAGTTGACGACTGTTTTGTGAACTTGCACATGAGGCTTGTCTGAAATTAATAGAAAAAAAGATTTAGTTTAAAAAGAATAGAACCACTCCCATTCTTGTAAGAGGCGGCTAAAGGACAATATTGTGCACATAAAGGCCTCTCCAACCCGTCGTGTGAGGAGTGTATGTTAAATTCTCCATTGCCTCTAGTTTTGGGAGTTCTTTATTCAACCAGTTTCTCAGGGACAAGGACAATCTGTTCAGGTGGGGATTCTTCGATGGCTCAAACTGGAGTACAAGTCGTGTGGTTTTGCTCCCCAGTCGACGAAGCACATGATGTTGTGCCCTGCGTGCCCAAACAACTGCACGCAGGAAGATTTAATTAAGGCTACTGACAAAACCACTATTGTGGCGAAATATTGAGCTGATACTGTATAGGTTTGTTGTGGACACGACAAGATGAAGAAGTACAGGAGAATTTTTAACTTAGATCCTTTGTCTGAAGGACCAAATTCCAACTTGCTATAAATCCGTTTTAGAAATAAAGAACTCAGAAATACTTACGCAGAACCTTCACGTTGTGTTCTGACTGTGTGCTTCCGAGGGCGTTGAACACAAAGCAGTAGTACTTCCCAGCATGCTCGCGGCGGATATTCTTGATGGTGGCCGTGTTCAGGGTAAAGATGGCGTCCGCTTCTGTAAGGCGGACGTTCTGGAAACGAAAAAAGTAAATATTAAGGTGAGAGTGAATAGGCACTTACAAGGCAGGTATTCGCCCGTATTCACAAATGATACTTGCTTAAGTGAAGCAGAAAATTTAACAGCGTTGAAATGAGCTCTGTCATTGGTTCGTATGTCACCCTGTGCGTCCATGTGCACTGTAAGACCTCATAGTAATGTTTGTGAATACGGTCGATAATGTAACATCCTAGACTGCATCTCACTTAACACTAGGTGCTATTGCGGTCAAATACCTGCCCTATCTTGGATAAAATAGTAAGATTAATGCGTTTTTGTCATGGTTTTTCTGTTCAGGCTTGTCCTTCGAGCCGGACTCTGGGGCAGGTGATTAATGCACCATACAATTTATTGCAAACATTAGTTTACATTATCTGTTATGAGCATGAAGTAACAAATAGACAACTATGACTATGAATATTTAAGAGTATGACGTAATTATGGCAGAACAACAAACTAAATACTCAATTGATCAAAACTAAAACTTCCAGTTCCATCATTATGATAATTGGAAAGACCAAATCCAATAATCACTTTAGAAGAGAAATAGAAAATATGATTCAGGATGAAAAATAAAATAAAACAGACAGCAGAAACAGCAGTACCTACCTAACAACAGCTTTTACTGAAATCCCAGATTCAAGAAGCACAAAGCTGTTTTCTAACGATACATTTAGAATTTAATGTTTTGAAATCCAACCCTCCTTGCTCATTGGGTCTAATTCCGTTTCCCTCCGTTCCTGTTTAAACTTTAATAATAAACTCCAGTTTCCTAGACTCATCAGTACAATAAGAGGAATATGACGCAAAGAGCGGGTTAAAATTAGGCTGAAAGTAAGGAAATTTAGATTATACTGGATGAGTCAGGAATATAATTTGTTGGGAGTACAAAGTTAGATGAAATGAAAGGATGTGCGACACTACAAAACATACAACGTAATAAACTTCTTAATGTTAATTTCTTTAGAATGATCGATTTTGCTGAAGTTTCTTACATGAAAAGAATCTTAATTTCTAAGCCCTCAAAAACTGACAAAAAGGCAATAGCTAATTGTCCACATTATAACAAAAGAAGTAAAGTTAACGGTATGCAATCATTAGTATTTGATAGTGACAAGTCCCCAAATTTAATTAAGTCTGATGATACTTTAATGCAATTAGTTCTGTTAAAGTGCATTTGTTGTGTCCTTTTATAAATAAATAATATATTGATACCATATTATCCAATGAATACCTATTTGTTAATTTTAAGGAAAAGTAAAATTATGCCAAAGTCGTAATGCCAATGTTAGTAGTAAAAACATTGTTAGTGAAATGGACCCATGATCCACAAGGTGGACTGACGACCTCTTATAGATAGAAAGCGCTGGATGCAGGCCGCTACCAACCCGGCTATAGAAATCATTGGGGGACTGCTATGTTCAGCAGTGGACGTCCTGTGGCTGAAATGAGGATGATGTTTTTTTATCTACAACGAGGAATCTCTTGGCCTGTATCTCACCTGATGGTAAGTGATGATCAGGCCGAAGGTGGATGCGAGTTCACCCGGAATCCTCAACCACAGAGCAACTGGCTATCTTTTGCCGGAACACAACAATGCTGTTAACATTGTTGTTATGACGACAGACTTAGGTAAGAGGGCGGTAGCTACTAGCTAGCCAGGCGGACTTAGAATAAGCTCTACCACCAACGATGATGAATGAAATGGTTCCAGAATGTAATACATACCCCAGCGCCGTTATCTCTGGACCAGATGATGGTAGGAGCAGGGGATCCAGCCACATCGCACCTCAGCACCAGTTCTGATCCCTCCATCACAACGCCGTTGTCTGATACGGTGTATCCTGAAATAGATAATGCCAAATAGATATTAATATGGGTATTTATGCCTGACCTTTGCCCTGCAGTTATCAAAAGTCTTGTTTGTAGCAAATTTTTGTTTTGCTTCGTTTATTTGTTTCGACCAAAGACATTCATTGTTGTCGAAGTATTTCTACAAGGACCGATCCTATTCTTAGCTGTCACATATTCTAATATTTATGTGGTAGTTGCTGCGAAAAGCAGTTCATAAATAGTCATTTTAATGAGGCCTTTTGAAGCCACGATAGCCGAACGGTGAAGGACTGGCTCACTCGACATCCGAGGAACGCGGGTTTGAACCCCGTTGACGCTCGACTATTGTGGTGAGCCCTCTCACATCACAAGCATAATTTAGCTTAGTACGAGGGGCTAATACTAATAGTCCCGTATTAGTAATTTGTGTAGTTCAATTGCTCATATTCTTTAAAAACAATGGTTTCGATCGTGGATACAGAATAATTAATGCATCTAGCAGAGCATTCATGGGCTGATGATGATGTACTTACTGATAATCCTGGGAGCTTCCTGAACAGCGATGATGTGTTCGATAGAGGTTTGTTGGGCCTGGATCACCGTGCACTTGTACTTGCCGCTGTCAGCTGGTCTGACGTCAACGATCAACAGGTCGTTGGTAGCGATGGAGCTGAAAGCATAGAAAAAATATACAGGTTCTAAACTTGATCAAACAGAAAGAAAGAAAGAAAGAAAGATACATTTATTACAATGGACATCACACAAATACAGGCAATTACATAGACAAGACAATGGCACATAAAAATGGAAGAAGAAAAAATAAAAACAAGAGTAAACTGAGCAGTGCCACCCATCCACCAACAAGATGCCCACTGCAACGGGACCCCACTCAGCATATGCCGTGGCTCACGGTGACGAAGGCCACGGCGCTGGTTTTCAGTGTGTCCCATGCCGAGTGAGGGTCACGGACATTTGGTAAAATAAATAAAATAGTTAGCTACATAAAATTGTCTAGATAAACATACATAAATAGTAATATTAGTGCACAGATTGATGTCTTGCTCAAATACAACTAGGTAACCGTAGGAAGCGGACAAATATCAAATTCTCAATAATTTACATCCCCATACTAAATGACTCATTGCTGATGAGCATGGAAAGGATTTTTTTAATATTTGAACTTCGGTCCTTGCGGATATTTCGCAGGATTGGCAAGATTCTGGAGTGAGCCAGCGCTGCATACGACGTCCATAAGGTGGATAGATGACCTTATAAAGGTAGCAGGAAGGTGCTGGATGCAGGCCGCTACCATCCGGTCAATATGGAAATATTTGGGGGATTTTTATGTTCAGCAGTGGATCTCTTGCTCCTGTGGCTGAAAATGATGATGATGAGTACTTACACATTCAGCCTCTCCGGCATTTCCAGTTGGGCCATTGGGAACCTGGCTTGACCCATAAAGAGCGGCTGGCCGTCCTTCGACCACTGGATGACAGGTCTGTCTGCAATTGAGAAGAAAACAAAAAACTATAATCCGATATTGTTTAAATGAAGTGACCATCCATCAAAACCATTGAATAATGAACAACCACATTGTAACATTAAACATAATTCCTAATAAAGCACCTAAACTCTAGTTTAACCTGTCAGCCCCCAAGCGGTAGCCAGCTGCCTCGTAACAATTGATTATGTATTGTTATTTAATTTTTAGCGTTAAGAGTCGCATCTCAAACTAATTTGAAAATTATAAATAACTTGAAAAAATCGAACTGCCTAAGGCGGGAATTGAACCCACGACCTTCCGCTTGCCGGGCGACTGCTCTTCCAACTGAGCTACTTAGACACTGGATGAACCTGTCGAAATTTTCAAGTGTAATACGCTGTTACAGCCAGCGTTTGTTTCATCAAGTCGTGGGTTCAATTCCCGCCTTAGGCAGTTCGATTTTTTCAAGTTATTTATGATTATGTATTGTTTCTAGGTTCGCGGAGCTTGAAGGATTAAAATCTAATCTAATACAATTAAATCTATCTTCAAAATTAAAACCGATGAAATAAAAAGCAATAAAAATCAGCTTTTTAATCAACAATTTCTTGCGTACAGTGATTTTGATTGATTGAATGAAATTTAAATTAATCATGAGAAATCTGTCTTCGAACTATTACTACTTATTATTATTCATAATGTGACTATCAATAAATCATTGGCATAAAAAATCTAGCGCCATGATTCATTCAATAAAAAGTTTAATTCACAAGATGGCGTCGTTTCCGGTGGCGCCAAAAATGCTCAGGAGTTCCTTTTGGGCACTTCCCGTGACAGTTTGATGACAAATATGGCGGCCAGACGGTTGGTCGAGTTAGAAATGAACTTTCGATTATGTCATCAATTAAAATATAGTTTAATTGTAACTAAATTTAGTTTATTTGGTGAGTCGCCATGACCGTATTCTGGCATAGTAGGTTAGAACCACTGCACTCTTCCTGTGAATGCCATTTAAGGCGACTAAGGGTGAAATATGCAAATATAAAGCCCCCCAAACCCATGTAACCAGTACGAGGATTTGGCTATTATCTCAGCTATAGGACGTCTACTGCTGAACATAGGCCTCCCCCAAAGCTTTCCATGTTGCCCGGTTGGTAGCGGCCTGCGTCCAGCACTTTCCTGCTACCTATATGACGTCGTCGGTCCACCTTGATTGTCTCACGCTGCCTTTTCCGTATAATAATGATGAAAGAAAGTTTAAAATTGGATCTTACTGTTGGGCGAGACTTTGCACTCTAGCCGCACTGTCCTCCCGACTGTCACGTTGTAACTGGTAGGTTGCGTGATGATAATTTCTGGAGGGGTGTCTTCTTCGTCGCCTGCAATGAGATACAGAATATTAATAAAATAAACATTTTTCTAGAGCAATATTATCAGCAACAATGCTGAAGTTTGTTTGACGCACTTATCACAGGAACTACTGATACGATTTGAAAAAAATATTTTTATGTTTTATATTTTTTAATTTTTAATGGTTACCTCTATCTTATAGCATCAATGTTCTTTTTATTAGTAGCATCACTAGCTTCAAATTCCTAAAATACGATTTTCGTCGTTTCAGCCAAATGACGTCCACTGCTGGACAAAGGCCTCCCCCAAGGTTTTCAACAATGAACGGTCCTGCGCTGCCCGCATCCGATGACGCAGACGATGGCCGTTGGGGCAGGAAAGTTCTCGAGTGGCGACCACGGGCTGGAAGACATAGCGTGGGCAGGCCTCCTACTAGGTGGACCGACGATCTGGTAAAGGCCGCGGGAAGAGTCTGGATGCGGGCAGCGCAGGACCGTTCATACGATTTTATCAGAAAGCAAATGGAAAGCAATGACCGCACCAAGGACGCTTTCAGCAATAGGTACATCCATATCTAAATAATAGAAAAACTTGTAACAAAGTTGTTATATTTATTACCTCTATCGTCATTTTGCGTCTCATCATCGGTGGTACCCGCATCACCCATCAGGTTCTCATCGTAATCACCATCCTCTGCACCGCGTTTCCGCATTGTGTGTGCATCTGTAACAACAGAGAAATTAATTAGTTAAAAATTTGTATGGGGTACCGCAAGGGTCTATATTGGGACCAACGCTGTTGAATGTTTGAAAATATCATAGAGTTAGAAAAGTTTGTTAAACTTAAGGCGTTTTTTTAGTTTTAGTAGCATCACAACTCCAAAAAACTTCCAGATGTCATATTTCACAGTAGTAATTTAACAATTTGCTGCTTTGTGCGCGTTACTTGTCTTTCTAATAAAGATGGGTAATTGGGTATGTTTGTTATTAGATCTGTCACAATTTTGATAAAAACATATTACAATAACGGTAGTTTTAGTTTGTGACTAAAGAAAATCAATCTCCCTTTAAGTTGATCACTAGATAGTATAAAAAGTCGCTTTCCGTTGTCTGTCCTGTCCTTATGAATGCTTAGATCTTAAAACTAGGTAACGGATTTTGATGCGAGTTTTTTAATAGATAGAGTGATTCAAGAGGCAGGTTTATAATATGTATACTTAGCACCCGTGTGAATCCAGGGCGGGTGGCTGGTGTAATAAATAAGTAACTTCAACTACACAGTCCTAACTACAATAAATCCCTCGTAGTTTCAATAAAGCAATTTGAATTTTATTGGCTGGTATTTTCCTTTGGCCTACAGATATCTGACTTCTGTCGCTTGGATAGGAAACACTAATTGCAGTCACGATCTGGGGATTGCTTTAAGTTGGAGGGTAGAGCGAAGAACATAATTTTTATCAACCTTTAGAAAAAAAAAATAGACAACTTGAAAAAATCGAACTGCCTTTAGAAAAAATATTTTAATTGAATTTTAACAGTATCTTCAGAGCGTAAATTCTAATTGATGTGTGGTCGATTTAACCACTGCTTGTTATCAAAGGGATAAGAAGATTGCCTTTTTGGATTTAAAGCTAGTAATGTAGAGTCGATTTTTGCAATGCTTGCTGCTTACATAAAAAAAAACTAGCTGTTTGTTTGTTTTTATGTAAGCAGTAAGCACTGCAAAATCCGACTTTACTAGTAGCTTTTAAGTTGGTATAGTGCTTACGCCGGGGACAAGTTTTAGATGGAATTTACTTGGAGATGAATGAAATCTTGAAGAAAGTTCTACCATTGTTCTACACTGTCAAATCCAACTATCTCTAAAACTTATAAAACTCATTTTATTATTACAAGCTTTATATTGACTTCACCTTGTTAGTATGTGTGGGACAAATCTTGCAACTGAATTTAATACCAGTTCTCCTCAACCGATTGAGCTGAAAAGTATACCTATGTAAGTACGATGACAATGCAATGTTATGGTACCATTGAGCTGGTCTGATGATGGAGTCAGGAGGTGGCCATAGGAACTCCTAAACGAAACGGTGGAAACTTATCGAGTTTAGGTTCGTTGGATTCGTTTTCCCGAGCACTGCATACAATTATTATTTTCGTTTTAGTACAACTGCATTTCAGAATAAAGCTTGTTTTTAAAAAAGTTTTTTTATTATATTTTTTTTACAAATAGGCTTTTAAAAGGCTCTTTCACTTCTCTGTCTTGAAAATGTTGTCTAACGTACACTTTCTGTGACTTACACCACTCCCAACTCTCAAGCTAAGTTCAATACAACAGTAATAGGTTTAAAATTGTTTCCCCGTGCTGTGCGTGGTGCTGGAGCCTTTTAAGGGCCAAGAGTTGAGAAACTAGGAAACCAGATACTTGAAATAGTGTAAGCCCCCCAATGAAGTACTTTAAGCCCCTTTAAGTTTTGTGTAAGACTACACTACATTTGCATCTCTAGCCCTCAAGCCTTATTCACGTAACAAAATTATGTAATGGATTTATTTTTCAATGGGACGACGTAACAAAACTTTAATGACAACAAATCGCTGAATGCGATCCTATCGAGTAATCGTTCTATCAAAATTACCCTTGTGAATACGGATTTAGAACTGTTTTTCAATGGGAAGACGAACGTCAGCGAGATCTTGACTGTCAAAATACGTGAATTAAGCCACTGATCTTGATGAGATTGAATGGAGCATCCTTATCATCATCATTATCATCATCACAGTAGACAGTTTTGCTATAACTAATTACTGCTTACTTCTTCGGCTTCTTTCTCAGAAAAAGCATTAGTGTGAAGAGTATTTTTTCTACTTTGGTAAAAATAGTTAATATGGTTCAGTAAACCATTATATTGTAAGCTAATTACTAAACTAGTTCGGTAGCTCAAAAAGTCTGACACTGGGATATGATACAACCTAGTTGCTCGACGGAAGAAGTTCCTACCTTCTAATCTATCAAAACTTGTAATATCCTTGTAGATATTAAAATTAAATGCCAATATTCACCCTCCAAGTCACAAGAGAACTTCCTTTAATAAGCTTTAGTTTAATCTTCCACAAAGCTCTATTCCGCTCACGGAAGCGACGATCCAACCTTATACTTAAAGCTTTGAAGTATTATCATACTAAATACTCCGAGCGATGTCACGGTGTGCCATCCACTGTTGCATACAAAGTAAATTATTATAAAGCAAGGAAGACTGCGTGTCGGTTGCTTCTACGCCAGGGGAATCCCGATTAGGTGGTGTAGAGTAGGGAAATGCAGTATACTAGTTTCCTTTTTTTTAACCCCCTACGTAAAATGATGGGTGTTTTAAGTTTCATCTATCGAGTGGCTTGTAGTTGTAACAAGTGTAGATAAAACGTGACAGTTATAATTCCGAAAATTATACGGCAAATTTTAGATCTCTATTATGCAGTGGTTAATAGTTTTGAAATCTTGTGTTTAACCAAAATTGTGCAAACAAAATATATTTGAATCACACTAATATTATAAAGGCGAAACTTTGTGAGTGTGTATGCTTATTACTTCTTCACGTCTAAATGGCTGGAACGATTTTAATAACATTTGGTATGGAGTTAGCTGACTCCCTGGATATTAACACAGCTACGTTTTACCGCGAGTAACACCGCGGAGCACAGTCAGTTTGAAATATGTGTAGGTATGGTGATTTTCTGTCATGCTGTACAATATCAGACTTCATTTTCGTAGCAAAATCTTACATAATATGCCTCAGTGTTTAGCTTGATATATCTTCGCCATACTTTGAAAGAGACATGATGATTATATTGATTACTTTGTTAGTGACATAATTTAAATGGTAATTTAATCTTCATTGTTTAACAAGGCAAACGGAACTAGGAAGTAAAGCATTATAGTTGCAAATTGATACGAATAATAAATACATTGTCACATTATTACTGGGTATTTATAGTGGTGTTAAAACATTAATTGCAATTGCAGTATTAATTAAACTTTGCCCTTGTATGTAATGTGAATACATAATAAATTACGCACATACACGATAACAACATAGGTTATCATTTGTTTTTATAGCAATATCATTTTCTATCATAATGTCTGTTCTATTTCTAGCCGTTATTATACACAATCGAGAAGCTCTTGGCCTGCATTAACATACAAATTGATGGAAAGTGATGATCAGGCTGAAGGTGGAAGCGAGTATTACCCTGAATCCTTAACCACGGAGGAACTGTCTATCTTGCCTACGACTGCCGAAACACTAAAATGCTGTTAAAATTTTTGCTATGGCGACAGAATTTAAAAATAATCAGAATAGTTCATAATAATTGAAATCGCTGCAATACTATGTGTAGAGACGCTCAAAGACGACATATTCACAAGTCTGTAGAAAATGGAGATCCAGCTAAAGTCTGGAAATTCTTAAAGTCTATTGGAATTGGAAAAATACGTAACGATACTACTCCCAAAGACATTAACTTCGACCTTTTAAATAAACACTTCTCAACTTCTGGTGCTCTTGATGACACAGTTAAAAATAAAACCCTAAGTCAACTTTCAGTGCTTCCAACTCCAGACTATTCAGCTTTTACTTTTAGCTCAGTATCTGATTGTGATGTTAAGAAGAACGTATTGTCCATTGCTTCGAATGCCGTCGGAAATGATAACATAAGCCGGAACATGATCGTTCCATTGCTTGACATCCTTTCTCCCATTATTACCCACATCCTGAACCATTCTCTCTCCACAGGCATCTTTCCTACAATATGGAAAGATGCTCAAGTGACTCCTCTCCCTAAAAAGTCAAATCCTACATCTTACACCGACTACCGTCCTATATCCATACTTCCTTTTATCTCTAAAGTAATGGAACGAATCGTTCATCACCAGCTCAGTACTTTCTTGGTCGGAAACCAACTCCTTAACCCTTTCCAATCTGGTTTCAGACCTGGGCATAGTACGACTACTGCATTGGTTAAGATCTTGGACGACATTAGACGCGGAATGGACTCGAAGCAACTTACTGTGCTGGCGTTGCTAGATTTTAGCAATGCTTTTAATACAGTCGATTTTGACATACTAATCGGGATACTCCGTTCTCTTAACATATCTCCGACAGTTCTTGGCTGGTTTCATAGTTACCTGCACGGTCGCCGACAACGCATTCGCGCGGGGGACTGTCTCTCAGCGTGGTGTGACATCAGTGCCGGTGTGCCGCAAGGTGGTGTGCTGTCTCCTCTCTTATTCGCAGTCTTCATCAACACCATTTCTATCAACCTTAGATCCTCTTTTCACTTGTATGCAGACGATCTCCAGATTTATTCGCAGGGGGGCCTAGGAGACCTCTCGAGCGCTGTGGAGGTTGTGAACAGCGATCTTGGAACAATCCTGGACTGGAGCAGGGCTCATGGGCTTAAGGTCAACCCCACCAAAACGCAAGNTGACATCAATGCCGGTGTGCCGCAAGGTGGTGTGCTGTCTCCTCTCCTATTCGCAGTTTTCATTAACACCATTTCTATCAACCTTAGATCCTCTTTTCACTTGTACGCAGACGATCTCCAGATTTATTCGCAGGGGGGCCTTGGAGACCTTTCGAGTGCTGTAGAAGTCGTGAACAGTGATCTCGAAATAATCCTGGACTGGAGCAGGGCTCATGGGCTTAAGGTCAACCCCACCAAAACGCAGATTATCGTGTTGGGTGGTTCCAGGCAGATTTCTCAGATTAACTGGAGTGCCCTTCCACCCATCATGTTTGACGGTGTCCAGATACCTTTTAGCAAAGTCGTGAAGAACCTCGGTATTCACATCGACAGTGCTCTCACATGGACAACCCAGATTGGGGAGGTCAGCAGGAAGGTGTTTGCGGCTGCAGCGTCAATAAATAGGTTGCGAAACTTTTTACCCATACCCACCAAAATTGCTCTTGTTCAAGCTTTACTCTTCCCTATTCTCGACTACGCCGACTGTGTGGCGACGCCACTACAAACTAGTGACCAACAGATGGCGCAGTTACTACTTCACTATGGCACACACCGCCGCTCATACAAACCTGCATCGCGGTGACGGAGTTTTATATCCTGCCAAGTATATATAGGCAAACCAAGATGGTATAAATTGGACCTTGGTCCCCGAGCACAACACCCGCTCGGAAGGAAGCACTAACATTTAGCTTCCTTATAGTGGTTGAGCATCCTATCCCACATTGCATTGGTGACCCCGACGTGATTGGAACGTGACCTTCCATCACCACCATCTTCGGCATCAGCCTCCGCCATCCTCACCATCTCCGCCACTCCGTCATCAGCTCCAGTCTTCAACAAGCCAGCATCCAGCCTTCAGGGACCATCGCAGATCGCAACCGACCTTCCTGGTTCCTCGGCAGCAAGCAACCGTCACTTCACTGGTCACGGGTACAGCTCTGGCCCAGCTCCACGCCCGACCATCGAAGACGCCTCCGCTCACTATCCCGACTCACCGTGGATAGAGCACCGCAACCTGCTCGTCTCGACTCACCGCAGACTTGAGCACACTGGCACTTGTAAGCTCATCACGCACAGACTGCTGAGCTCGTCCTGACGTCATCCACCTCCGGTTCTTCCGGGGGGAGTGGTGTGGCGACGCCACTACAAACTAGTGACCAACAGATGGCGCAGTTACTACTTCACTATGGCACACACCGCCGCTCATACAAACCTGCATCGCGGTGACGGAGTTTTATATCCTGCCAAGTATATATAGGCAAACCAAGATGGTATAAATTGGACCTTGGTCCCCGAGCACAACACCCGCTCGGAAGGAAGCACTAACATTTAGCTTCCTTATAGTGGTTGAGCATCCTATCCCACATTGCATTGGTGACCCCGACGTGATTGGAACGTGACCTTCCATCACCACCATCTTCGGCATCAGCCTCCGCCATCCTCACCATCTCCGCCACTCCGTCATCAGCTCCAGTCTTCAACAAGCCAGCATCCAGCCTTCAGGGACCATCGCAGATCGCAACCGACCTTCCTGGTTCCTCGGCAGCAAGCAACCGTCACTTCACTGGTCACGGGTACAGCTCTGGCCCAGCTCCACGCCCGACCATCGAAGACGCCTCCGCTCACTATCCCGACTCACCGTGGATAGAGCACCGCAACCTGCTCGTCTCGACTCACCGCAGACTTGAGCACACTGGCACTTGTAAGCTCATCACGCACAGACTGCTGAGCTCGTCCTGACGTCATCCACCTCCGGTTCTTCCGGGGGGAGTGGTGTGGCGACGCCACTACAAACTAGTGACCAACAGATGGCGCAGTTACTACTTCACTATGGCACACACCGCCGCTCATACAAACCTGCATCGCGGTGACGGAGTTTTATATCCTGCCAAGTATATATAGGCAAACCAAGATGGTATAAATTGGACCTTGGTCCCCGAGCACAACACCCGCTCGGAAGGAAGCACTAACATTTAGCTTCCTTATTGTGGATGAACATCATATCCCACAGGTCATCTATACAACTTAATACACTGTTGTACAAGGTTTATGTCAAAAATATTTTTATTAGTAGTCTTCGATGTATAACAGTAGTTCAACAACTGTGTAACTTGTTATTAGTAGTTGTTTCGTCTTTGTTAGCGTGATACCGAATTGCACTTCAGCTGGAATGTAAATGAAGCATGACGATCGTGTGCCGTGTGCGTGCTTGGAGATTTATATTATCTTTGGCGAAATGTGATAATCTATGTTGTGAGGATTGGTGACGTGTCAGAAATGTCACAAAATCTCAATGTCTGTCTTTCAATCGAAATCTTGTACCATTTGACTAATTTTTAAAACAGAAACAATGCTTAATAAATGTGGCTTAAGTGCTAATAATTAAATCGAATTTTTGCTTGGTCCTTAATCTGAGCTAACTACCTCACGAAGTGTATGGTGTTGTGTTGTATCTGTTCAATGTTCAAGTATTTGATGAGGGAAGGTTTTAATAATTTCCTCTGTAAAGTTGTCCATAGAATGCAATGCTTCCTCGTCGTCGAAACATCGGAGGTGTGACTGATAGATCTGCTACGGATCTAGAGACTAATTTAGATACATACGATAAATTGGACAAAAAGGGATCTCAACAATCTAAATCGTACACACCTGTAACCAGCCATTACTATAACACGCAATCTGTGAATACCGCTGTTGAAGAAGATTACAAATTTGATTTCCTTCAGGAGTTTGTATTTGAATCAGTGATGGCAGCTCGAGATAGGACCAATGAATTTATTGCCACAGTTCGCAGTTTACAAGGTCGAACGTTATCCCGACCAGTTGTTAGAGATGAACGAAAAGCTGCAGTTCTCGAAACGTACTCTCAATTTATGAGTATGGCTAAAGTAATTAGCAAGAATATCACAAGTACATACACTAAACTGGAAAAACTTGCTATGTGTAAGTTGCATTATTTTTGTTTTGTATAATTGCTTACTTATTATACCTAATGAATCATCTGTACCTCATTGAACATTTACTTAATTGTCTAAGCAGTGTGAATGTTAACTTTTAATTAACACCTGTTTAAAACTATGTTTTATTTCTTTCCAGTGGCCAAAAAAAAATCATTATTTGATGATCGACCCACTGAAATTCAAGAGTTAACATACATCATCAAGGGAGACCTCAGTTCTCTAAATCAACAGATAGCTAGATTGGGAGAAATGCCCAGGGGGAGACGCAGTATGCACAGTCATTCTTCGAGTGTAGTTGTTGCATTACAGTCTCGTCTAGCATCAATGAGCAGTCAATTCAAGCAGGTACAAATAAAATTCTTCTTTGAACAGTATCTAGGTTTAAGTACCTTAAGCAGCAGTAGCCACTAACAGGAGATTGGACAGTGTTCATTTATTTAATTCAAGATGTTATTAAGCTTTGCATAGAGTGGGAAACATTTCTTACTTATTCTGGCATTAAAAAAAATCTGCCAATAAAATTGTAAATGCTATCAAATCTAAACAAATGCTTTCATTACTTTTAGGTTCTTGAGGTGAGGTCTGAAAACTTGAAGCATCAAAACAATAGACGTGAACAGTTCTCCAGAGTAGCACCAGTGGTGTCAGAAGTGCCAACATTGCTTCAGCAAGATGAAGTTAGTATTGATTTTGGAGATGCATCTACCAGCCTCCAGGCGCAAACACAACAACTAGCTCTAAGAGATGACACAGACTCATATGTTCAGCAACGAGCAGAGACTATGCATAATATTGAGAGCACCATAGTTGAGCTTGGTGGCATTTTTCAACAATTGGCACATATGGTAAAAGAACAAGATGAAGCTATTGGTAGAATTGATGCTAATATTCAAGAAGCAGAAATGAATGTAGAAGCTGGTCACAGAGAAATTCTAAAATATTTCCAGAGTGTAACAGGGAACAGAGCTCTTATGTTTAAAATTTTTGGTGTATTAATATTTTTTTTCATATTCTTTGTAGTAGTAATGGCATAAAATATAGCTCAAAGAGCTTTAGATCAATACAAATATATTATGTAGATATGTATTGTTATTTTTGGGCTGATACAATATAATGGTTACTTGAGTTTACTAGTATGACAACTACTAGTTCAACAATATGATAATGTTATGATGATATATAAAAATAATATATTAAGTATCTTGTTTTAAACTGTCATTTGCTTTTTTTTGTATGGGAGCCTCACTTTTCACCACTATCAATCAATCTCAGTGTATGTATGTACCTACTTAATTATTATCTTTCGTAAGAGACTTCGCCCGGGCCCTCGTTAATAGACTATTTGTCATTTTTTGTTTGCATTGTAATTGAAAAAAGTAGTTAAATAAGTTTTACAAAACAGTGACTACTCTTGCTTGTATGTGTCGCCATACAAAATCTATGGGAGTCTCGTTTTTACAGTTTTGAAAGTGGTGTCAACACGCCTATTTCATAGTGACGCGCGCGTTTCTCCCTTTCTCAGAACTTTATTAATTTTAACTGAAGCAGGCAACATTTACTACGGCTTTATCAAACAGCGCGCGTGAAGAGGGGTGCTAGGCAACTGAGTATTTTTTTATTACGTTTGACGTTATCTTTGACGTTAACGTAGTCTTAGAATTCTAAGAAAAAAATAATCTTAGAAGTAGAGATACCTACCACTTGTTATACAAGGTGTCTCAAAAGAAAGTTTACATTTGATTAGTTATGACAATCAGTAGCCTGGCTCTTGGGAATTTAGGTGCTATGGAGTATTTCTCGGGAACAGACCGCGCGTTGTCCTTACGAGAATTTTACTAAAATGGTTATTCTGCGACTGCAGCGCGTAGATTTCGCCACTTAAATGATGCTGCAAGCATTCTTCTTATTAGGAAATGGGCCAAAAAGTTTTAAGAGACCCGTACAACGCTGGAATAGTAAAAATCCGGGCAACTATCGTCATCAAAAACGGTAGAAAACGTGGAGTGTTAATCAGTCCGCTCGTGACGACCCGAACCCTTCAATTCGGAAGCGCACTAGTGCTTTAAATGTGCATAGATCATCATTACACCGCATTTTTCACAAAGACGTAAAACTACACTCCTACAAAAATCAATTGATGCAAGAGTTAAAGCCCCAAGAAGCCAATCAGAGGCTGGTCATGTGAAATTTTCTTTGGAAAATTGATCTCCAGGAGAGATGACATCAATTGGCCTCCACACAGTCCTAATTTAACCACTATGGGCTTTTTCCTATGGAATTAACTTAAATCTAAAGTTTAAGCCACTAAACAAACTTCCCTGGCGTATTTGAAAGAAAATATCCGTCTTGAAATGGCAGCCATTACTGAGTTTACCTGCCTGAGCCGTCATAAGTGATTTTACTGTTCGATTAAATGAGTGCTACGAACGCGAGGGTCTACATTTGGACAATATTATTTTTATGAAATAAATTCCCAAAATGTGTACTTTAATAGTTACTAAACATTTTTTCGATACACGGCTTACTTTTTTTTTAATCGATCCACTAAATATAAACTTTCTTTTGAGACACCTTGTATTAGTGTCTTGGACTCCCCTGCACCTGCTGCTGGCTGGGCCTGATTCGTAAGGGAATGAGAGGCACTATCGTGTACACACTGCGTCCCTTAAAGCTCCAATTTTTCCCTAGTTTTAGACTAGAGGACTACTAAATTATGTTTTCTCTTGTATCTTATCTATGTATTCGTAAAATCGTGTTTTGTTTCACCTACGCAGAATGCAGATAGGTAGGTACGTGTTTAAATTAATGCGAGACAGTTAGTTAATGCAAATAACTTTATTGAAATAACAACAGATTACATACTTACTCGTACCTACCACCGTAATGCCATAAATATTATTAGATAAAATAATTCATATAATGTAGTTATAATAACGTAACTAACATAATTTTAATAATTATGTATTTAACAATGATAATTTATCAATCAGTTAAAAAGCAGGTTTGGTTAGTATCAAAATAATCGAAATCTGAAAGAGTTCAGAAAAAAATATTATCTTTCTTTAACTCGACTGAGGAAGACTCGTGCCAGAGCTCGTGCTCATGGTGTCATCAAGATAACGATTAGATTACAATCATATCGTTTATACGTTGGCAACAGCAGTAATAAGTTTTACGTATATGTCGATGCCTTTAAGAAAGATATCAGCCTTAAGAAACTCGTCGTGGTCGTGTAGTAGCACCGGTGTGTTGTTCATGGGGGAGAAGCCGAGGGCCGGGATCCCAACGCGTCGGATGTAACGGCTGTCGGTGCCGCCTGGGAAAATTCTGCAATCTAATTTCAACTTCCTGGAAAATAATCATCAAAATAAGTAATTTATCTTTACATAAGTAATAATGTACTTTACTGTGAGAGACAGCTTTTATCTATAAAGAGATTTCTTCCAGTCGGTCATGTTTACAAAGCTATTGGAGAAATTCGACATTTTCGGTTCTCCGGCGAACGTAACTTACATTTCATCAGCAGCGCTTTTGAATGCCATCCAAAATGGATTTGTAGCATCCAGTTTCGTACATTCCACGTTAGGGTTTTTTTGTTCAAATTCAAAAGTTACACCATCGCCCGCTTCGCTACACCATCTTTTAATCTGAAATTTAGGAGGAGTCAAGAAAGTTGGTATAGATAGCTTTACAAACAGATTTACTCGCAAAAATTATGTACTCACCATGTTTTCAAATTGTGTGTGGTCAACTGTAACAGCCAGTCTTATATCAAAAACGACTGTCAATTTTTCAGGTATCACGTTGGACTGAACTCCGCCCTGTAGTAGATTTAAAAAGTTAGGTAAATTGAGTAGGTACCTACCTAAGTAAATGTGTATTTTAACATAAAAGTGACATAACAACTTACTGCTAGAAATTAAAGATACTTACGTATATTTGAGTCAGATTTACTGTTGTGACATCTCCAATAGTAAGTTTCGAGTCGCTTTCAAGTATTTTCTTTTGCTGCTCTCTCAAATCCATGAACTTATCGATTATGTACCTTAACTGAAATATAAATCATTAAGTTATGGGGCTTGTGTGTGGAATTTTGAAAAAAGACACCCCTCAGTAATTTTACTGTGAGTTTACTACATTTTTTTTTCTACACTACAATTTATTTACTACAAAAGAAATACCTAACAAACAGGTTTTTGGGTATTAAGTAATTAAAGCTGTTTGGTGATGGATAGTTAGTTAAAAGAACGCGAAGTTTTTAATGAATACATCTCCAAGTATTATGATTCCGTATGCAGGTTATAGAAAACTAGCTTTCCGCCCGCGGCTTCGCCCGCGTGGAATTTTGTCTGTCACAGAAAAACTTTATCGCGCGCGTCCCTGTTTCAAAAACCGGGATAAAAACTATCCTATGTTCTTTCCCGGGACTCAAACTATCTCTATGCCAAATTTCATCAAAATCGGTTGCAAGGTTTAAGCGGGAAAGCGTAACAGACAGACAGACAGAGTTACTTTCGCATTTATAATATTAGTTGGGATTTTGCTAATGTAGCTCTTGGTCTGCAACATTAGGTAGGCAAACTGCAATAGAAGTCGGTATTCGATTTGATTTCTTTTTTATGTGCACGTTTTTGTTGCTAATTATTACCTATTACGGTTGTTAAACCTAATGCATCCTAACAAACTAACAATTTATTAAGGCAGGTAGGTACAAATAATAATTTAAAAGTGATTACCTTTTCACCAGCAGTGTTATGTATGAGTAAAGATCCGTGACCGGGTTGTCCAGTGCAGTGAACATGAGTTTCTGAAATAATTTAGGTAGGTATATCATTGGTGAAGTAGGCTGAAGTAACAATAGAAAAATTCAGTAGACTGGGAGTAGGCTCGAGCCTGCGTAGATGATACAGCTAGTGATTTTTTTATTACTTATCCGAAAAATAGAATAGGTAATTCTGAGTCGTACCTCCAGCACGAAAAACTTTCGTTTTCAGATCGTATGCGTGTGTTTGACTAATTCGATACCCAACCTTCGAATTCAACCTTGACTGTCAAAATTAGATTCGTTTTCATAGGTACCTACTCAATCTTTTAATGGCCTTTCGAAGTCGTTTTCGTGCTAGAGGTACTTATTGAAAAAATAACAATAAGGTGTATAACTCACGCCAAATGCTCCTTTCTCCATTAAAAATAATAAAATCTTCAGTTGGATTAGCCATTCCTTCGTCCAGAGCAAATCCCACGTTTAATTTCTTAAAATCTTCAGTCAGAACAAATTTTTCCATGCCATCATGTCCCCCGATTTCCTCATCTATTTTAAATCAATAAATACTTACACAATTATTTAGGATCAAATCAGAATTATTCTATGAGGACACTTATGTTAATTAATGAACGATCAAATTAATAGATCCTAGGTACTATCCGGAAATTATAAGCTTCACCTTAGGTAAGTAGTATCACACGAACGGCTTGTCGTCACGACTTTTCTTGCCTTTTGGACTCAATTGTCCTGAATTCGTGATTGGTAAAGGTGTCAGATGGAATGATCCCACATCTTATGATGTAGGGAATTACGTACTACTGGTACTACCAGGTAAGTTAGATACCTACTGTGATTCTCATAAGATAAAAGTAGGGAGGAACGGTATTCACCCACCTGGCACAAAGGAGATGTGTAATGTTCTCTTTAGGTTTACTCCTGATTCTTTTAGCCTCCTAATAGCTTCCAGATACTGAATACCAACACACTTCATGTCTTGAGACCCTCGGGCAAAAATTTTGCCCTCTTTGTCGATATGCCCGCTAAAGGGTGGATACGTCCAGCTATTCTGAAACATTTAAAAACTTTGATAACTTCAACTAAGAAGTTACGACTCAGTGAAGCGACTCGCTTCCGAATTCCGAACGAATCCTCTCATTTTCTTGTGAATAGAAGCAGCATTAGTCACCCAAAATATCATGCCACAATATTACCTCAAAGACGGGTACGACGTCCATATGCGAGTTCAGCAGGACTGAAGGAAGTGATATATCCTGCCCAAGCCACGTCAAAACCACGATAGGCTTTGTTTTTACCACTTCATAGATTTTTATTGATAGACCAATTTCTGTGGCCTGTTTTCGAAGGAACTCGACACACCTGCCTAAAAAGAGATAGGTATTGGAAACATGGTTATCGGTTAATAATAGGTAAATAAGCCACCACAATTATTATAACATGCAGTGTTCCATTTAGATTTTTTAGAGTAATCGAATATAATGTAGGTATGGCAGAGGAGGGGGCAATGGCCATGGCCCTAAGTACTTAAATCTCACTACTATAAGTAGATACGTCGTGTATAATAGTTACATTACTAAAATTACCTAGATTGACACTTATCCAATTCATAATATCATTCACTCGCCCGACTAGCACCGAGGCGAGGGTCCTATCATGATCTAATTTGCTACATCCTACGCGCGGACTAAACCTAGGTTTCCTACCTACTATAGTATGTAGGTACCTACCTATCTAGAAAATCTAGATGCGTGATTAAGTAGGTCTAATAATGATTAAAATTAATGAAGGAGGTATTTTAAATAATCTATGATAATGTTTACTGTCTTGTTTACCATTTAATTTTGGTTACTAACTTAATTACTGTGTACAAACTTGTAATTAGGAAGTTTCCTAGTAAACGAGGTAGTAATACTAGTAGTACCTACCTACCTATCACAGAACAATATTATGTAGGTACCTACCTAACGCTGTCAGAGGTTACGGGTTCGATTCCCGTACAATCACAGAACATAGCTGTATGTTTTGTGCGTACATAACTACCTAGGTACAATACAAACATAAATAATTTACCGGAACTAATTAAGTATTTGAGAGAAAGATTTTTACAACAGTACCTAATGAATAATACAAAAATGAAATACAGTGTGTCAGATCACAGTGTCCGACCCGTTAGGGTGTAGTAAATGATCAATTTTATCGACAAATCCACTGGAATAAAACATTTCACAAGACAACTAGCCTAGTAGGTGTTGTGATTAATTGAACATATGACTCTATCAAACGCGAATTCATCCCGAATAAGTAATAGGTGGCCCTACTATTACGCCTAGGCTAGTTGACTTTAAAGCTAAGGTATTAACATCGGTTTTTAGGTGGGTGCGCCAAAATTCACCTAAATTTTCAACTCCGAAAATTGGAAGTCCGAAAATGTTCTTCCTAAAATTTTTCATCCTAACAATCACAATTCCTAACTACTCTGTCTCTAATGTTCATAATTCCGAATCATTCAACTTCATAATGTCATTAGCAATAAACATCTATTATACTTTTATTTAATTTTGTTCTCCTAGATTTTCTAAACATAACCATATTTTACACTATTATTCAAAGCCATATCTTTTTTGTTTAGATTTCTTTCTTTGACGATATATTAAAGTTCAAGTTTGCTGGCATTAGCACGTATACTTGCTTGAGTCCCGCTCCAGTCATTCAGTCAAGTTCCAGAAACGAATCGGTCCTATTCATAATTATTGGTTTAGGTTAGGTTAGAACTGTGACCACAACGCACCAGCCGAGCGAGCGAAGCCAGAGTCCCGCTCCAGTCATTCAGTCAAGTTCCAGAAACGAATCGGTCTATTCATTATTATTGGTTTAGGTTAGGTTAGAACTGTGGCCTTACGTTTCATTCGCGAAGAACGTACTTCTGTACGTAGTATTTATTATTATTCTATGGTATGAGTGAAAATATTATGGTAATGTTTAGGGATAAAAGTGTTATGATAAAAAACAGTAGGAGTTTAAATATATTTAAATGATATTATTAATTAAAATTTTCGGAAACATGAGTGTTATGAACATCGCCGGTAGCACTACAAATAGTATGAATGAAAACTTTAGGATGAAAAATTTTAGGAAGAGGGATCATTCGGATTTGAAATCGTTAGGAAGAAGTAAGAACGATTTCGGGTAAATAACTTTAGGTGAGCCAATATAAAGTGAAAAAAAATTGGCCAAGTGCGTGTCGTGCCACACGCAGTGTAGGGTTCCTTAGTTGTCCGTTGTTACCACAATATATTTCAGACAGGCGCGGATCCAGCCCTCAAAAAAGGTTGTGGGCACAGCCACCAAAAATGAGCAAAGTGAGAGTTGGATCACTACATGCCCGGACATACATTCATGCCTATCGATCTTATCAATAGATCATATTTAAAACAAGCAGATTAGGGTTGTGGGCATGCCCACAGTGCCCACAACGGTGGATCCGCGCCTGATTTCAGAAGCAAGCAATTACTTCATCTAAAGTCACTTTTCATATTTTCTCCTAAGGATTTTAATTACTGGTTAAGAAATTTTATAATAGGTACATGGGTCAAATGACTATTACTCTAAACTAAGTAACTGATGTATCTTAACCGTATAGTACTTATAGTCAATCAATAACTATATTTATATAAAACGTTATTAAAGATTTTTAATATTGATATGCGTCACTATAAGATGCTGTTAATTATTACGTAACAACTTAATGCTTCGAGTAGGTACGGACATTCCAGACACAATTGATTTTCAATTGTTATGGACCACGATCGTGGTCTTAGGGACTGGACGTATTAAGACAGAAAGTCGCTTAAGTAGAGACTGAATAAATTAATAACCGACTTGGTATTACATGGATCTGTTTACCGTTTTGTCGACGTGATTAATACATACCTCCACAAAATTACAGCTCTTCTCTGGTGCTAATAGTTTCCAAGCAAAACCTCGGACAGACAGACATATCGAAACTATAAGGGTTCCTTGTCAGGATTATGGAACCCTAAAAAGGTGTGTTCACCATCTAGTTTTTTTGTACCTAGCATTCAAAAATTTATCATTTTTTTATGTTTCATGTGTTTTTTAAAGATTTTAATGGGAGTTTTTGATAAACTGTTCCACTGTTCGGTGACAGCTAGGTCAGTCGGGGTGCAAAACGCTAGTTGGGAGGGTGCAGGAGACTTCTTACAAGAAGGGGGCTGGAAGATTTTGTGTGGAGCTGGTTGGAGACGGGAGGTGATGGAATGACTTCCAATGAGAGAAAAGAAAGTTAGAACGACGTTAGGCTCATTTTTCATTTGTTAAATTTACTGCTAAGTAACTGCCGAACTTATTAATAAACATGCATTTTGTTTTTTACTAAAATTACTAATACAAAAGCTTAGTTTAATGCATCACATTCGTTAAAGTTGTCGAACAAACTTTGAAAATTGCCGCCCACACGATCCATGCTAAGATGACGGTTCAGTTGATGAGAGTTGATAAACACCGTAGCACTGTGTGAGTGATCGCTTTTACATAAATATGGCAACTTGTAGAGAAAACTAAAGTTATAATAAGTTTCTTTATCTCTCCATTAAAGGTAGCTAGTACACAGTGCTATCTAACAGTTACGAACTAATAATTCTCAGTTTTATAACGTTAAATTAATAAACTGACATGAATTCATATGTAAGTAGGTACTTAGATTTATTTATTTTTCTCAACCTGTAGTAATCCTTATCTGTGTATGTATAGTAATCTATGTTCTCAACATAGGTAGGTACATTATTGTAGCAAGATTGTAGCTGTTTTCCTCGATCAAAACAAAAGACGTGAGTTGTGTTGTGAAACACAATGCTATTGACGAACTACTTAGTTAATAAAGTTATCACACACATTAGATGTAAGTACTTACCATAATCAATATTTGGCTGCACGCTTGGAATCCTTAAGTATTCAATAAAATTTCCTACGGCTGGGTTATTTTGGTAGTTGGTGGCCATCGCAACTTCACGCTTCGAGCTCTATCGTGAGAATGATAATAAAACGTTGCTTCGGGAGCCGCGTAGCCGTCGCGTGCGCATATTATCATTGGGTACATTGTAAGTCTATTGTGTCTATACTAATGTTGAAGATAAAGAGTTTGTTTGTTTACTTGAACATGATTAGCATGTTGAACTACTGGTCCGATTTGAAAAATTATTTTTGTGTTGGATAGTCCATTTATCGAGGAAGCTTTAGGCGCTATAACAACAGCTAATAGGAACGGACGGAGCAGTAAAGAAAAATCCCACCAAAAACATTCTGTAAAAAACTAGCCAAGTCTCGATGGAGCTGCTTGTTTATCTCTAAAAAGTAATGAAATCTAGACAAAGTCGTGCCAAGTCTATGGTTCCTTACTGCAATTTCTTTATTATTATAGTTAGTGTTGTGTGACTTGGCCTTGACAACAAAGCAAAAGTTGTTTTAATAACTTAACCTTAGCCATCCTCACCATATAATAAACGAAATCAACTAAATTCAAATATTTACACAACATTCAACTTAATCGACGTGGCGATCTAGAAAGGAAAAAAAATCTGGACACCACGGTGCAGAAAAATGACGCTCAAAGTGCTAGCGCCATCTAGCGGTGAGCGGTATAGGCGAACACCACGGTGCCGGTGTGGCGCTAGTAGTATGAATGTGGTGTTACTCCAGATCTTCGATTTTCCTAGTTTCTATAGTTTTCTCTTTATGTAGTCATTAAACCCTAACTCTGTACCAAATTTCGGCTCTCTGAGTTGAGTTTATGGGAAGTACTAGTTCTATTTTGATGATCGTCAGTAAGTGAGTGAGTGTCATAAATGCGAAACTTTGCTTTCGCTTAACTTTGAAACTAAATGACCTACAGACTTGAAATTTTGGATTTTAAGTATGTGATTATAGCTTACTAGATAACGAAAATTTCAGCGTTCTGGTCTTATCCAGAGGTTCTCAAATAGATAGAGCCCTGAAAATGCGGCGAAATGGTTCCAGTAAAGGATGGTACGGCAGTGTTTGCTTCGCGCTTGACTTGGGCGGGGGCACTGCCGTGCCCCCAAATGTTGCAAAAATTAAACAAACTATTATCGCGCCTACGAAATCGCGGGCACAGCTTGTATCTTAAAATCTATACTAATATTATAAATGCGAAAGTAACTCTGTTTGCCGTGTCTTTCACGCCTTAACCACTGAACCGATTTTGATGAAATTTGGTATAGAGATAGTTTGAGTCCCGGGAAAGGACATAGGATAGTTTTTATCTCGGTTTTTGATAAAGTTTTTCTGTGATAGACAAAATTCCACGCGGGCGAAGCCGCGGGCAGAAAGCTAGTAGGTATACTATGTATGTCATATTATACTATTTACAACGACTGGTGGTGTGGGTGTGTATGTATACAGGTGTGTACCTCTATATTATAAGCAAGTTATAGGTAGGTAGGTACAGACGCCGGCACGTCAACGTAACCACTGTGGGTTCTTGTGCAGTTGTTAGGTGCGTTTGCAACAAACTGTGCTGTCGTGTGTAACATCTAATTCAGAGTAGGTTCGTGTAAAAGATGCAAATACGTATAAAGCAAATCGAATATTAGGTATTAATCACTGTTGAACTCATAGAAACACACCCCATAAAATATCTATTATTATAATAGTTAGTAGGTACCTACCCATTTAAGCAATCGCTGAAAACCTTTTTTACGGTTAAGATTTACGATATTCGGGCGGGTGGGCTTCGGCTGAAGGTTGTGGGTTCGATTTCAGGTTGCAGGTATTGTTATTCTGATGCAAAAACGTAACGAAAGCAGTTTCATCGAATGGCATAACATCGAATAGGTACTCATAACACATAAATAGAAATTCTATGTTCCGTGGCTCATATCGTCTTCTTCTATTTTATTCTTTGCGTCTTCTGTCTTTCATGCTTTTCTTCTTTGTGTCTTCTGCTCACCTACTTCTTATACAGTGTGAGTCACGATAAAGTGCACATATGAATTAAGGTGAAACTAGACCTATTTTTATCGACAACAGAGGTCAAAAATTTTTTGAGATTTAAAAAAAATATATAGATTTTTTTTTCTTTCAATTACTTATTGTAAAGAAAACGTAATAACTTTTAAACTAAGAGGTATATCCTGATAAAAAACAGTAATAATGCTAAATAACAGACAATACTAAAAAATACATAAAATACTCAGAAAATGGCAACAAATAATAAAAAATGATACTTTTTGAAAAAAATCTGTTTTTAAATTCGTGTTTTTTTTGGTAATTTCATACATTTCTTTAAAAAATGCCCCTATAACAGGTGGTTTTCGAAGTTAAAAAATTTTTACGTTTTCTTTACAATAATTGAAAGAAAAAAAAATTATAAAAAAAAAAAAATTGACCTCTTTTTTGTCGATAAAAATAGGTCTAGTTTCACTTTAATTCATATGTACACTTTAACGTGATTCACACTGTATTATACATCCTACATACAATGAAGAAAAAAAAAGAAGATAGTAATAATGAGAAGAAGAATAGAATAAGAAGAGACAAAGAAAAGCAGTACAGGAGACAAAAAAAAGATGATCATGATATGAAGAAGAATAGATAAAAAGATGAAACGAAGAAGAAGTTATAAAGAAGAAAAGCAGAAGAAGAACAGGAGACAAAAAGAAGAAAATGAGAAGAAGCACAAGACGATGTCACGTTTAATAATCTTACTATATAAAAATAAGTCGGGTTTTCCTCCCTGGCGCTATAACTCTAGAACGCACGAACCGATTTCCACGGTTTTGCATTCGTTGGAAAGGTCTCGGGCTCCGTGAGGTTTATAGCAAAGAAAATTCGGGAAAAGGGGGTAAAACAGGATCCACGCGTACGAAGTCGCGGGCGGCCGCTAGTTTAATATAAACCTTTATTACGGCATTCGATGTTTTCGTACATACTAAGTTATGAAATAACTAATATGAACTGCCAACCTGTCACTACTTAAACAATGTTAACCCTTGGCATGCCTGGTAGGGTCTGTCAGACCCATACCAACGCGCGAACCGTTGTAGTTCGTTTAAATTTGAATTTTGCGCCTCACCGTTTTTAGTAGCTGGCCGTTACTAACAGCGGAATGCAGTCCGCCCGCTTCCCCAGTCCGCGGCGAGCTACGAGCGTAAAAGGAAGTGCATAAAGTGCGCGCGGGTCCCGCAGACCCCACCAGGCATACGGCGTGACTTTATTTTGTAAGTATTTATTTTTCTTTAGTCTTATGAATATTGGCATTTGTCCGTTAAATAATATTAGTTTGTACATAACATTATCATATTTTAATTTTTTTCAGTTTAATCATGAATAAACACCTAACAGACGAGGATATATAACTAGTTTATTATTCCAAGAGTTGAATAAGGAAGACTTAGTTGCATTTGATTCAAGTGGAGAAGAGTTTGACGTTGCTCTAGAGCAGTCTTTCCCAAAGTGGGCGATAACGCGCCCTTGTGGGCGCTGCAGGCTTAAAGGGGGGCGGTAAGAGACCCAGAAAAGAAATCGGGACGTTGTGTAGAGGCTTAGGAGGCGTCATCTACTAGGAGGACTCTTAGACACCGACTGAGCTCGACTCTCGACTACAAAAATGGGGGGCGCTAAAAATTATTTAATCTCAAAGTGGGCAGTAGACTAAATAAGTTTGGGAACCGCTGCTCTAGAGGATGAAGAAGCTGTTTCTGAGGAGGAAGAAAATGATGCAGGCTCCACCTCTTCGGATTCTGAAATGGATGTGCCTCTGTCCATCCTTGCGACTACACACCACATTTGCAATCAAGAAAATCGAGTATTCGCCTTTCCACTGATCTTTGTTTTACAAAGATAGAGAATACCGTTAAAAAAATCAACTCCTGGAATAAAGCGCAGATGCCACGTCTGTACCGCGAAAAAAAATCGGAAAACCCAGTACATTTGTGAGACATGTAGTAGTCACATTTGTCTTGACCACTCGATTTTTCAATGCGCAAAGTGTTACCAAACCAAAGCTTTACAAAGTGATGAAGACTAATTATTTTGTTATTTAGATTAAGTATATGATAGAGCCTTACACTGGATTAAAGTCTGATTAAGATCTCATTACTTTTAATACTAATTATATGTTAACAAAGTTATAGTCTCGAAATGTTGCTTAAAAATGAGTATGTGTGTGTAGTATGAGTATTAATTTATATAGTGATTTTTTTTACTATCTCTTTTTTGCCCTTTAAGCATGCGTTTTGAATCATTAAATCACCTTACATAATAAAATTTATAGAAAAAAAAGCTATTTTGAAATCGGGGTCTGACAGACCCACCAGGCATAGCGTGTAACTTATGCCCACCAGGCATGCCAAGGGTTAAGAAAATTTCATAGGGTAGAGAAAAAATTGTTTAGTGTTTAACATCTTAGAGAAACAATTTCTTCACATACATATTTGAGGACATAACAAGTAAAAATAAGAAGAAAATGTATCAGGGATTCCTATTTATTACTTATTTATTGTATTAACTATGGATAATTACATTGGTTTTTAAATGACATAAAAAAAGAATGCCATACAATGTGCTAATTACAATATTTTGGTCGAAAATTGACAATGTTTTACTTATTTATTACACACATATACCTATGTACATTTCGTAAAAAAATATTATTTATTACTTTATCAAAATGTAAAACTTAAAAATAAACCCATAGTAAATTATTTACAGAAATTCATCACACCAGTCCTTCAAACATTGATAGCAATCTGCTGATTGTTTTGAGTTGGCACTACAAGTCTCTTTCATCCATTCTTGAAAAAGTTCCTTGTCTTTCTTCAAAACGAGGAACTGCCCCAGTACAACATATGCCTGTAACAATGAACAAACAAGATAACATAAAGAAGATAAATGGAAAGTATTTCACATACAATGTTTATTAGTTAAATTATATTTTACTATGTTATATTTTAATGAATACTGTTTCCCAGAGTATCATTTGATGTAACAAGGCATTCATTTGGATATAGTTATTTTATGGTTTATTCATATTTTAAATCCGTCTGCTCGTTTGCCTACTGTCACATAAAAAAAATCAAATATGAATCAATATGTACAATTAATGAATGTCATGATCATCTTGATTGAGTCTAACAGGGTGACTGTAATTCGATGCATTCCTTGAAATGGGTTACTCATTCATGGTACCTAACTCATTTCTAATAGATTTTTTAGCTATGTTAGAGTCAAAACTCATAATCGGTCAAAACTACTTTTGACTGATTCTTTCAGTCAAAAGTGGTTTTGACAAATCGCTTTAGTCTAAACCACTAGAGTACTGACCAAACAAATTGGTAATCTATTTATCTTTTACCTGACGAATACCTAGATAATTATCTTAAAAGTACTAGCTAAGATAGGTGTGATCATTTTGTATGCACATATCACAGTAATGTTACACTTTAAAATGGTTTTATAACACATTTTTATGATTTCCAAGTAATTTACACTAATCATAACATTTTGTATGAATTTTGACTGATTGGTAAAATTTTAAATCAGGCTAAACAATATTTCAGCTGATTTTGTGCACTCAAAAGTGATTTTGACTAAAGCATATTGACCAAGGGCATCAGACAAAACCACTGACTGCAAAAATCAGTCAAAGGTGGTTTTGATCGATTATGAGTTTTGACTGTAAGCCTAGGCGCAGACCATCGATTTTTCGTCGGCCGATAGTTTAGTCGGGCAGTTGATCAGTATGGGCATGTATGGAAATGGGCACATTACACCGATTTGATTTGGCCGATTCTTCATACAAATTAAAATCGGGCCCACTATCGGCCAACTAAAAATCGGTGGTCTGCGCCTAGTCTAACAGCTACACAACTTGTGGTCGGAAATCATTGGTAATATTGAAATATAAATTTAAAAACATGTTGATGGTTTTATTCAGTCAAGACATTGGAGGCCATGACGTCAGTTACTACAGATAGACGAAGAAATTTTTCTAATGAGCGATTTTCGAAAGAAAACAGAAAATTTACAACACAATGACGTCATTTAACCTTGCAATTTACCGGTAGTCTTTCTAAAAAAAATTAAGTAGGAATAGTAATAATACCTTATCAAATCCAGCAGTTTCCAGTCTTTTGCCTAACACTTCTCCGACACCAGCCAAATCAGTGACTGGTTTTTCTCCCATAGGCTCCGCAACAAAATTGCGATGCTTTTGTGATGTGCTTGACATTTTCCCGGTTGTGGTGCTTTGGAAGCTCCAATAATATCGTGTACACGAATGTTTTATTGAGAAACTTACTTAATGTAAGCACTTTTACAGAAGGAATTCACAAAAAAATACGCAAAGTACAAAAATTATGACAACAACAAGCATACAATACAATTTCAATCATCGAATCGAACGAAAAGACGCACGCAACTTGACACTTGACGCAAGTTTGAGCCACAGATTAAAAATTAAAAATGACAAGAATAAAACCACAGAAGAATAAAATAGTAATAATAATAATGCAAAATTTCCAACGAACCTGGTGCATTCGAAATCGCACCTTACTACTACGCTCACAAGAGTGCAATTTTTTTGTTTTACCTTTTTTCGCAGAACTTTTTTAATCATAATTTTACTATGCATAACAACGGATGGCATAATCTTCTTTATAACTTGCTGTATAGATGACCCACGCTGAACTGTCCCACCAAACTCAATGACAGGGGGGCGCTACCATCGTTCAACTTTAAGGTTTCCAACATGGCAAAAATCGGAACCAGCGATTCGGTATTGACGGTGGCGCCCCGCTGTCAATGTCATCGATAGGACAGTTCAGTATTTTGGAACTATATTCAGAAAATCATTAGGCATAATACACTTATTTGGCATACCTTCAAAACTAATAATTTTGTAAGGCAGAATCATCTTTAGGCTTAAAGATGATTTACCTACTTATTTTAAAAATGATGATGACTTACTTTAAAAATCCCGAATAATTAAAAAGCAGAACCATCATCGCAGAAAGTTCTTACGCCCGTATTCACAAACTTACAGTGCGCGTGGACGCACAGGGTGACACACGAACCAATCACAGAGCTCTATTCAAAGCCGTGCCTTTGATTTGCTGCTTCACTCAAGCAAGCATCGTTTGTGAATACGGGCGTTAGTCAGAATCGTCTTTTGGCATACTATTAAAGGTTAAATTTTTATTCCTCTATCGCATTATTAAAGGGTTGTAGGGATGAGGTGGAGGGAGAGAGGGGGGTAGGGAAACTCCCCCTGTGAACGGGGGAGATCGGAAACTTAGTTTCTGAAAAAACTGAAAATGAAATTTTTAGGTTAAGTTGCGTTTTATGGGTAGTTTTTATTGGAAATCAACTATTTACGTACGCGATTCTAGACTTAGCGCTCGGCGGCCGCTGCCGCGACACGTTCGCTTCGCTCGCTCACTCGCCTTCACGCTGTGTAAGGTCGCAAGTCCAACACCTAACCTATAGCTTTGTTGTCCAACAAGTTTTTTAAAAAATTATCTTCGTTAGTACATTTGAAAACTAGTGGGTCTAGACAAAGTGCAAATTATAATCGCAAACCAGTCGAAAAGTGGTCGAAAAGCCCTTTTTTTGTATGGAGTTTTGACGGATTCGATTTTCGATTCGATCAAAAAGTGCGTTTTGTCTAGGGGGGCAGATCATGTCGATCTTACACTGACAAAAGGACGTCTTAGGCTGGACTCTATTCACTAAAAAAACCCGCAAATCCAAAAGTTCGGTAGGCACTCTAAATGTTAGCCGTATCTCACTATTGGAATACCATTAAATAATGGTGTCAAATAATCGTGATGCTAAAGAAACATTATGCTAATCGAAATAATCGAAGGCCGAAGGCTGTTCGTTAACCGGGTACGATGATGATGGTCTCCTTTTAATAGAGGCTGACACTAGATCAAAACTTGAAAATCTAGCGGATACATGCTTGACTTTATTATCTCAATGGGGAGACCGGAATCGTTTGCACTTTGCCCCTCATAAAACTTATCAGCTTCTATTAAAAGGTAATCTTAAAGTTTTGCCTCGCATTAAATTCAATGAAATAACTGTTAAAAAACGGGAATCTGTTTACTATCTCGGACTAATTTTAGAGAAAAACTTTAGTTTTGTCGAGCACATTAAACAGATCTGTGAAAAAGCTAAAAAGAACTTATAAGCCTTAAGTCACATTTCAACCTCGACGAGGGGTCTAACGTTTAAAATCCTCCGAGTAATATATTCGGCCACTTATTTAAGCTCCATTTGCTATGGTGCACCAGTTTGGGCTGACAGAGTTACTATAGGAACCGCTCGACGGAAACTACTCCAAAGTCAACGCCTTGCATTGATTTTTCTTTGCAAAGCTTACAGAACTGTGAGCACGGAGGCTCTGCCAGTCCTGGCTGGTGTACTGCCGGTCGACTTAGAGGTACAAAAGCGTGCGACTATGTACTTCGCATCAAGGGAAAATATAACCTCCGATTTCTTAAATAGCCGCGATCGTTCTAAAATAAGTCGGTTATTTGATTCCCGAGAAGTCGTTGAAGAAGAATTACTTAATGAATGGCAAAAAAGATGGGATACGTCAGTCAAAGGACGTCACTTATATAAATTCTTCCCGAATGTACGCGAACGTCTAACTAGGCGATGGTTAGAAATCGACCATTGCTCGTCGCAGTTCCTCACGTCACGGGACAACTTTAAACATAAACTTCACGAATTCAAACTAGTTCCGTCTCCTTTTTGCGAGTGTTCCACTGATGATGTCAGTCATGAGCAGTCTGCCCATCATATCTTGTGGGAGTGTGATCTTTGGAAACATGAACGTGATATAATGCTTAATTCAATACAACATACATCTGTTTCCGCAATTTATTACACCGATCTTGTCGCGACAAGGAAAAATTTCCGTGCTTTTAAGCGATTTTGTGAAAAATATTATTGGCAGGTAGTTGCTAATTGCTCATAAGATAGGCCCCCTTAATTTAATTTATTGTCCGTGGTGCATAATCTTTTTCTTAAAGGTTTTAAACCTTTGTTTGTCACCTGTCATCCGCTTTGCAATGGAGGGAAGTCGAACCTTAATTTCGAACTCCTCCTATGTTCTTCTGATTAATTTCGTTGCGGGTCCAATGACAGTTTAACTTTCCCCCGGGACAAACTTGACCTTCATTGGTTGGGTTTTTGTGGCGGTCAAGCTGTAGATCCTGGCTACACAGGAGTTGCAGTGGTGGGAACGAGAGGTGGGAATAGTCCCGTAATCGAAATTATGCCCAATAAAATTCTGCTATCTTAAAAGTATGCTATTGAAAATTCGGGTATATATACATTCTGCCAAACGATGATATGTATTTAACAATGTTTATGCCTTATAAATATTCGGTTAAAGAAGATTATGCCAAGTCAGTTATGCCAAATGTATTTCTGCGTAACAAGATTCTGCCAGATAGAGGGGAGCCAATTTTTTTGTGTTCAGATCTGATCTACCTCACCCCGCTCAAGCGTCAGGGTTGTTTAAGTAAAATAAATAAAAACTTAATTTTAATAAGCATTGATTGTAATTTACGATTGGTAAACGTTAATCTAGTGCTGTTTGTATTTGTACTTACTATTGAACTTCAGTATTGCGATAATTTGAAATTGGATAAACAGTTTTAAAAGAGGTAGTGTCGGAAAATAGACACGGTGAAGTAAGTAATTAGCTAAAATAATTTTTTTGCTACAGCTTGTTGTCATAAGTATTTTAAATTAATTTAAAAAATGTAGTTTTTTAAAATATAGACTTACTACAGTTAATTATTATTCCTAAATATTACGATTTTTCATTATTAAAGACGAATAACAGTGCTGTTGGAACAATAAAACTTGATTGCGACGATGATCGACCGAGCGTGGCACTCGTGTGTACCTGTACACAGGCGCGTGGCAGGGCAGCCCCGACTGATTTGCAACCACAATTTTCACGTTAGTTGTTTACTCACTCACTGATAATTTCTTAACAACTATTTTTCTAGACATTTTATACCATTATAAGCATAGAGGAATTAATTCCTCTATTATTACAAGTTACAACAACTGTCTAGGCTTGCTGTCCTTGTTACAGTGCGTAGACCTATTCAATATGATATCTTTGTCTTTCTGTCAACTGTGTCTTGCTTGACATTTGACAACTGACAGTCGTGGATAGCGTTGCCGAACTATCGATAGTTTTACTATGATATTTCATCTAAAAAAGCCTTATCTTTCGAAAACAAGGCAATTTTATTGGATGAGCGCAATACTATCGATACTATTGATAGTATTGCTGCTCGCGAAGAATAAACTATCGATTGTATCGATACTATCGATAGTATTGTTTCTAGTAAATAAAAAAAACTATTGATAGTATCGATATTATCGATTATTTAAAACTATCGATATTCTGTAAATTTTCAATAGTATTGGGTATGTTTTAACAGTGCAGTGATCTGATAAAAACACTATAAAACTGACCAACTAAACATATTCGTTCGTTTCAGCCAAATGACGTCCACTGCTGGACAAAGGTCTCCCCCAAAGTTTTCCATGATAAACGGTCCTGCGCTGCCCGCATCTAGGCTCTTCCCGCAACCTTTACCAGATCGTCGGTCCACCTAGTAGGAGGCCTGCCCACGCTACGTCTTCCAGCCCGTGGTTGCCACTCGTCCGGTCATCGTCTCTATGAGTTGTGCCCCGCCCACTGCCACTTGATTTTAGCAATTCTGCGAGCCATGTCGGTTACTTTGGTTCTCCTGCGGATCTCCTCATTTCTAATTCGATCACGCAGGGAAACTCCGAGCATAGCCCGCTCCAACGCCCTTTGGGTGACCTTGATCCTTCTTATGAGGCCCATAGTAAGCGACCACGTCTCAGATCCGTATACCATCACTGGCAACACACTGGTCAGACTTTTGACTTGAGACACTGCGGTATTTCGGACGTGAGTAGGTATATGGCGAAGCTTCCCGAACGCTGCCCATCCGAGTTAGAATCGACGAGCAATAACTACTAAACGGATTTTGATGAAACTTTGCAGTATTATTGTTTAAAATCCAGAATAACATAAAGGCTATAATTTATGACGATCTGTGACAAACGAAATTTCACGCGGGTGAAGCCGCGGGCAAAAGCTAGTATGAATGAATGAAATATACTCAAATATTGTAAACGATACTATTGTAAATTGCCAAACTATCAATAGTCTAGAACAATCGATAGTATCGATACTATCGGTAATATCTATAGCTTTTTATTCAAAAGCGACAATACTAAATTCAAATTTTTCATTGCTATCTAACTATCGATAGTTTATTCTTCACGAGCAACAATATATTTGAATTTGAATTTGAACAATACTATCGATTCAATAGTATTGCCTCGTTTTGAGCTATCGATAGGCTAATCGATAGTCTTGCGATAGTTTGGCTATCGATAGACTATCGATCGGCAAGGGCAACACTAGTCGTGTGGGACCTTCATGGTGCCGACCTCTATGGTGCCGACTTAGACATACTCTCTAATCTGTGGTGTGCCGACCGACGACAGCAGACGAAACGATAGGGTTTATTTTATTAAAAAATTCGTTTCGTCGTCTGTGATCTGTGCGAGGCACTTGGAGGCACTGTCGTTCATGTGTGTCGTTCTTTATGTATAAATAATTGTCATTGTTAAAATAAACATGAATAAAATATGTAGAATATGCTTAGAAGAAGGTGTACTATCATCAATTTTTACTAAGAATTTTAATTTGTCTCTAAGTGACATGATTGAATATTGTTGCAACCTAAAGGTAATTTAAAATCATCAAATCTAAGTTAGTATAAAGACTAATGGCTTATAATTTCTGAAATTGCTTTGTAGGTATTCAATCAACGTGGTGGGCAAACAAAATATAATAACATGGTGTTGGAGGAGTTAATNTAATAATTATCTGTACCAATATTGTACTTGCTTGTATGCTTGCGGAAGTCAACTTCTGCAATTTTATTACTAGTCTGATGCCCGTTTTCACCATCAATCCCTAATTTTTAAGTGACCCCCTATGTATACAAAATTCCTGTTATTTGTTATCATAGGGGTCACTTAAAAATTAGGGATAGATGGTGAAAACGGGCATAAACCTCTCATTAGTTATATAGTGGAAAGGGCTTTTGATAGGTAATGTTTAATTTTTCTAATTCAGATTGGAAAAAATGATGGTTTGCCTGAACAGATGTGCAGCAACTGTATTTACAAATTGGGTATTGCATATCATTTTAAGCAAACTTGTGAGAGTGCTGACATGCGACTGAGGCAATATTTAGGACTACAGACTCCTGAAAAGTAAGTAATCAATTAGTCTAATAATAATTATTAACATTGATATCATCATTATGTTTTATAGACTTACTAATGCATTACTGTGTTGTATGTTTTAAGTGTAGCACTCCTATGTCAGTAAATAATTTATTTATTTTATTTCTAATGATTTTCAGGCGTACTGATGTGGCTGTGATGACAGATCCAATTGTATGTATTTTATCAGATTTATTAGATCTATCCATGCAATTTTTTGCTTATCAATACATAAGTTATTTCCATGAATGATGCACTTGCTTGCTTTACTGCTCTCAGGCATGTAACATAGGCAATGCCAAAACAAACCTTACAATCAAGTAGAGTAACAAGTATTTTAATTATGATTGTTTTGAATTATGAATAACGTAGTGTGCATTTTACCAGGTCACAACTCACGCTACAATCATAAAAAAATGGTAAGAATCTTCAAAAGTTTTGTTTCCTTAACTTGCTGGACAAAATATCCTCCCAACTCCTTGGTGAGAGGGCCAATATTATTATTTATTTTTTCAATAAAAGATTATTAGCAATTTGTATTGCCCAAATTACTAATAGTCCCGTTAGCCCCTCGTGGTAAGCTAAAGCTTGTGTTACGAGTGGGCTCACCACAATAGTCGAGCGGCGGTGGGATTCGAACCCGCGTTCCGAGTCGGCCACTCCGACCCCTTCACTGTTTAATAACTTAATTTTCTTATTTTTGAATTTGTGCACTCTAGTAAATGCCAGCAGGGACAACGAAAAAGTAGTACAAACTACAAACGAAAGTTGGAAACTGAGAAATTGAAACGAGGCCCAAAACCAAAACCCAAGCAAGTTCATAGCTGTTACCAATGTGACAAACAATTTAGATGCCAGGCACAGTTGGACATGCATGTAAGGTATTATGTATTTCTTTATATTTCAGTCTTTAAATTATAAATAAAACCACTATAACAATGTTTAGAATTTAGTGAGTCATTTAAACAAATATTACTGTTTTACTTTCAATATACATATATAACAATTTATTATGCATTTTTCAGAACTCACACTGGAGATAAACCCTTTGTTTGTATGTATTGCCCGCGACGTTTTACTCAAAAACACAATTTGACAATTCATCTTCGTGTTCACACTGGTGAGAAACCATTTCAATGCGAAGTCTGCAGGTAATATACATTTTTATTTTTTACCAATCAATCTTTGAAATAAAATGAAAAAAAATATATATTAAATAGATATTTTGGGTTATAAAGTTTAATAACAGAAACTAATATTTGTTTTTAGTAAAAGATTTTCTGCTCAAGGAAATCTTCAAGCACATTTGAAAATTCATACTGGACAAAGAGATCATGTAAGCTTATAGTTTACCAAGAAAATACATTGGCCTTTTTACCATAAAAATACTTTATAATAATAATTATCTTTCAGACATGCACATTATGTAGCAAATCTTTTATTACATCCAGTGAGCTTACACGGCATATGAATAAACATAGAGGTGTTAAAAATTTCAAATGTGATTTATGTGGAGCTGCTTACATACACTCAAGAGACTTTGTAAGTACTATTGATTTATTTTAATGTAGTAGTAGTAAGTATAAAAGATCTGCTAAAACAAATAAAATTGGATTATTATTATTAATTCATGTCGATGGAGCGCCTTTTGAGGCTTTTAGGTGTGAATAAATTGTAATGATAAATTATTTGTTTTGATTTGTTTCAGAAATTACATAAAATGAAAAAACATCAAGTTTGTATAAAAAATTTAAATGCACAAAATGAAAATTATAACAATAATGCCAATATAGATATTATTGGCATAGATGTAGGTAAAGATGTGTCACAGATGTCCATGGGTGAGCACAAAGAGATCAACCATCACATACAACATTTGATTAATGATAAACCTCAACACAATGCCAGTTCTTCATCTGTACACAATCCAAATGTACTATCACTAAATTCTGGATATGAAAATAAAGATGTTAAAGATACTTTTCCACATCATCCATATGTCTTACCTAAAGAAATTGTTGGAGGCCACAACTGTGCTATTTGTGGTGAAAGTTTTAATTATTTAAATGAATTAGCCCAACATTACCTACACAATCATAATAAGGGTTATGATTCTTTAAATAATACAAAAACTTACAGTGCCCTACAGTAAATACTATTCCAATAAATTATTAAACATTTAATAAGATATTTCTATCTATGCATAAATTAATATGATGTGCAAATGCATACCTAGTAATAATTATAGTAAACTTTGTGAACTGTAGTGTCTGTAGTTGTAGTTTAAAAATTAAAACAAGCTTAAACTTAAAACCTGTTTTATTTGCACTACCAAGTTAATATAATATAATTACAATTTACCATTATCTTCATTAACGAATTGGAATCCAAGGCTCCAAAATATCACCTATTTTCTTTCTTTCTGGAAAAAACAAAGTAAATAAATTAGTGCAATTATAAAAAAAAAATGGTATAGTAACTAATAACATGTTTAGTGAAAAGAATTTCAGTGTCACTATGCTAACCTTGCATGCAATTTTTTGCCACTGACTACAAGCAACAAGACCAATTATTTTAATAAGTTTAATAATTAAACATTATTGTCATTTTTACCAAAAAATAAAGTGTTATAATGGATTGAGTTTGACTTGATTGTTCTTATTATCAAATATTGATATTGATATATATACCTGGTACAGCAAAATCTTCTGGATGTAACTCTACATAGTGTCTCAACACTGCATCTTTTTCAGCCAGATATGCATCACGTTTCTTTTGAACATATGATAACACAGCCACCCAACCAGCTACACCAATAATATGTTTTTGAATTCCTGAAAGAAAAATAGGTGCATAATTTAACTCGTACCTACTAGGTAGGTACATTTGTTTACATGCTTTAATATTGTTATTATGTAATTATTACCGCTGAAAATGGGACGTCTCGTGCCGAAGTTAACTGCCGCTGCTGAGCCAATGCCGAATGCAACACCTATAATTTCTGGCCAAAATTTATTAAGGAATGGTTTTTGTCTTCCTTGATCTCCTAAATTTAGGAGTTCAATAGCGGACATTTGAGACGACATTTTTATAGCGAAGAATTCATGCACGTCTCGGAAATCTAAAAAAAAATGATTGACTGACGTTAATTTGACAGCAGTTTGACAAACCAAAGATATTATAAGGCATCTTCATAGAACACCAGGGCTATTGTCTATCTACATTATAGTGTGTTTTATTTACTCCTAGTCACCCTGCGACTGAAAATATCACAAATTCACAATAGACAACAAATCTAAACATAATCTGTGCTGCCATGGGCGGACATGACAATGTCAAATTTCTGTCAATTTTGTTTATTGATTGTGAAATGGATTCATATTTTTATTTAAATAATTAGCATTATTCGCTAGATCACCTATTTTTGATTGTTATACTATCTAAAATATTTACTTTTCAATCCAAAAATGAATTGAACGTGTAAGATATGGTGGTTTAGTGAAATTAACTAATTTTCTCTTATTACTTTGAATTACAAATTTTATCTCCGTTGCTGAAATTATGGTAGAAAACGGTGCCTCCAGTGGGGGCAGTGATAGCCCAAGCGCAACTTGTGCAAGATCTGGGCTTTTGGAGACTTTGGTGCGTGGTGTTTGGTACCGCGTACATTGTACACTGGAAGATGATTATTTTAGTGTTTGTTTGGATGATGGATACGACGCTACCACAACTCTAAACGGGACGATTAATAACAACAACGTTGAGACTCCAAATAGTGATTTCACAGAAGTTCCAGAAGCTATTGCAAACCAGAAACGTTTAGTACAAGTAGTGAAATCAGACAATAATGGTTTAGGTATATCAATAAAAGGTGGAATAGAAAACAATATGCCTATATTAATATCAAAAATATTTAAAGGAATGGCTGCAGATCTTACAGAACAGTTGTATGTTGGTGATGCAATATTGTCAGTCAACGGGGAAGACTTGAAAGATGCTACACATGAAGAAGCAGTCAAAGCTTTGAAGAGAGCTGGAAAAATGGTCCAACTTGAAGGTTTGTTGCATCTGCTAATTGTTTCTAAGCTTTTTATAAGTGTGAAGTTTTGTGTGATCTTAATTTTAACATATTTTTAAACCATTTGAACATTTAAGCAGTCACCAGTTGACTTTTGACTCTTAATTAAGCATCATAATATCTTGTCTCTCAATTGACTCTTGGCTTCTAATAATTAACATTGTAGATGGCATTTTCCTACACTGCTGTTTTGCAAGTTCTTGTTTGTCCTGCCTATATTGCCATATTATATGTTTAAAAATTATTTTCCAGTGAAATATTTGAGAGAAGTGACTCCATACTTTCGGAAGGCGTCGATCATCAGTGAGGTGGGGTGGGAGCTGCAGCGCGGCTACATGGCGGAGGCGCCGCCGTCGCCGCCGTCCCCGCGCCGCCGCCGCGCCGACACGAGATACGTGCCATTATTGATGGCCTGCGTAGCCAAAAACCTTCGCCACCATGACCCAGGTAGGCACTCCATTACCATAGTCTCCATAGTTTGCATTAAAGAAGGGAAAATTAATTTCTAATTCTGTGTTAATGTTTAAAATAACTTTGTTCTAGACCATTGGTTCCCAAACTTATTTGAGGCGCGACCCCTTTCGACCATACAAAAATTTCGCGCCCCCCCTCCTCCAGTCAAGATTATTTATTGGTCATATTGAGCAGTCTAGAATGCATTCTCTCAGTGGTCGCAGGTTTTTTATACTTAAGTACACAGATGGCCTGCACCCCCCTTTAACTTAAAGGTCTTTGCGCCTCCCCTGAAGGGCGCGGCCCCCACTTTGGGAACCAGTGTTCTAGACAATGTATAAGATGAAATAACTGGAACATTTTGTATTGCACATCCTAGATTTATTGATACAATATTCTGTCATGACTGTTCTGCAGCCATTAATGTTGCTTGCTTAAATGGAAGCTGATTAGGCTGAATGAAAAGTATGAAATAAATGGTTTACTGTCATAATAATCACAGCAATGTCGTCCAATTTTATCACCTACTGAGTGAGGATTGCTCATTTCGGAATTTTATCAGCTTTAGGCTACTATCCAGTGGAAATTCGAATAAAGAAGAGATATTTCTAGCACATTGTATTCAGTGTACAACCAGGTCGAGTGAACGATTTTTGGGAAACATACAAATTGGGAAATTGTCCAACAAATGAAAAATAAGGTTTGATGTAGTAATGATACGAGTGATAAAAAACCATCTTGATATTTTGGTGGAACCTCTGGCACTCTTCTTAAATAGATGTGTCGAAAAATATTTTTATGCAATATGGGGACCCCAAAAATTTTTCGTTTTTTTTCTATTTTTGTGTAAAAATCTTAATGCGGTTCACAAAATACATCTACTTACCAAGTTTCAACAGTATAGCTCTTATAGTTTCGGAAAAAAGTGGCTGCGACATACGGACGGCCAGACAGACAGACATGACGAATCTATAAGGGTTCCGTTTTTTGGCATTTGGCTACGGAACTTTAAAAAGGAAATAAACTATTTCTTTGTTGCTTATTTTGTGAAAAATGTATGAAAATCTTCCAATCTCTTGTCTCAGAGGAGCGCACGATCGAGGTGTACTCTCCGGACGGGGTGCATGCGGTAGCGCTGCGGGCGGAGGGTTCCGATTTTTGCCATTTAAATTGGAACCCTAAAAAGGAAATAAACTAGATTGTAAAAATTATAGGCTACTAGCTTTTGCCCTCGGCTTCACCCGCGTGAAATTTGGTTTGTCACAGACTGACATAAATTATAGCCTATATGTCATGGCCAACTTGATTAGACAAGATCTACTGTTTAGTAACGAAACCCTGGGCGATCTATCACTTACATACTTCTTGAAATCTTAAATGAAGCAGTATAGTTTAGTACACAATCATGTAGTATTTTTTGCCTTGCCACGATCGTATGGACTAATATTCGCGATCGACCGGTTGGCCACCCCTGTTATATGTTATTCTGGGTTATAAACAATAATACTGTAAAGTTATATTAAAATCCGTTCAGTAGTTTTTGCGTGAAAGAGTAACAAACATCGAGATATCCAAACTTTCGCATTTATAACATTAGTAGGATTTCTGTTACCTCATCATCATCATCATCATTTCAGCCACAGGACGTCCACTGCTGAACATAGGCCTCCCCCAATGACTTCCACATCGCACGGTTGGTAGCGGCCTGCATCCAGCGCCTTCCCGCTACTTTTATCAGGTCGTCGGTCCACCTTGTGGGTGGACGTCCCACGCTGCGTATGCGAAAAATGTATGAAAATGTTCCAATCTGTTGTCGCAGAGGAGCGCACGATCGAGGTGTACTCCCCGGACGGGGTGCACGCGGTAGCGCTGCGGGCGGAGGGTTCCGATTTTTGCCATTTAAATTGGAACCCTAAATAGGAAATAAACTAGATTGTAAAAATTATAGGCTACTAGCTTTTGCCCTCGGCTTCACCCGCGTGAAATTTGGTTTGTCACAGACTGTCATAAATTATAGCCTACTAGCTGACCCGGCGAACTTTGTTCCGCCTTAATGGCAATAAATAACGGGATAAAAAGTATCCTATGTCCTTCTCCTGGCTCTGAACTATCTCCCTGACAATTTTCAGCTAAATCGGTTCAGCCGTTCTTGAGTTATAAGCGAAGTAACTAACACGACTTTCTTTTATATATATAGATATGTCATGGCCAACTTGATTAGATAACTTCTACTGTTTAGTAATGAAACCCTGGGTGATCTATCACTTACATACTTCTTGAAATCTTAAATGAAGCAGCATAGTTTAGTACACAATCATTGTAGTATTTTTTGCCTTGCCACGAATNAAAATGCGGAGTCCTCCCAGGATTTAATTTCGCGGTATATTTTCATGTCGTCAGCAAACAGTGAACAATAACTGTGTTTTACGCGCCGTACAACGTCATTCACAAAAATTACGAACAGTACAGGACCTAGGTGGGAACCCTGGGGAACTCCAGAAGTTGCCTTATAGCTATACGACTCATGCCCGCTCACGACTACAGACTGGGTACGGCCAGCAAGGTATGATTCAAACCATGACAAGAAAGGATCCGCTATAATCACAGCAATGTCGTCCAATTTTATCACCTACTGAGAGTAAGGATTGCTCCTTTCGGAATTTTATCAGCTTTAGGCTACTATCCAGTGGAAATTCGAATAAAGAAGAGATATTTCTAGCACATTGTATTCAGTCTACAACCTGTTGTGAACTGTGCACCTGGAGTGCAACTCCCTCCCACAATATGCACACGTCGGTGTGGCCTAAAATTTATTTATTTATTTATTTTTGGGAAACATACAAATTGGGAAATTATTATCCAACAAATGAAAAATAAGGTTTGATGTAGTAACGATACAAGTGATAAAAGACCATCTTGATATTTTGGTGGAACCTCTGGCACTCTTCTTTAATAGATGTGTACGTAGAAAAAATTTTTTATGCAATATAGGGACCCCAAAAATTTTTCGTTTTGTTTCTATTTTTGTGTAAAAATCTTAATGCGGTTCACAAAATACATCTACTTACCAAATTTCAACAGTATAGCTCTTATAGTTTCGGAAAAAAGTGGCTGTGACATACGGACGGCTAGACAGACAGACATGACGAATCTATAAGGGTTCCGTTTTTTGGCATTTGGCTACGGAACTTTAAAAAGGAAATAAACTATTTCTTTGTTACCTATTTTGTGAAAAATGTATGAAAGTCTTCCAATCTCTTGTCTCTTGTGTCTCATAAATGCGAAAGTAACTCTGTCTGTCTGTCTGTCTGTCTGTCTGTTACGCTTTCCCGCTTAAACCTCGCAACCGATTTTGATGAAATTTGGCATAGAGATAGTTTGAGTCCCGGGAAAGAACATAGGATAGTTTTTATCCCGGTTTTTGAAACAGGGACGCGCGCGATAAAGTTTTTCTGTGACAGACAAAATTCCACGCGGGCGAAGCCGCGGGCGGAAAGCTAGTAGCCTATATGTCATGACCAACTTGATTAGACATAAAGATCTACTGTTTAGTAACGAAACCCTGGGCGATCTATCACTTACATACTTCTTGAAATCTTAAATGAAGCAGCATAGTTTAGTACACAATCATTGTAGTATTTTTTGCCTTGCCACGATCGTATGGACTAATATTCGCGATCGACCGGTTGGCCACCCCTGTTATATGTTATTCTGGGCACGGTAGGGAGACCTAGGAGAGTTGTGACAGAGGTGAGTTGTGACAAGGGCGATTTCTGCTTACTTAATATAGTTAGGAAGCTGGTGAAAACGCTTGTTTGTCACTTTTAAGTCGCTCTTCTTGACTAAATACCTGCGGGCGGCGCATGAGACACGGTTATGTAAATATGACGACTGTGTACAAAAAAATGCGAAAAGTAAGTTTTTCTTCAAAATTGTATTTCAATTTATATCATGTTTTAGTATATGTGCACTGTTGTGTTATTTTTTCTCAAGTTGCATGGTTATTCAGGTCTCAAAATGTAGCACCGATTTTTTGTGTGCGCATCTTGTTTAGAAAATAAAAATTATTATTCGAACCAAGTCGTCATTTTAAACACCTAGGAGAGTTGTGACAGCCTGTCACAACTCTCCTAGCTTACTTAATTTTTCTGATGGGCCATTTACACGATGTTTTTAGATGTTTTTTTGTGTCTTAGTAGGTTCATAATTTGTATAATTGCATGCTGTTACTTTTTTGATTCAGAATGCCTAATAACTATACATGAAAGCCATATAGAGGAACTGCTTGCTAAAGTCGAAATCTAGGACCTAGCTTATGAAGTGATTAGGTTAAAGGGTTAAAGTTTAAGATATGCTGCGACCTCTTACAATCTAAACTTGTCAAGATGTATTAGGAAGAAAGAGGCTTATCAAGTAAACCCAGAAGGCGAAGCTCCATCTATGGATTATACCACCGCGACTATTTTATTTTTATAGAAGAGAAAGAAAATACCATAGGTATTAATTAAGTGACTATAATATTAGCTAAAAAATATAATTAAAAAAAACCAGGGTCGTGGGAGAAAAATGAAAGCTGGAGAAATGTGGCTCAATCTGTGTAACGACATCCTATAAATTTGTTTTAACTGGTAGGTACTAAAGGATGATTAAAGTACTTTTTTGCTAAAAAATCATATTTGATTGAGTATTATGGTATTTTTATTATATCTAATAGATGAAATACAATGCTGTCACAACTCACCTCGGTACCTGTCACAACTTACCTCGGTGCTAGGAGAGTTGTGACAGAGGGAGTGGTCTANCGCGCGCCCGCGCCTGCGCCCGCTCGTCGGCGACGTGCGCTACGCCGGCTGGCTGGCCCGCCGCCCGCCGCAGGATCATGTGAGATAAATAAATAAATCTTTGGACAATTTCACACAGAGCGCCAGCTAGCCCCAAAGTAAGCAACTTAATGCTTGTGTTATGGGTGCTAGCTTAACGGATATACTACTTATATACTTTTTTTTTAATACATAAATATTATACATACATAGTCACACCCAGACCCGTCACAGAAATTAAAATTCATCATTTCAATTTCTGCCCGGCCAGAGTTATCTTGACTATTAGTCAAGATAACAAAATTTCAACTATTTGTCCATCAGACAGTTAATTAGAAAATATTACTCATATTTTTTATTTTCTTTCATAATTAAATAATAACAGTGCTACGTCGAGTTGAAATAGCGCGTTACGTCACGCTTGAGTAGATTTTTTACTCAAAAGTGACGTCACGCGACATTTCAACTCAATGTAAAACTGTAATTATTCGATTATGAAAAAAAATTAAAAATATTGTCCAACATTTTTTATTATCTGTCTGATGGACTAAATAGAATTTTGATTTCATTACCCAGTCATCATCCCTTTTATCGTGTTTAATTACTCTCAATAATTCTACAAAATAAAAAGGTGATCGTCCTTACGAATCGTAATGACACTTTTGATATTGTAATTATGATGTTTGAACTAATTACCACAAACTGTTGTAGAACTACCCATTCATAAATTCAAAGCACATTAAAAGTACCTTAATGAAAAAGGGCTACTATAAAGTCGATGATTATTTAAAAGATAAAAATGTTTGCGATGCGTTACCTAAATGCCTAGCTCGCATAAATATTTATAACTTTGTACATTTGAAAGCCTGTAAGTAAACCTTTGAAAAAGAGGCTGACAATAGTGACTTGAGTTTCTTGCGCTGCTTCTTCTCAGCACTGGCCCATTTATTGTCCTGAAGCAGTGGTAGAGTTAATACTTTTATGAGTTTTACAAAATTAAAATTAAATAAGCGTTACATTGGCCTTATGAATCGTAACGACACTTCTGCATTAGGAACGACACGTGCTATTATTGCAATTGTTAGTTAACCTTGACTTAGTCTAGAATATTTTTTTGCAGATAAGTGCATCTGGCGGGTCAGACAGTTCCGATGAAGCAGAAGGCTGGCAGCCGACCTTTGTGGCTATAACAGACAGAGAGTTGAGGTACGTAATTTTACCTGTATTTTTAACAAACAAATGACGCAAGTATCATATTATCAAAGTCTTCAGGCTGATTTACACGTGTTTGTTAAGTAGATAAGTAGGTAACTAAATTTTTATTTAATTTTTCTGTCAAGTTGGTGGGCGGGGCTTGTCACTTGACACGTTTTGACACCGTCTGCGCCGAGTATAGTGAACGCCAGACCTACATTAGACATTGTAGAAACTTTATTGTTGAGGCTCACTAGCGACGATAACTTGCATTACAATAATTTATGTTCAAATTGACAAGTATTTTTTTTTTTATCCACAACGAGGAAGCTCTTGGCCTGTACCTATCTCACCTGATGGTAAGTGACGATCAGGCCGAAGGTGGAAGCGAGCTTCACCCAGAATCCTCAACCACGGAGGAACTGGCTATCTTACCTCAAACTGCCGGAACACAACAATGCTGTTAACATTGTTGTTATGGCGACAGACTTAGGTAAGATGGTGGTAGCTAAAGCCTCGCACACTCACTGCGGGCGCGCGTCGCACAGTCGCGACAGCAATGNACATGTCAATGAAGTTTTCAGTTACTGTTGCCATTAAAAGAAATTAGTACCATTAGTTTTCCGCAACATGGCGAGGGTTTTTATGTTCCTGGTCAGGCTATATAATGACAAATACACACGTATCAAAATATAAGCATGGTTGTATGACCCAATTTGAAATCAATAAAAAATTCATTTCAATTACAATTGTAATTTTTAATGAGATTGATAATTGTAATTATTATGACTTACGTGTGTACGTCATACAGTGTTATTTACTTTTAAAATATTGTTAAATAACAAATTTCGATTTAATTGGTAATTCTTAAATGTAATAATGCAATCATTAATAATATTTCGCAATTTATCATTTTATTTTGTAATTTGGCGTTATAACTGTTAAAAAACGTATGATTTATTAAAGCGATGTATCTGTAATAAAATTGTAAGACTAGTTGATTATAATAACGTTTATAATTACGTTGTAAATGGAAGATTACGCTACACATTATAAAAGGACAAGCACCTTCATTGGAACTATTCATTTGTATATATTACAGGCACATTGTAATTACTGTTCACTATATTACGATATTACAGACCTTAGTTTTAAAACTATTATAATATAATCAGATTGTTTTACATTTATTATGGCAACTGTACTTTAGTTGACTTTATTATCTATTTATTGATTAAAATGTATTTATTCCCATTGATAACAATGTCATAGATTATTTAATTTGGGTATTTAATTTAATAATTTGCCTATTTTTAATTTCCTCAGCGCCAAAGCAATATACCAATCAAAAATTGGATTACAATTGTAATAATTTTATTAATGTTTTTAACAAGCGTTGTAAAGAAGTACATTAATTAATTACACTGGACATTAAACTTATTTAACTAAATGTGATTCTTAATTACACTTTGGTAATAATTACCTACTATTTGTAAACACTAACATAAACTAATGTGAGAAAACGACTATATAAAAGAATAAGAAAATAAACAGAAATACAAATTGAAATAATTCAAATAAATTTTCTCAGAGCGAAAAGATTTATTTAGATAAAAATTAATTAATTCTAATTTCACTGTAAATTAATCATTAATATTTACAAGGAAAACTGGTAAATTGTCAAATAAAATGTAATAAAGACTTATTAAAGTTAAAAATAATTAAATAAAAGCATTAAATGATACCGAAATGCAAAGCTTAATTTTAACGAAGTAGATGCCATCTTTAATTTTTAAGTATCATCGCTTATCGATCAGGTCTTTTGCTATAATTAAATTAATATTAAAATAATAAATCCCTTACAAAATTAATCTGTACAACAAATATAAAACGGTAAAGTAACTGGTTCATTTTTGTGCTATTTGTACTTTTACATACAAATTATGAGAGATTATGATAACTTAAAAACATACACGGATGACAGAAGTATGACTATTTTGTGTTATATTTAATGCGACAAATTTATTATTTTGTAAAAATGCTTGATTTTATTATTATATTTAATAGCCTTAACATTCTTATTATAGCGTTGTCATCCGTTCCCTAAATTATGGTAAAAATAATACCAATTTTTTCTCAAAAAATTTCGTTCCAAAAACAATCATTCGAAAAGCGTCTCTAAATCAACACATCAAGGTACATTGTGTTTTGTCCTAACGCGAATACTTCGATATCTACTAACAATAAATAAGTAACGCTAGCTGTCAGTTTAAAACATTCGAACGAGTAAGTACATGAAGGCTGATGACAGGATCACGCTGGATGCTGGTCGGATAGAATGTGAGTTCCCGTGGTACACTGAAAAAAATAATAATTTTAAAATAAATTAAAAGTCTGATCGGCCTTTTTTATTTTTTTACTTGATAAAATGGTGTATACGTGATATTTTATCTGTAATGAAGAATGTTCACTAAGTTTGTTTTTTAGCTTTCTGTATTCTCTGTTAAAAATGAAAAATACACGTGAAACAATTATTTCGATACGTCAACATAGCTGGGCACCGTTAATCAAATAGTTAACTTCGTTAATCGTTAAACCGTTAATAAAAAAATTAACTTCGTTAAACGTTAAAACGTTACATTTAGCAAGATTTAACGCAAGTTAACGTTAATCGTTAATCCGTTAATACATTATAATAAAACGAAAAAAATAATTGTATGCAAGGTTCAAATAAATTCGAAAGATCGCGCATGGAATTTATTCCTCTTTTATGTTTGCGCTACAAGCTTTCATACTACATTTTTTTTTCGTTTTAGCAACAACTGCATTTCAGAATAAAATCTTGTTTAAAAAAAATCTATATACAGGGTGTTAGGTAAATGGGTATATGAGCCGACACTAGCCCATGTTAACATGGTCATATAAATGGTATGGTGAAGTCAGAAAATCGATATCTTCATTTTAATAATTTTATTTTTCATACAAATCGGATTTAAAAAAAATATTTTGTATGAAAATTAAAAAAATTAAAATGATGATATCAAATTTCTGACTTCACCATACCATTTATATGCCCATGTTAACATGGGCTAGTGTCGGCTCATATACCCATTTACCTAACACCCTGTATATAGATTTTTTTTAAACAAGATTTTATTCNGGCGCTACATTAATTTGTATGATTCATAGCTGTGGAATGTTTTTTGAGCGAGATATGGCCCCTAAAGTAAAAATTGTCACAACTCTCCTAGGTCTCCCCTAATACTATCTATACAGTATTCCAACTCGGCCATATTTTTGAAATAAATGTCAACAGTCGCGCGGTACGTCACAGTATGACAACATGCGATAGGGCTGCCCACCTACAGTACCCAGTTTGATTACATCTGCCTACTTAAAATTTCTATCTAGTTTTGTAATTGTATTTTTTATTTAGTTAGACAAACAAAATACTTTGTGAATGGAATAGGTTAAAAATGTGTGTTGTTTTGTGATTAGTAAAAACTACTTAATCATTTTGAAACTAATAATCATAATGATCTGTTACTTTAATTTCGGGCGGGCGAAGTCGTGGGCAAAAAAAAGCTGGTTTAATACAATAAGGGAGAGTCCGCTAATTTGGACCAGTTTTTTTCAATCCCATTTTACACATAGTTTTGTTTTGTTTTTGCTAATGTCCATGGTATATAATAAAAGATACATTATTCAACTTACTATTTCATAAGTATTAATTAACATGATTGTTGTATATTTAGCACAAATCAACAAAGTACGAGTTCAGAGCTTCGGTCCAATTTAGCCAACCGGTTCGATAATTTGTACCACAGGGTTACTAAATTGGATTTCAATAAATTTCAAGCCTATAAAAAGCCGCGCGCCGCGCCGCCCGCGCCGCGCTGGCCCGCGCGCGCCCGCGCCTGCGCCCGCTCGTCGGCGACGTGCGCTACGCCGGCTGGCTGGCCCGCCGCCCGCCGCAGGATCATGTGAGATTATCGTTCGTTCGTTCGTTTCAGCCAAATGACGTCCGCTACTGGACAAAGGCCTCCTCCAAGGTTTTCCACAATGCACGGTCCTGCGCTGCCCGCATCCAGGCTCTTACCGCGACCTTTACCAGATCGTCGGTCCACCTAGTTGGAGGCCTGCACACGCTACGTCTTCCAGCCCGTGGTCGCCACTTGAGAACTTTTCTGCCCCGCAGGAGAACCAAAGTGACCGACATAGCTCGCAGAATTGCTAAAATCAAGTGGAAGTGGGCGGGGCACATAGCTCGTAGAGACCATTTGTGAGATTATAAACACGTTTATTTATTTATTTAGTTTATTCAGAAACTCAACAGCTATATTACATTTTTTTAGAAGTTTTTTCTTACAATGGTGGCACTTAAGCTAAAAAAGAGTTCCATGACATGCAAAATGTTCGTACATTTTACATTAATTAAATAAATAAATATACTTGGCAATTTTACACTACCCTTCTAGTCCCAAACTAAGCAAAGCTTGTACTATGGGTACTAGACAAGGGATATAAACATACTTAAATACTTTTTTTGTATTATACATAGTAACACCCAGACCCATCACAGAAATTAAAATTCATCATTTCAATTTCTGTCCGGCCGGACTTCGAAGAATAGAATTCGGGACCTCTCGGCATAGTAGTCCATTCCGAATCACTACACCAAACATCCGACGAATAAATAATGCTACAAAATAAATAGGTGATCGTCTTTACGAATCGTAATGACACTTCTGATATTGTAATTATAATGTTTGAACTAATTTATGGACCGATACGACGTGCAAGCTTAAAAACCTTAAAAGACCGGCAACGCAACTGTAACGCCCCTGGGACTGCAGGTATCTATGGGCGACGGTAATCACTTACCATCAGGTGATCTGTATGCTCGTTTGCACCATGATTTGTTTGCTGCGAAATAAAAATTAAATAAGATTGGCCTTATGAATCGTAACTACACTTCTGCATTAGGAACGACACATGCTATTATTGCAATTGTTAGTTGACTTTGACTTAGTCAAGAATCTTTTTTTGCAGATAAGTGCATCTGGCGGGTCAGACAGTTCCGATGAAGCAGAAGGCTGGCAGCCGACTTTTGTGGCTATAACAGACAGAGAGTTGAGGTACGTAATTTTACCTGTATTTTTAACAAACAAATGACGCAAGTATCCTATTATCAAAGTCATCAGGCTGATTTACACGTGTTTGTTAAGTAGATAAGTAGGTAACTAAATTTTTATTTAATTTTTCTGTCAAGTTGGTGGGCGGGGCTTGTCACTTGACACGTTTTGACAAGTATAGTGAACGCCAGACCTACATTTAGACATTGTAGAAACTTTATTGTTGAGGCTCACTAGCGACGATAACTTGCATTACAATAATTTATGTTCAAATTGACAAGTATTTTTTTTTATCCACGAGGAAGCTCTTGGCCTGTATCTCACCTGATGGTAAGTGACGATCAGGCCGAAGGTGGAAGCGAGCTTCACCCAGAATCCTCAACCACGGAGGAACTGGCTATCTTACCTCAAACTGCCGGAACACAACAATGCTGTTAACATTGTTGTTATGGCGACAGACTTAGGTAAGATGGTGGTAGCTAAAGCCTCGCACACTCACTGCGGGCGCGCGTCGCACAGTCGCGACAGCAATATAATTACGCGCGAGCGATAAGGATGGGTAGCTTGGGGTCATTGGACGGGATTCTACGTGCTCATGGACCAGGCTTTAGCCAGGCGGACTTAGAACAAACCCTACCACCAACCAAACCGAACAGAAAAATCTGCCCCCACTGGGAATCGAACCCGAGACCTCTGCGTCTGAAGCAGGTGGTTTCACCACTAGACCATAGAGGCGGTTAAAAACATCTACTCTACTACTACTACATAATGCAAGTTGCGCAGGCTGTACGAGGCGGCGCCGTGGTCGGGCGAGGCGTGGTGCGCGCCCAGCGAGAGCTTCAGCCTGGCGGCCACGCGGCTGGCGTGGTGGCGGCGCGGCGGCGCGCAGGCGGCCGCGCTGGGCGTGCGCGCGGGCACGCCGGCCGGCCTGTGCGTGCGCGCGCTGCGCGAAGACACGCCGCACGACCTGGCCGCCGTGGCCGGCGCGCTGGTCGACGGCGCGCATCACGCTGTGCGCGCGCAGCCCGAGTTCACCTTCCGTGAGTACACGCAGCCATGTTCGGCCCGTAAAGTTAATACATAATACCTAGCGGAATAGAGCAAAAAAGAAAGCGAGCGAGATGTCACTAACAGCAATACTGTGTGATAAAAAGAGATGCGGGATGCCGTCGCCGTCTCGTCAAACAGAACCGTTTTCAGCAACTATTTGACAGTACGGAGGCACTTATTGGCACGCTGAAAATTGGAACTCTGAAATATTTTCAGATTTTACGTAAGAGAAATCGTGGATGTTTATGAGAAATAGTTAATAGTGCTTCAGAAACGTGGTGACTGGTTCAGTGATTGATTTAATGTACAAAATACTGAAATAATCCTGACACTGACACAAATAATATCCAGTGTCATCCAAAATCGGTTTCGTTGGACAGTTCGTGATTATTGCTCTATTCCAGTGTTTTTCAAACTGTTGGTCGCGACCCCTTGGGGGGTCGCCAAGCCTCTATAAGGGGGTCGCGAGAGGTCGCAAAAACTACCTCAGTAAAAAAACAGTAAAGTAATAGATTTATCCGAAATCTAATTATGAAAATGCATAAAATTAATGTTGTATGGACTGAATTATTCGCTTCCTACAACATTTTTGTAACATTATAAAATGTATGAAAAAAAAGCGAGTGGTCGGGGGGTCGCAAAATATTTTGTCATACTAGGGGGGTCGTGTCATGAAAAAGGTTGAAAAACACTGCTCTATTCTATTCCGAAGGAATATTAACTTTATTGTTCGGCCTTTGGTTTAAAATATTGTAAAAGTCTTTTAAAAAGGGTGGTAATAGTAAGTTTGGTTGCGCCCGCAGGCTGCCGCTACCCGAGTTCACCTTCCGTGAGTAGATGTTGCATATTATTATCGAGGAATGAAGACACACCGCACGACCTGGCCGCCGTGGCCGGCGCGCTGGTCGACGGCGCGCATCACGCTGTGCGCGCGCAGCCCGAGTTCACCTTCCGTGAGTAGATGTTGCATATTATTATCGAGGAATGAAGACACACCGCACGACCTGGCCGCCGTGGCCGGCGCGCTGGTCGACGGCGCGCATCATGCTGTGCGCGCGCAGCCCGAGTTCACCTTCCGTGAGTAGACGTTGCATATCGAGGAACGAAGACACGCCGCAAGACCTGCCGGGCTAGGATGCGTGCCGTGGTAAAATCTTATTGACGATTTAGGACGACACATGTATGGGCTTATCGCACTAAACTAAATCGATAAAATGCTTCGATAAAAGTTTGTCGTAGCGCGTATCCTAGGCCTACTGGCCGCGCTGGTCGACGGCGCGCATCATGCTGTGCGCGCGCAGCCCGAGTTCATCTTCCGTGAGTACACGCAGCCATGTTCGGCCCGTAAAGTTAATACATAATACCTAGCGGAATAGAGCAAAAAAGAAAGCGAGCGAGATGTCACTAGCAGCAATAAATACTGTGTGATAAAAAGAGATGCGGGATGCCGTCGCCGTCTCGTCAAACAGAACCGTTTTTAGCAACTATTTGACAGCACGGAGGCAGTTATTGGCACGCTGAAAATTGGAACTGAGATATTATCAGACTTTAGAAATCGTGGATGTTTGTGAGAAATAAGTGCATTACCTAGTGCTTCGGAAACGTGGTGACTGGTTCAGTGATTGATTTATTGTACAAAATACTGAAATAATCCTGACACTGACACAAATAATATCCAGTGCCATCCAAAATCGGTTTCGTTTGACAGCTCCTGATTATTGCTCTATTTTATTCCGAAGGAATATTAACTTTATGGTTCGGCCTTTGGTTTAAAATATTTTAAATGAAGTAGTCGGTTAAAAATGTACACATTGGCGGTTATCACACTGCGCCGCGCTCCGCCGCGGAGCGCGGGACGACAGATTTAATCATTGTATGCAAGTACCTCAGTTTGTATAGAAAACACGCGCGGCACTTCACACTGACAACTAGTCCGCGCGCGGGTTTTTTTTATATGAAACTAGCTGACCCGGCGAACTTTGTTCCGCCTTAATGGCAATAAATAAGCAGACTTTTTTTTTATTTCGAACGGGACAAAAAGTATCCTATGTCCTTCTCCTGGCTCTAAAATACCTCCCTGGCAATTTTCAGCTAAATCGGTTTAGCCGTTCTTGAGTTATAAGTGGAGTAACTAACACGACTTTCTTTTATATATATAGATCACGCGCTCCGCGCGGCGCAGTGTGATAACCGCCATTAAGTTTGGTTGCGCCCGCAGGCTGCCGCTTCCGCGGCGCGTGCGCGCGGCTGTCGCTGGGCGCGGGCGGCGTGTGCGTGTGGGAGGCGGCGGGCTCGCTGGGCCGCGGCGGCGCGCGCGCGCTGTTCCGGCGGCCGCTGCACGCGCTGCGCGCCTCCGCCGACGACGACCGCGCCGCGCTCTGGCTGCACTTCGCCGACCCCGACACGCTGGTGAGTCACTACCGTTTTAAACCTTTACCTGGTAGTGGCAGAATTTATGCCACCATATTTTGAACCTTATTGAGAAAACATAAGGTACAAAACTAACGAAAAATATTTTTCTCTATACCAGTTAAAGGGTTAAGACGATACCGCGTGAATTTTGTTGTAAACAGACAAATCGGAAATCATTTATTTATTGAAAACCCAAATTCTATTTAAATAAAATAATTTTCACTATGTCTAGAATCGGTTGTTATCTTACCAATATACAGGATGTTGTCGGTCCACCTTGTGGGTGGACGTCACACGCTGCGTTTTCCGGTACGCAGAACCTTGCTGCCCCATCGGCCGTCAGTTCTGCGTACTATGTGCCCTGCCCATTGCCACTTCAGCTTGCTAATCCGTCGGAATATGTCAGCGGCTTTAGTTCGTTTAGACGTGGGACGCAGGCCGCTAGCAACCGGACAACATGGAAAGCATTGGGGGAGGCCTATGTTCAGCAGTGAACGTTCTATGGCTGAGTTGATAATGATGACTTATCGTTTCCCCTGTATAGTAAACACCTCAACTGAGTGACACATTATGCAGTGCCGAGTGGACACTTGTTGCATGATTTCCGTGGCATAGCCCATCAATCCCCAAGTAACAATAGCGATGTTTCCTGGGTCAAAAAGCAAGAGTTTTAATTAGTCCGTCAGTTAACTTATCAAAAAATACTCTACACGTATTTTTCACTTTTTCAAACTAATGAAAATTTAAAGAGATAAAGCGCGCCAAAGTTCATAAGAAGAGGCCCGTGACGTCAATGAGTGCATAAAAGTGCCGCACTTTGTGACGTCTCGCGGAACTTCAACGCACCATAACTATGTAATTATTTGTTAGATTGACAAATAAAAATATAGGTGTCCAATATTTTTTTATATTAAACATGACGGACTAAAAAATTTTTTTTAGGAAACTACCCTATTCATGTTACCTATTGCGTCTTGATTCTGATATTGTAGTTGGTCAGTGGGACAGAATAGGTTATTAACCCTAACGCCTCAACTAGGAGCTGGACATGGAGGGCAGCCCGAAGCCGGCGGTGTTCATCCTGCACAACCTGCTGTCGGCGCGCGTGCACGCGCTGCCGCCCGACGCCGCCGCGCAGCCGCTATAACCCGCCTCCGACGCGCCCGACGCTCGTGGCCGTAGACGCGCGTCCGACGCCGGTTACACTGAGCGCGATGTCTTAGACGCATCGGTTACTGGCTACATAGATCACGACCCCCGACGAGTGTTAGACGCCGCCCATTTTGATCGCGACGTTCGACCCGTGTCGGACGTCGGTCATTTTGATCGCGACAGCCGAGGCGTATCGGACGTGATTCACGTCGATTGTGACAACCGGGATTCGACGTTTTTAGTATGAATGTCGGAAGTATAATCCCTCAAACGCTACGTTCGCACATGTCGTCGCTATATGTTTTTTTCATCACAATTTTTTTGTTAGATAGGTAACGTATCAACGCCGTTTATTTGTCAGTGGTTTAATTTAATATACTACGATCAAATTGTGTATTTAGTTATTTTATTATTCCTACAAAAATCCGCTGATTCAAAGATTTCGGTGTAGCTGAATGGTTAAATAAAATGTAAACGTATTATTAAGCTATTTTGTCGAAATACCTCTGAAGTTATCTAAGATCTGTTTATTGAGATTAGTGTCTGAGATAAGCAAGAAATGAACATGATTAGGATAAATGTGCAAAAAATAAGCGAACCGGCGCGGTCTTAAAACATGATAGATAAGTTTGCTTTGGCTTTGTTAAAGTCCAAGGCTTTACTGGTGAAGTAAATAGGTTCTGTAGGTTATGCGGAGCTAGCTAAATGTCCTGCTTCAATGACGACATTAGATGTGTACTCTTGTAAAGGTAAAGTTGTAAAGGCTATTTTAAATTCTGATTACGAAAGTCTTATAATTAAGTAACGAAATGTATTGAGGTCAATGTAGTTCGTGAAACGTGTTTATCATTGAACGACGTCAATCTGTGATGATTCACATCTCTATCATGAGGATAATCTTTCCATATCGAATTTTGTAAATGCTAAATCATGAATGTATATTTTTTAACATTTGACAAGTACATTTAAGACGAGGATTACATTCCAGTCCAGGGCTAGTAATCGAGCGAGCTAATTTAACAGTTGTCATGCGGACTACTCTTTCTCCGTTATGAAATACCAAATATACTAGTGGTGGTTTAGAAGCTGTAATATTTAAAACGGTGACTATGCTCAACTACCTTGTCGTATGACTAGTTGTATTTTTTCAAGAATTTGATGTTTCTCCGATAATGAAAGGTGTTAGTTACGATGAGCATACTACATCCTAAAAAATCAAGGTATAAATATTACACGTTATAAACGCCACCATGGAGAGAGAATATCTTGTGAAATTAGGTTAATTTTTACTATTAATTCTTCTAAGATGTATATCGACAGTAAGTTTCGTTAGCATTGCGAGTAGTGATAGAGACTTATTTCGGTAAAATAGAGCGCTCTAAAACTCAACGAAATCTCAGTAAAATCGCTAGCATCTTTGAACTGACGCATTCGAAAGAATCATGTAGCAAATTATTGCCTTCGCCTTATGGAGTATTTATATTGTGTATAATGTTACATTTATATTTCATTGGTTTACATTGTGGGTTGTCATTTAAGACGTAGGTATCTCATTTTCTCAGTGATCTTTGAAGGCACTTTTACTATTTATTGCGGATTATTTAATCCGTATATAAGACTAACAACAATCTTCCAAAGAACGAATCTCTTAATATATTTTTGTTATATTCTTAATAGAACGCGATTTCACTTTTAATGTTAGCATTATGAATTGTAATCACAGTGTATTTGTATAATTTGTGTTATGTATATATTCGTAGTTATGCCTATTGATTATTATTATAATTACAACATTCCCAGAATGTAGTACATTAGAGTTGCTTTAAATATAATAGTAGTGTTTTATCTCGAATAAGTTAGAGTAAGATTTCAATAATAACTGTATATTGTGTTGCTAATAGCGTAATTATACAACTAAGGACGGGCAATATTTAAAGTGATAAATTTTTACATGTTAGAAATATTTATTTTAGTACCAGAAATATACAAGTTTGCTTTAAGAGGTCATGGTCAGGTTATTAATAGGTGATAGATATTTGTAGATGATACCGTTATAATTTAAAGAACAGTTGTTGTTCATAAATATCTATTCCTATATTTATAAACAATGTTAAAATGTGGAGAATTGTGGAAAGTTATCATTTTTGCGTCATTGATCGGCGACTACCCAAAAGTAGTCAACCAGATTACGATCACTAAGCTGTACATTGGCTGGCTGGAACAAATGTAGTTCCCAACTTTTACCAAGAAATCAGTTATTTTTTACAGCGTTTTATAATTATGTCAAAAAGCAAATTACTGTATAATTTATAAAACTCGTTTAGACTATAAAAAATGCTGCTTCTATATAAATCAGAGTTGCATTCTGGCAATGGTTATAAATATAGTTCCCTACTTACTATTTCCATTTAATCTTTGGAACGTGCAAGATTTATCATAAATAAAAATTTGCCGATGTCGGTGCCGATAAAAAATGTTGCATGTTTCAAATAAATGTGTTGCCCTTCTTTATATGGATAGTTAAGTCGGAGTGATACGCAGTGTGTAATATTCGTGGTGTTATTGTGCTCTTTCATCACAAGCGATCAGTCGTTAGTTGTAAGTACTTACACATAACACGAAGACTTTTTACTCTAAACTTTGTTACCGTATTTTAAAATCTTTCGGAATTAGGCTTTTATCTTATGAGACGACATTTGTTACCATACACTTTCTTATAACTTGATGATGTTGCCATATCAGTGTAATGTAAATTTATACTAACAGTAAGACTTAATATTGTGTAATCTCATAGAATTTCTACTGATGACATTCCTTCTTATGCTCTATGAATCATTATAATATGTCTATCATAATATGGATCAACGATAGGTCTCATAAATTTAGATGCGACATATTATGGCATAATTTCGATTAAATTTTCTATTAATGGAATAAATACTAAAATTATGCCACCAAAATGCCCCCTTTTATTGTATTGTTAATTATGAAATTGTTTACAATTAGATACGCCTCTGTGGATCAATTAATGTTTTATTCTCAACATTGATTGTTTTTTCAAAGCCCATCTTGAATTGCACACCAAATTATTTCATCATTTATTCTAAGGTTTCGTGAAGTTTAGATAATTTACAATTATACCACATCGTGATTCATATTTGTAGTGGTCTTATTATTATTTCAAAAAATATCTTAATTTTGAGAAGCTTAAAAAAGACATACAGGCTAGAAGATTTATTTAAAATCTTATATGATGTTTTGAATGTAGTTTAATTATTATGAATAACAGGCAGTTATGGTTATGTTATTGTGTTAATGGTATATTTTTAGTACTTTTATGTATGCATGTACCTAAATAAAACTTGTACCTATTCGTTCATACGCTAGAAACGTATTATTGTTTATTTAACGAAATTATTGTTGTATTGTTAAATATGTTAATTGGATCGGGGAGTGTTATTATAATATTTACTGTTATATTGGAAGTAGTATATTTAGCAATTTATAATCTTGCGATAGTTTTGGATATTTTCAATTAATAAGAGTTACAGTAGTACACATTTAATAAGGCGCGTCGTGAATCTTCGGCCACGCAGACAAGGACAAAATTTTTCCGATTATGTTCCCCGTCGCACTTGCGCAAGCCCCGCCCATTTCATAATTACACTGCAGGCCAATTGTAACGGAATTACGGGGAATAAAATATTTATCTTTTTGCCAAAAAAAGTTTAATAGAGTATTTAAATAAATAAATAGACTTCTTAAAAAACAAATTATAAATACACTTGTGGTACCCGTCGTTGTTCCCGATTTCCATAACACAAGTGCTTTTGTTACATACTTTGGGATCGATCGGAGCAATGTACGTGTCTAATATGTATTTATTTATTTACTAGCTTTTGCCCGCGGTTTCACCCGCGTGAGATTTAGTTTATCATAGATCGTCATAACTTATAGCCTATATTATGTTATTCTGGGTTATAAACAATAATACTGTAAAGTTTCATCAAAATCCGTTCAGTAGTTTTTGCGTGAAAGAGTAACAAACATCCAGACATCCAAACTTTCGCATTTATAATATTAGTAGGATTATTTTTGTGGGATGTATTTAATCCATAATTTAGAAATGTTAATATTTGCATGCTACATAATAATTGTAGCAAATTACGATAATGAACTTTATTTTATTTATCATAACACCTTTAATATACTGTACTCTACTAAATGGCAAATAAATATTTGAATTTCCGAATGTGAGAAGAGTGAATGCTGAATCTATGAATGAATTGTGAATGTGTAGATGTACGGAGATTGGAGGCTCACAAAAATAAAACACTTTTTTTGCCACCAAGTGTACTTTTGTCTACAACGCGTCTACGCACTCTAGAGTATGGCGGCTGACTAACATGTGTCACAGCGCGCGCAAACATGACGCGGCGACGGACCAATACCGGCACAGGAAGAAGACGCGCCGTGCGTGGAGTATCCCGATTGGTCAATAGCATTTCCCGCGCTACTTAAATTCGTCTTCTGCGCAGGTACATCGGTGAGCCTTATTAATTGTGTACTACTGTACAAGGCATTGCGCATAATAAATGTATCAACATGACAAACATAAAAAAAACAAATATTCCTTTGACAATAATATAATAAGTAAGTACTATAATTATTTAAATTATTTCAATTTAGGTACACTAAAAAGTATTTTTTTTAGTTTATTTTTAACTACGTAAGTAGGTAAAAATTTACTCTTGAAAACAAATAAACTATTGTAACAGACATTTAATATTGTTATTTTGATACATTTTGCGGTGTGCGGCTCTATATTGGCAATTTACTTTAATGTGTGTAACCAACATTTATAAAATAACATTTTAATATTTTATCTCATAGGGGTGGTTTTAATATTTATTTGGATCCATGGTTAGGTATATCACTAACATCGGTAGTTAAAGAACTGTCATTAACTCATTATCATACAATAAAAACAACGAAGAAAATGGTTTGTTTTCATTCAATGATACCTTCCCATATTCGTTAAAAATTATTAGATTTTAGCATAATGAACAGGTGCAATACTGCTTTAGGAATATAGCTTACATTTAAATAAACTGTATTTGGTTTAATATTCGCAGTACGTTGAGTGTGTCTCTAATTGAGATAAGCTGATATCCTACGAGCAATGTGCCGCGATGCCGGTCAGAATGCATCCGACCTCAGGAATGCCAGAGCCTCGATCTGAATCGTATTGCTCTGCCGAAGTCACGTTACATTAGGTCGAGTGGCGACTTCGCAGGGGCGCTGTCCTACCGAGGGCCCTTAGCTGCGCTCTCCAATAGTCGGCTCATTACTTACCTATACGGCTACTGTTATTCAAGGAAACTCTAAAGGATTTTAAACTCTACCGACCTGACTTTTGGGAGCTATCTCCATGCAGTCGTGCTTAACATTGCCCTGTGTCTAGGCCATTGTTTCGCGTCTATAAGAAAAATGCTATTACAATTTACTTTTATAAAGCATACTGTGCAAAGATGCAAAAAGTAAAGCTCTGATTCGCTAAGAAGGTTTTCGATGTTACCTGTCTTGAAGAATAGAGACATTCGTTTACCTACCTGCCTTAATGTGTCTAGTACAAAACTATACGTAAGGTTTTGTAATTTATGTATAGGTACGGTACGTCATTAGATTTACCATTTATATTATTACTTCTTGAACCACCTTACTGCGAACCAGCCACATAGGTAGGTACTTCTTATCTATCTTTCATGTCATTTAAAACTTTTGCTGCCAGCAGTTTGCAATTACCTACTTAAATGTCTCCATAAAACTGGAAGGGAACGGCGGACTGCGATAAATATTTTAATAGTTAATTATTTAAACTATGATGTTCTACTGCAAGTACCTAATGCGCGTAGGTAGATGGCTAGCCTTGATGCTTTCTTATTTCTGTACAGATTTCTCACTAGAGCAAACAATTTTCATAAACTAAGTAATAAGGAAACATTTATTTTTAGAAGTTTCGTTGAAGCAACAAGAGAAGTGAAACAAACAAAACGTTGTTGCTAATCGATTCGCGATTCATCCAATTAGATTGTAGATGGGTACTATAAAGTAGGAACTTTAAGTCTCGGAGGCTGTCTAGCGTTCGAGGTAGACGGGACATTTCGAAGTTTCCCTGAAAAGCGCCATTGATCGCTGAAACAGCTGTCATCTGGAGAAGGCTCTCAATTAGGAAGTACCTATATTCTCCGGCTTGGCTTTTCCCTAAGCTTCGGTTCTGATTCATTAAACGCTATAAATTAAGTCAAAGCGTCGTGTACCTCATCCATTTGGATGATTAGCGGATGTCTGTTGTTGGCATTTTCAATCGAACTAAATTCAATCCTTTCTAATTGTTTTGGGAGTTACGTTTGCTTGCGAACAAAATGACATTGGCTGATCTAAGTACAGTAACTAGCATGTGGGAATTTATCGGAACCTATTTATTTTGATGAGAATTATTGTCTCAGTCGGGGGTTATTTTCAGCTTAGTCTGTTTTTTACACCAAGTAGGTAGGTAATCAATGGATAATGGTTCATTTATTAAGTGGGTCGTTAATGGTTACCGAAATTTTTTAAAGTTTTAAATTGCGTTATGCTTTATTTTGTGTTATGGTATCGAATCGTAATAAGTACTTTAAGATTATTAAAATACGCGTGGAAAAGCTTTTATGACCACACTCGAACAGGCTTGTTTAAATGTTTCACAAATGCGCCGTCATAAATCACAATTCTGTGACGTACTCGTACCTACCTACACTGCAGCAGCCAGAGATGCAAGTTATTTGTTGTAAAGTAATCTAATATGCAGGTAGGCGGAGAATATATGACTACCACTAACGCTAATGGAGAATACATACCTACCAACAACCAACCCTAGTAGTTATTAGCTTAGGCATGGTTCCGTTTCCAGTCTATGAAATTACTTACCTAAGCGTTTTTAGTGCTACCTATTTCAAGAATCCAGATCGTAACATTGATGGACCAAGTAGACACCTGTATTTGTGCCGAACTTTCATAAGTAAGAATTGAGATATGATAAAGACAAAAAGCACTTTCAGTGGGATGTCCTTATTACTATGTTAGCACACGATTGACACGTTCACAAGTTCTTGATATAAAACAAGGAGTGGCGTCGAGGTCAATAAAAGACAGGATAAACGTGATAAATCCAGAAAGAAATTGATAGGTACTTATTCTTTGTCAGAAGCATAGAATGAAGTATTGGTAGGTAGGTATAGGCCAGCACAAAATATGGCGTTATGAATGAGGTTCGATACGATAATACGTAGCAACTAAGTAGATACTTTGAATTGTGCAGTAGATGGGTATTTCGCAATTTTCCGGCCGGCTGGCCCCGACTTCAGGGCCCGGTCGCCGCGCGCGTCTCTATGACGCGTACCGAGATTTATTGTGCCATGTTTTTTGCATCCACTAACATAGTCATGCATTTCTCAATGCTCAGATACACGGATTTCAGCTCACACAGATTCTAAGGATAAAGGAATTTACCGACGCGGCACCAAAATACACAGTGCTAGCAAATGGACGCGGGTTTTCGGAGCTCGCTTGCTTCAGTTGCATACTAAATCATAATAAGGATTCGAGCTTTGGCCTATGTTTGATTGCACACCTACTTGCATTGTAAATCAAAACAGAAATGTATAGTTATTAGACAAACATGTAGTGGAGGTTTCATTTGCTTGGTTTCAGAATATTGGTAGGTAGGTACCTACGGCAAATTAATATCGTTCTCATAGTTTGGTGCAGGAAATTAAGTACGAACCTGATCAAACAGGACCTTGCATTACCTACTGAATGCTCTACATTCTATAATATGCTATGCCAATCAATGAAAAGCTTTAAATAAATTATTTTACTGCAAGTGCATATACATAATATACATTTATGGATGAAATCACCCATCAAATAGAACATTTAGTACCATTTATTTATTACTACTAAGTAACATGCAAAATAAATTAGAATATTCGCTATTTATCAACTGCATGCAATGTAGGTACTCGTATGAATACCCAAATGTCTAGTGACGGCAAATTCATTGCTGAATTGAAAGCGATATTGAAATTCTACGAATTACTTTACGGACGCATATAGGATGGCAGACAGATCAAACGGCGCACATCACAGTTGAGCAAATAGTAGCTACTAGCTGTACATCTGCTCGGCGCGTGACAAAGAGGCTTTTACTGGCGCTGACTAAGCGTTAATGCCGCTCATTAGCACATCAAACCCGCAGCCAGCGCAACAAATTGTTAGTGCGCGACGACTCGACGCCTGATAACGAAATAACTGGAGCCACAAATTATCTTCTCAACAATAAGAACAACTTCGATGTTTTTGTTTCACTCCTTCCTCAAGCTTAACGGCACTCCTTTGATAAGAAAAGGCCTATGTGTAGCACAGCAGGTTCAATTCGAATGTAAGGTACCTACTTACTTGTTGTCAAGTTTATTATTCTTTAAAATTACTCAT